GTTGAGGGCGAAGCTACACATTACTTCTCACTACTACATTGGTAAACTTATAAAGGCGCACTGAATAATCGGTTTGTCGGTTCGAATATCATCTTTATTGGAGAGTGCGCATTGAGTCGGTACCAGAAGATACAACAGAATGCTGTGTGCATTGTCTCCGTGTTTGGGTACCCTCGATCGAATGCTGCAGTACGCACAGTCGTACCATAGCGCGTCCTGTTGCATCCAGCTAAGGCTATTCAAAAAGACAAAGAGATACTCACAGAAATTCAGTTTTGCAACTCTTTACCAGTCCTTAATCACACGTTATTGGTGTTGCGAAAAGTCCTGCAGGTTGGTTTGGACCACAACATGGAGCCAACCGTGCGCGACTTTACCGTTTGATAAGGCGCGCCCACTAGCAACCATCATGGGTCCTTTTCCTTCGTTAATCAGTATGTCAAGATTCATATCTTTTGCAGCTGTGAGCTCAGGAGCAGGATACAAGAAGCCTTTTATTGTCGTGGGGCCGAACGGCCCCTCCGGGGCTTGCCAGTGTGGCAGTGGCCCCACATTGGTGCGTTACCGCCATTGCGTTTTCCGGTGATCTACGGCCTATTTTGTATTGTTGCCATTCCGCATGATTTTGGCGCAGCTCATGCAATATCGGAGCAATTTTCAAAACCATTGCGGATATCGCCTGATTCAAGTCAGTGCTGTCCACCCCGCCTCCCGCCGCGCGCTTTTGGGGACCCAGCTAGGCGGTCCTGAGTGTCTGTTTTGGGGGTTTTCAACGGATCCTTTGCAAAAATGGAAATTCTTAGGGACAGATTTCGGATAAAAGTGTCATAACCGGCTTCTCCAAAGGCGGTTGCCAACCCCTAAAGCTCCAGTCACGTAGCTCGAGACAGGTATCCCTGCCCCTCTGGACAGCCTGCAGTGAGGGGCTTCTTTGGCAGCTGTTGAGGAAGGGCTTTTCTGGGAGCCGCAGGAAGGGACCTTTTGGAGATTTCAGCAAGTGTCCGCAGAGGAATTGCTGCAAGGGCTCCTGGAGGAAGGATGGGGAAATGTGCCTGCCGATGCAGCCTCTCGGCGAGGCAGGCAGTTGAAAATGTACCACCTTTGCTGCTATACCGCTTTGGGCGAGCGTTACATGGGACGTTAGGGTGTAAGCTGATAATTTTGTTGATTAGCGTCTGCTTTGGCTTGAAGGGTATGTTGGACTCACTGACGATGGAAGCTCTTCTCCCGTTATCAAAGGAGCTGAATTTTGACGGGGTGGCGTACCAGCGCATTTACTCACTAGCTGTGACACCGTATGCTCTGGTGGGCTTTGTCGGCAGCGTCAGTGACTATTTTCCCATAATGGGATACCACAAGAAGTACTACATTCTCATAACCAATGTTATTGGGGGTGCCTGCTCAATATGCCTGGTGATCATGCCCAAGAGCATGGCTGGTAGCAACATTATTTATGTGGGCATGCTTTACTGCGGCATCCACTTACACATTGCTACTGCAGACCTGCTCTGTGAGGGAACGTACTGCAAAGTCATTCAGGCGCACCCCTCGGTAGGGGCGAAACTCATCGGTTTCGTTTCTATGTGTAAGTCCCTTGGACACGTTATGGGAAGAACAGTCGTGGGCCCCATCAGCGACTATCTTGGAACGAGGCCGTTGCTGTACATGGGCGTCCCTCTGGTGCTACAGTCGCTGCTTCCGGCAGCGTGCAACTTTTTAGGCGAGGTCGCAGGCCAAGACAAGGGCTCGAATACTTTCATGAAGGAGAAGACTGACAAGGGTGTCTTTTACGTGGCATTGTTGACGTCACTCTTTGCGTGCGCGGCACTGGTGCTGACTCTTCAGACGTGGGTTGGATACCCGATCATCTTCACGGCATTCGTTGTTGTTGTCTTGGGAAGTGCCTTCTGGTTTCTTCTTTCCCGGCGCCTTGCTCTATGCACAATGTTCTTCTTCGCTGACAGGGTGCTGCACCTCACCATTTCAGGAGCTGTCAACTTTTATTATATCGCTCCTCCGGATTGTGTACCAGACGGGCCGCAATTTGACTATACCTACTTCTGTACATACACAGCGTTCGTTGCGGCGGTTGGTTGCTGGTTCGGCATCTATGCGTTTCAAAAGTGGTGCAAGGGATGGAGCGCGAGGGCTATTTTCTGGTTGTTGAATTGTGTGCGGATTCTGGCGGCCCTTTTTGACTACGTTATGACGAGGAGGCTGAACATTGCTATCGGGATACCCGACAAGGTAATGTACATGCTGGGGGATGCGATCGTGTTTCACCTGCTCCTAACACTTTCGTGTATGACGAGCTCCTTGACCATTGCAAGATCGTGCCCTCCAAAACTCGAGTCCACGGTTTATGCTATTGTGTCGAGCGTGTCGAACCTTGGAAGTACCTGCAGCAAAATGCTAGGGGTGGTGGCGATCGAGCTTGCGGATATACGCATGAAACAGGACATGCCTGGTGGCTGTGACTTCAAAGCCTTGCCGAACCTGATCCTCGTATCACAGTGCGTACTGCCGATGATCAGCATCCCGCTCGCGTATTTCATGCTCCCAACGGAGCCGCTTAACGCCGCTATGCCCCCGGGGCACCGACGTAGCAGGCGTTCAATCGCACCCACGCAGGATACTGCGCCTTTTGAGGAGCCAGAGGATGATGCTCATGAAGGTGCCACTGGTGGTGCACTTTCGGAAACCTTGGCCATCCACAGCACCGTGGAAAACAAAGTGGATGTTGCTGTAGTAGCTGGAGATACGGGCAGCCGTCCACGCATCGTCGAAGTGTAGACCAAGAAGGGGGATGCTAAGGGTGCGATACCCACACTGGTCGGCTGGCCACTAGAGTCACAGGTAGCCATTATAATGTAGATGTTCCTTTGTTTAAGGATGCTCGGTGGGCGATCGAAGTTTCTGCGCCTGTTTTTGCTCTTAGTGGATGGCAGGAAGAGCGCATTTGAGGCCGACTCTGGAATCCGGAAGGACTGCACGTTCCACGCTGATTTTTAGTGAACGGCAGCTGCATTCCATTGCATCCACCATTTTCCTTACATTATGTGTGGCGAGGCTGTGGAATGGTCACGATGAACCAGAGATTTCAAAGGGCTCCACTTTGTGTGTATGCGACTTCCTCCAGTCTGTGTTTATTATTGCGAAAGAGCATTGCAGTTCGTGCCGATGAGCTTGCATGACGCTTTTAGTACACTTCCCGATGCAGTGTAACGCTCAATCCACGGTCTTTGTAGGGAGCCACCACCTCCATTTGTCTCAATACAAACTTCGAAAATTTACGAGCGTTTCCCAAAGGAGCTCCTTCATTGTTTGCACGTGCCCCTCAGAGTCCCCGAGATGGGGGGAGGGGGAGTGCTAGGGTGCGCCTAACTCCACCCTCTATGCACTGTGAGCATTTGCAGCTAGTTCCACATAGCATTCAGCGCAGACACGCTCAACGGCGAGCCATCTTGTGCTAAGCGAAAAGTTATCTAAAAAATAAATTTCACGAATAGCCGATCCATGTAGTTACCTGTTTATCAGTTACCACTCAAGTGAAATTAGTCTAATAGAAAGTTTGTATGCATAGCTTGGCCTGCAACTGGTGGCCACTGCTTGTTGTTCTGCACTTTATTTCCAATCAGATGCTCTTTGCTGTAGTGGCCGGGGTCTGTCCCTACTTAGTGTGTTCGTACGCGGAACAGTTTCTCCGTACTGCTGGTTCAGTCGTTCTTGTGTTGCCCGGGGACATGTAGGGGTAGTGTGGCACTGGCGAAGGAGTTGTTCTCTAGTGCGAAAAGGCGGATTAGTGCTACCTCTGAAGCAAACAACTCAGGTATGCAGTTGTTAATGTTTCACGGTGAAAGCCGCCGCTTTTGCATAAGTGTGTAGACAGGCGAGCATCCGACACTGAAGTCTGTACAATTTTGCATGTGACCTACAGCACCCACTGTAGTACCCATCCAAGATTGATTCGATTTCCTCTGCATTGTGGCGCAACCGGCGATTATAGCGATAAACATCTGGCGTGATAAGTCTAGCGCATAAGTAAGGCGTAAAACATGATGAGCTATACCGGCGGGGTCGCTCGCTAGGGCAAAATTTTAACTGTGGACTTGTTTAACAGGTTCACAATGGGAACTCGAAAATGGCTCAGGTAGCGAGTTGCTTCGTGTTATCGGGCACTACATTTACTAAGTTGCCGATATTGAGAACTTGAGGGCGTAGGAACTACGTGGTTAATTGAAGGATTGCTCCAGGGATTGGTAGTGTAGACGGTGATAGGCGAATACAGCGTCCCTTCATAAAGGCAGCATCGTGATATCCCGAATTTTCGATCATGAAAGACACTCATGAAGCTGCCACGTCGTGCAGCTCAGTGGGCAACAATGTCCCTCTTAGGGCGCTTCCATCGGCGTAGACATAATGTGAACGCGCAACGCAAGTAAATTTGATATCGGATTCCCCAGAAAGTGGTGGTTGACATGATCATTAGGTATGAAGGCTATTTAATATATTTTGGATTCAGTTGCGACTGAAGTATTGGGGACACGGCAAATTTTTAGCAGCCCGTTTTCAACCAGCATTGGGGATGCAGCATGACTTCCTTGACTGAGGCATAAAGCAGCCATGAAGAAAACGCACCTGTTTTTGTGATGCCCTCCCCCGAAAGCGCTTTTGAAGGATCCCGTTCCGTGCATAGAACTTATGAGCGTAAAGGTATTCGGCTGTCGGTAACAGCGTGTTGACGGCAGCAAGATGGGTAATACGACAGCTCTGATAGCAATGCTTTGGACAGGAAGCCCCTCTAGATTTTTTTACTCGTTTGTTCTGGACGGACTGTAATAGAGACAAAGTAGGCCGCTAGGTATGACATGTTCTTCCAGGAGCTCGACAGTTGGATAGACATGAGGTTCGGGATCCTCTAACCAGCAGATCCTCTGGTTAAATGAGGGTACTAATATACATAAGGATCAATACAACCAAAGGCCTCCTTTGTTTTATTGTTGCTTCTATCAGCGGTGCCTGCAGACATTCGGCGGGGGGCCCCTTAGGCCGAGGGCGCTTGCAGCCCCTACACAGCACTCCACAAAAAACCATGGATAGCAGTGAAGATTCCCCCTCTAAGAAACTGTTCTTTGACCCGATTTGTGCGTTTCGGCTTAAATGTGCTTCCATTGGGCGCGTTTCATTGACCGGGATTCAGCCAACACTATCTCTGTGAACGGCTGGGGATCGATCTGGACTTCATAGAGTATTCAACGCATGGCCATGGATTTGGCGCCAATATCAACATTGGTTTCGAGTTACCCACAAATTTATGTTTGAAATCTCTCAGCCTGAACCCCTCTTACAATGCCCCCGAACTCGCCGTGCCCCTGAAAGCCCCCACTTGTTGCTGCCTAGAGCTTTCTATCGAGGATTCGTTTGTGGGCTTCCTTGCTAGTGTAGTGAACACATCTGCGAGTGGCCAGCGCCATGTTCCAAAGCCTTCAGCTTTCATGCTTTCGTGTTGTTTAGCCAGTCATAAGTCGCCGAATAGTCCGTTTCTTCTAAAGGCACTGTTCCCTATGCCATGCCTGCTCCTCCTCGCTTGCTCCCCGCAGCCACAACGACGGGGCACTGTGCAGCCATAACAGAGGCCTCTCAAGAGCTACAACCGAGTATCCTTGTGCCATGGGCTTGCCGGTACTTCAAACGGAACCCGCTGCGCTGTCAATCGGCAATTTCACCTCCTATAGTTTCAAGGGAAAGCAGAACAGCCCTAAGCGGATCATGGGCGCAGAAGAGGGGTTATTGGGGTTCTGCGAGGTCTCGCTGGGCACTTTTTAGCGTACAAGCGCCCAATCTCGAGCCTGTCTTTTCTCTGCCCCAATGCGGAGCTGTCAGGGGGCTGGGATCATCCGCATCACTTTGGCAAGATGCAGCCACAGCTATGGCAGCAGCGGCTACTGCACGAAGAAACGAGCCTCGACAGAAGCACAAGCGGGAAACGCAGCAGGATGAGGAGTCTGTGGGTACATTGCCAATGTCTTCCACAGGCCCAGCAGCAGCGGCACAGGCCAAGACCTTGTCACAGCCTAAAGCACTTGACGGCGTCTATTTTTCTTCCTTTTACTTGGCCTTTCTTGCTGCTGTTCACGCGACTTCCCCTGTTGCATCAGCATCCACTGCCGCTGCAGCAGAGGCAGCCCGAGGCTGCCCCCGCCTGAGAGGGGCTATCCAGAAGCGCGAAGCAGCCACGGAGCGACTTTTGATGCTGACACCTCATCACCTGCCTTCTGTAGCGCACGTTGGCGCCACTGCTGCGCGCATGCAGAAGCGTCTGGCAGCAAGCCCGTTAAAACGCCCCGGTGCTCCCCCCGATGGTGCCTTGTGGCAGCGGGAGCTCGCCGCAGTAATTGGCACCACCTCTGAAGCCGCTGCTGCTTTTGCTGACCGAGCGTTCTGGGGGGCCTTCTGCCAAGCTGCAGCAGTGGCTGCTGACGCGTTTTCACCCTCGGAAGCCTCCCGCATTGCGATGGCAGCAGCAGCTTCTGTTGCTGCAGGTGCCCCGGGGTGGGCTCGGCTGTATGAGCCACACCAGAAATTGATTTTGGCATTGCAGGAGCACATACGACGTGTAAGCGCAGAGTCTTTTAGCTCAGAGATCGCTGTGTTGTGATCACCTCCTGCGGTGCGTGTGCCGTGGCTTACGACTCACCTGCATATATATGTGCGGTTTCTCGTGAATTCTTGAGGATTTAACAATGTTCTGTTCATGTGGTGCATGCAGCAAGCAAAGAGCTACTCACTTTTCCAGCTGCTCGCTGCTGTAGAGGCGCTGCAGAGACTTCAGGCGTTGCCATCGGCCACGCGACCAGCGGCAACAGCAGCAGCTTCAACAGCATCAGCAGAAGCAAGCGCGGCAGCAGCTGCGTTTACCGCTGCTGAAATTATTGAGCGTCCGAAAAGGGCAGCCGCAGCTGCTGCCGCAGCCACTTTGTGTGAGAACACATCTCTGATGCTGCATGCAGCGGAGGCGGCCCTACATGCAGAGTTGACCAAGGCAGCCTCAACAGCAGAACGTGCGGCGGAAGCTTCTAAAGCTGCCGGTTCGCTTGAGGCAACCAGCTCAAGAGCGGCAGCCCCTCTAGCGACAGCAGCCCCACTAGAGAAGCAGAGGCCACAGAGTACTGCTGCTTTCTGTTCCTCTTTGCTACGCTCTCTGCGCATTTATGCCGGTTCTGGAAGTTCCTGTCCAATGTTGTTGCAGTTCACAATCAACATCCTGCGCTCCAGGTCAGTTTGACATTAGCTATGGTTCTGCTGTATTTTTCCGCAATTTTACTGACGGGGGCCCCCTTTTCCGTTGGGGTGTGGCAGCGGCGCACCCACTGTCTTTTTGTTGTGCCACTGCTGCTGCTGCTGCTGCTGCCTGTCGCAGATCCCATTGGTTTTCTATCGAACAGCTGGTGGATTTGGCGGAGATGCTGTTGGATTTCCGGGTGCAACAGCAAGCTAGTCTCGAGTTCCTGCATCCCTTCAATGCGCGTATGTCAACGCTGCATCTCTTCCCTGACCCATGCTCCTCCCCTCTCTTGCTCTTTGATTAGCACCCGCAAGCGCCTCCCTCTCCGTGTGTTGGAGGCACTCAGACTCGCAGTAGCATTCACGGGCAGAACACAAAGCGCCTGTCGCTTGTACGCCTCCGTGATAGTCTCCATCCTCCTTGCCGCTATCACAAAGGCCCCTGGCTTGGGAATCTAGTCTTTATGAGATTGTTCAGGTCTTGTAGAGGCAGCTAGCGCAAACAAGCTGTCTTTGAAGGAACTGCTGGTGCGTCACATCCTTCTAGAGAATGCATTAGCCTTCCGAGGTGTGGCGCAGAAGCAGCTCCGCTTCTCCGCATTTATCGCCTCCTCCAGTTTCTGTCTCTGGGCCCCTTGCTGTCCAGCCCTTTGCACTGAGGTGACTGGGAAACCGAGGAATGCTGCTGCGACTGGCAATGCTTGCCACTGACTGCTGCAGCGACTGCTTCGCGCCTACGGCGGCCTAGGAGTGACCAGCCCCTCTCTAGTTTCAGCAGCGCTCAGTCACTTTGGATGCTCTGCGAAGGACTGGAGCGACCCAGCGGATCACCCTCTACCATGCCGTGTGGCACCAGAGGCAGCCGAAGCGGTAGCCTTGCGCGCCGTTGCTGCTTCAGCGCTCTCGCGTTGCACCGCCACTGAGCAGCAAGAACACGAGCTCCTGTTGCGTTGTAGCAAGGCCTATGCATCCTGTATGGCGGACGCAGAAGTAGCAGCAGCGCTGGCGGGCACAGCCCCCGAGGCTGTCGACCCTAAGGATCAGTAAGTCCTTACCCGCGTGTCCACTTCCATGCCTTTGACTGAACATTTGTAGCTTCGGCTGTGCTGGTAATGACAGCCGCTGCTAGTGCCAGCGGCAAAACTGACGCTGCGGCTGCTGGGGCGGATTCCGACACAGGGCCGACGCTCTCACGAGCTTCGTTTGCTGATCTCTGCGCTGCAGGAGCGCTCTGGTGCTGTTGCAGTGTCTGCTGCAGCAGCAGGCTCTCGATAGGCGGGGATTGCTCCTGCTGCTACCAACGCTGCGGCTCGAGCTGCAGCTCCAGTGTTCGCTCCAGCAAAAGGGCCCGTATCTCCAGAAATGTGGCCTTGTCTTGTCATCTTTTGCAAGCTGTGGGGTGCAGTTGCTACATCTCTGGGGGGAACTGCTTTCACCTTTGTTCCTTCCGCCTGCTGCAACACCGTCTGCTCAAGTAACAGCAGCATCGGCTACCCAGTGGGGATCGTGGCTGCTGTCACGCCCGCTGTTGCAGCACGTGAAAACCACAGTTTCTGCCGGCATATTTTGTGGCATCACTGCTGCTGGATCCGGCGAGGAGGCAAAAGAGCTTCTGCAGGTCGCGGCTGCTGCGGCAGAACATTCTGCAGCAGCAATCACAGGATTCTTATGTTTGCTCCAGCGTAGCAGCAGCAGCGACGGCCTGGGGCAGCTGACTGAAGAGGCGCTGGAGGAACTCGCTGCAGACATATGCAGTGCGTTATGATCTTTCGGCGATTTTTGAGACTGCTGGTGTAGACTTAAAGATCTGCTGGGAGTTGCAGCGCAGCCAGTTTTGGGACAAGCCCCTATGCATCTGCTGCGACTGATTTTCGCAGAGCTTCTCGACGCCAGCGGAGTGGCAGCAGTACTTCTCCACCTGCTGCATCAACAGCAGCAAGAGCGGCAGCACGCAGACGTATCGTGTACAGCAGTAGGAGCAGCGGCAGCAGTGAGGTCCGCCCCGATAGCAGCATCAGCAGCTACAGTGAAAATCCAAGGCCTTCAAGAGCTGCTAGCTGCTGAAATACCAGAGATGGTTTCAGAAGGACCTCGGCAGCAGCAGAAGACGCAGTTACAGCGGCTTTTGGAGCAGCAGCTACAGCCACTGTTGCAGCAGCATCAAGGCTTGTTATTTGAGCTTCTTGTTGAGTTGGGATGCCGTGGAGCCCCCAGGTATCTAGCAGCTTGAATGCCGCTCTGTTACTTCTTTTCGTGCGCCTGAATGCCTGTGTCAATATTCTGTAGTCTCTCTGTCTCTTGAGCTTTCATGTGCCTTTTAGCTCTAGCATGTGTGCCTTCATGGTTCCTCTTCTGCATACCCCTCTGTCACCTGCCGCACCAAGTCTATATGCGTATATCCTCATGTCTCCTATCCTGTTGCGTGTCAAGGGATGCACAAGGCCGTTTGCCGTCTGTATAGCTGGTTTCATCTGCCGCAGGAACCCTGAGGAACTGCCTTCTGAGCTTCTGGTGGCAGTGGAAGCAGCAGAAGGGGAAAGCTTAGACTTACGGAGTACCTGGGGGCACACAGCTCTCCTCTTCTTCTTACAGTCAGCACTGCGGGGAGCAATGCCACTTCTTGGCAACAGCAGCAGCAGGGAGATGCAAGGCGCTGAAGGGACTGGTCACCTACCAACCTCTTTAAGAAAATGCAGCAGAAGCCTAACCTCCGCTAAGGGCCCTACTGTTGGTTCTTTGTTGCTGCTGGCCACGTTGCTGGAAAGGCCTAGAGAAGACGTTCCTTTGGTGCATCACTTGTTGCAGCTGATTGTTCTGCTCCCAGCAGCTGAAGGCTGGTCAGGGCTAAGCACAGCAGTGAATCGCTTTGTACTGCATCTTAGAAGCTTCCTGCTGGCCGTGCGTCTGCAGAAACGCAATCAGCGATGTTCCCAGGACGCCTTTTCTTAGGAGGCCTTACTGGACGCCTGAGTTGCCCTGAGAAACTGTTGGAAGGCTTGGAAACTAAACGAGTCTGCTTCGCACCCGATGAAAATCAACATATCTGCTCTTATTTGAATCCCTGAGTTTCATGTCACCTTGGCGCCTTAGGGGTGGCCCACTGTTGTGCTGCATTACATAAAGGGGCGGGCACCCTAAAGACAATTACAGATAGGAATAGCGAGGATGCAAAATTCAAAGCGGGGAGACATCGGAGGCTAAATAAAGGATGATCAAATTCAGTGGTCTCGTACAGTAGACCTCTTGAAAAACACGTATGCCCATAATGCAGTGGCTTTCGAACAGGACCCTAGTTGTCTGCCCAACGAGTGCGCTTCAACTTCTCTGAATCCCCCAAGCAATGGAGGCGGGTAGCCTAGACTTATGAGCATTCGGATCTAAAAAAGCTTCCTTTATTTCAAATTGTTTTTTATTAAAACAGAGCCGCGCAACGGGTCCATGCAGCAGTTGGTTGTCTAGCGCACGCGTAAGTTGAAGTGACCTATGCTGGAGGCAGCTATCTTTACTGCTGGTATTACCTCCACTACTGCTCTTGCAGACATTATCCAGAGTAGTCCTTGTTGCAAGTTTAGGGTGCAGAGTACCCTGGAGTTGCAAAGTTTAGGGTAGACCAAACGACGGAGAGCGGTTTCACATTGTGCATGCAGGTCGTCTCCCCAACAACAACCAAGACACCCGACCCATCAAGCTGTCCGTCCTCACTGCTTCCTACATGAAAGTGGATATTGTTGATTGTAAGGTGATGCAAATAGATCCATATATGCTTCGTTCATGCACAGTTGCAAGAGTAGCAGGGACGATGCCTGTTTGGTGCTCCCACCCTGCCATTCCCGCGTTCCAATCATATGCACGAATACGCCCTTCAATTTCCATCAAGCTATAAGAACAAAACTTCTTGAGCAGAAGCGTACAGCAGACTCCAAATTAGGTGTATACAGAGTCCTTTGTCTGCTGGACGAGGCCGTCTACTTCCCGAGACGAACGACAAGGGGAAGCCTACGCTGCTGCTCCGTCTCATATGAACAGTCCTTACATCCATATATATATATAAACAACTGATATATGTTGATGCATATACATGTCTCTATTTGTGTATGTACAAGATGGTGTGATAAGCTGCTGAGTGCTGTGTGGGAGGTGAAGTGTTGGATAGGCAGGCACAGATCGCAGTATCGTAGTATGGGTGTATACAGGGACAGATATGAAAACTGCGTACACTGAAAGGATTCATATGCATTCATACACATGCGTGTAGATCCCTGTAAATGCCGATAGATATACAAGCGTACAACACGAGAAAGGCATCAAACACGCAGACAGTCAGCCGTACGTCACGAAAGTCCTCCAACCGAGGACGATCAATATATATATATATATATATATATATATATATATATATATATGAATATATATATTTATTTATTTATGCGTATTGCCCGCGAACTGCTGATCATCTTGTGAACCTCCACTCGCACGAATATCACAGTAGCAGGAACACCAAACGAAGCTATTTGACGCCCCAAACCTCCACATCCACGAGGTGGCACTCCCCGAAATCTCCGCGTATGAGACTAGGCGAACCAAATGTGACGGAGGGTGAGCTTCGGCAGCGAGACAAGTCTTGGTCAACCCACAAGGCAACTCTGGAGTAAACAGCACGGACACAGCAACAGGGATTTACTAAGATTGCGGAAGAAAAGCTGTGGGGAGAGGTTAATAGCTTTGTGCGTGTATGATGTGGCTTATATAAACCGCTTTCTCCCCCGTCCCCTTAGCCTCTGTAAGCACGGACGAACGTTCTGGGAATAGGCACGTCCATAAGCGCAGGTTTACACAAGGATCGCAAGCACTGAAATGCATTCTTCGATTGTAGTGGCTTGTTTTACTCGTCAGTGCCCAGGTAGAATCCTTCAGGGCGAAGACGGAAAAAGGACGAATTCTTGCCCGTCCACCAGAAAACACGTGGCGTTGGTCGCAAATTAAAGACGAATGCATCGCTGTATATGAAGCCTATACACACGAAGACAAGAAGCAGGGTATGCGCCTCATACAGAAGCAGAAAGAGCCGGAGCGTGAGGTCAGCATTTACCACAAACGCAGCCTGTCTAGGAGAAGCAGTCTCTGTCGCATTGCTGTCTCTTCTTGCCCTCGTTGTCCCCTTCCTTTCTACCTCCGTGAAATTCCCTCCTTGTTGCGACATACTGGTTGCTGTATGGAGAAGGTGAAGAGGATGCGGAGAGAAAAATCCAATAATCTCCGCCCCGTCCGTCAAGGCAAGGAATACCATAGAAACCTTAGACGTGCGGACGTTTGCCATAAGAGCACTGAGCGTAAATCCATCATGGCTGCTGGTGAACAGCAAAGAAGGACTCTGAAATGACATGTACCCATACACAACGCATGCGAAGGCTTCCGTTCGGGACGGATGAACAACAGTGTGTATGTAGGGCACAGAAACGAATAAAGCCCCTCCCTTTCACATACAGTCAGACTGCGTGTTGCGAATACAAACGGTGCGTAGAACGGTTTTCCTCATATGAACGCAGAATGCGCAGCAACCCCCTATGGCAGGCCTCCAAACAGGTAGCAAGCTGGCTTCTCTGTGACTGCATTGTCGACTCGATAAGCAGCTAGCGCTAACTCGGTAGCTGACTCGGCAGCTCACTAGGTAGCTGACTAGGCAGCCCTCTGCGAAAGGTGCTCTGCCTGGAAGGAAATAAGCGCTGAATATTTGCAGGCTCAAAGCTTACCGAACATCTGTGTATATCGGGTAGCCACCTCCAGAGCGATTCCCACATGTCCATGGAAGTTAGAATGCGCGAGTTTCCCTCCGGACGGATCGTCAAAAACTCGTGCTGAGTCAAAATTCCAAAGTGCCACGTGCAAAGCATCGGCTTTTGCTTAGAGAACACACCTGTATGCTTGTCTATTGAAAGCGCATGGCCGATTTTAATAGTGGGGAGTGGGGGATATGCGCAGCGATTTTTGGACCGTAGATCGTCTACAACGTACAATTTTGGTGCACATGAGATACGGACTCTGCAGTCCTAAGGTGCCTTCCCTGAGCGCAGAAGCACAACAGCACAAAACTTGCGATCCGTTTGACTGCTATCCGTCAAACTCGGACGAATACTCTGCGCCTGTGTGCCGAGTTTTGAGGGCTGCTGAGGGTATTTTTCATCGCCACGAGGGAGAAGCGGGTTTACCCAACGGCCCGCAAAATGCTCGTCTTCAAATGCTGAGCAGTCTGCAGCGCAAAAAAGTGGCAGTGTCACATACATCCTTTGCAGCAGCACATCGCATCGCTTCGCTTCGCAATCGGCGTCTTTAAAAGAGAGAGAGGGCAGCTGCAAAGGGGATGCATGTCCTCCCTCGCACTGCTATGCACGCCCTTGCGTCCACCACACACTAAAATGCATGGTTTTGAGGAATCAGAACAAGCCATATTTAAACCAAGAAAGAGAGTCGACCTTACCCATGACAGCTCATTGAGGTTCAAACGCGGATCTGAGCTGCAGCGATAGAGGACGCATTCTGCCGCTTCCGTTGTGTCGCAAGCCATCAACTCGGGCTGCAAAGGAATAAATATCACACAAAAGGGTGCACCACAAAAAAGCCGCGAACGCTGTACAAAGGCCGTCTTGACTCTCCTCCCCACGAGCAAGCCTCCTGAAAGCATACGCTGCCTCGTCTCTATCACCCCCTTCACCCAGTGCACGGCTGCGCAAGGCTTGCTCAACTGCGCAGTTCGTCGCGGAAAATTCGTCTCCCCATAGGAGAGAGGAAACACCCTAATAAAGACCAACACTCTCGCCATGTGTGTGCATCCGTCATGGCATACCTCTAAGAGTTGAACCAACGCAAGGGAAAACTTGCAGAGGGCCAGACTGCCTTCGAAGAGGAGCGTGCTCATAATACGCAGCACAAAATCGAAAGGCAGCAACCTGGAGAAGCCATCTTGCAGCCCTCTAGCGGCCCAAGCCGGGATATCTACGCGCAAGTGCCGCATGTGGAGGAACAAACGCGGGAACTTGAACCGAATCGCTTCCACAACAGATGTCACCAGCCTGATGAGCACACAACACAGCTTCGCATTCTAGGGGGGATGATGGGTTGGCAAGGAGGCGGCATCATCACGCGTCGAAGCAGGTGCCCCTGCGCAGACATGTTCTTTGTATTGAAACGCAGGCTTTCCCGTTCTAAGGTAAAAGGTAATCCGTAATTTGTGGCGAAAAGGATGCAAAGGCGCTTGCCAGACACCGCAACGGATACGGGAGCAAACAAAAGATTCAGGCCACAAAGGATTCACAGAAAGGCAGCAGCCCTCACAGACGTCGAGAAGAAGCCACCACTACAGTGCGAAAGGTCGCTCTGTCAAATGCAGACTCCGCCTCCTTCCGTTGGGGTGTATACGTCTCGAAGGGTTCTTCTACTGTCTGCTTACCAGATGAAATCCATGCGTCGAATCACAATGTGATCGAGCCGGTGAAGGACTGCACGAAAAAGCCAACGCGCATGAAATCCCCAGACAGTAGGGAGGGAGCAGCGCGGAGAGGGTGGGAAGCAACATGCTCACAAAAATTTGTCGAGCATAGGTGGTCTCTAGCGCCTTTGAAAGGGGAGCAGGAAGCCTCAGAGGAAAGCCTGCAGAGGGCGCACTCCAGAAGCAAGGAGGATCAACGATGAAGCAGGAGGACTCGTGGTGTCTTACTGCGCTGGTGGGGAAGCTGTTTTGCGGTGTCTTGAGCCTTCTTTACAAAACAGTAAAGAACCGTAAATGCTGCCGTCTCGCTCATGTACAGAAGCAGGATGCAAGCCAGATGCGGAATGATCTGCAAGAGGATTGCAAGCGCAACATACGCACACATACACATATATATAATTGAATACACACACACAAATAATTGAATACACACACACATACACATACATATATATATAATTGTACACATTCACGATATAGACATACTGAATGTATGTATGTATACATACATATCATGTACATTTGAAACCCAAAACATATACATATCCAGACACACATGAGTGCATACACACAAAATAAGATGTACATATAATGTATACACAATGGCATGCGAAACAGAGCCTCATATGAGGCAGGAGGGCGGCAAATACCATTGAGCCCAACAATAAACTCTGAAGCGGAATATAGAATCGGCAGAATTGACCTTGGTAAAAAGCCTATGGAACCAAAGATGAAGGCAGATGGGGATGGAACGGTGAAAAGCGCAGCAGGAACTTATAGAGCCTCGGAAGGGCACGCCAGTACGCCAGAAAGCAAGGCAGAAAGCGTCGGATGTGCAAGAGAAATATAAATACACAGGTACACCCAGGACGGTAAACGTGAGGCCTGGAGGGCGTCAAGAGGAAAGAAGGGAAAGAGGAGAGCAAAAAAAGAAGAGCAAAAAAAGAAGAGGAAAGAAAGAAGGGAAAGAGAAGAGGAACGAAAGAAGAGGAAAGAAAGAAGGGCAAAGCCAACGAGGACGCGCAAATGAGGATCCACAGACAGACACGCAAGAGAAGGACAGACAAATAACAGGAGCGCAACAACAATTTTCCCTCAAGCCCTCTCTTACAGGGCAAAACTCTAGACCTCCCCGAAAGAAACCAAAGAGCGCCCATAGCAGACGGCGTGCAGCAGCCTGTCCGCTCCCATTCAGCAGCCGAGAAAAGTCTGTGACATCTTCTAGGAAGTAGACAGCGTTCCTGCGGAGCCAGAAAAACGAATTCGCATACACGTTCCCCAAACGCGCCATCGGCAGCCCTCCTCCTCAGGAAATATATTTAAGAATCTTTTTTTTGGAAATCAATTTAAGAATCTCTTTTTTGGAAATATATTTAAGAATCTTTTTTTTGGAAATATATTTAAAAATCTCTACAAAGACCTTGAAACAATGCCTGTTCCACGGTTAAAATACGGATGTACATACAAACAAACACACACACGGGCGCATTGGCTGTCATCCTCTGAGAAAAGTGCTGCTGCTGCGTTCTCGAACCTAAATCCGCGTCGTTGCGCATACCTGTCTCCCCCCTCGATCTGCTCCTTCCAGCTTTTGCCTCTGGAGGGGGGGGAAGGCGAGGACTCTCTCGGCGAAGGGGCCCCCGGATCGGACACGTGTTGCTGCTGCTGTTGCTGCTGCTGTTGCTGCTGCTGTTGCTGCTGCTGTCGCTGCTGCTGTCGCTGCGGCTGTTGCTGCTGCTGTTGCTGCTGCTGCTGCTGCTCATAGTAATCGACAGTGTTGGGGGGAAGCGGGGGGAGCAGGAGCATGGATGGCCTTAACTGCGGATGCGGCATGGGGGCATTCGTGTACTTGAGGGAAAGCCTTGCTTCCCCGTCATGCCCCCTAGGAGTCTCTGTATCCTCCTGCTTTGGAGGCGTTCGCATTAAGCACATGCGGACGGGCTCTGGCAAAGGTTCTATCTGCAGAAACGGCTGCCGAGAGTGCTCCTCTGGCAGTTGTTTCGCTTCTCCTTGTTGCGGAGATTGCGGCTTGTAGGGCTGCTCCGGCAGCGTGGGCAGACTCTCCGCTATGCGCGCGTCTTCTTCATCCCCCATGCGGAAGCTGCGCAGAAGACTGCTGCTCCTGAGTGGCGGAAAGTCTGCTGCAGCCGCTGCAGCTGCGACCGTTGCGGCTCCCCTCGCAGACTGAATGAGATCGTCGCTGTGAGTGCTGCTGCTGCTCCGTCTCCGGATGTCTCTGACGGCAGCATTTGCTGCGGCAGCTACAAGCTTGTCTGTGTCGAAGGGATCTCCTCCCCCCCGCATCGCGTTGCTGAGGAAATCCAAGCGCTTCAGCTCCTGCGCCTCCTTCCCCTTGCGGCTTCTGCAAAGCCTCACGCTTGGGAGGATGCGTGTCAGCAGCCCCTTCTTGCGGAAGGGCTCAATGGGAGGATTCGGCAGATGATCGAGGGGGAGCTGGATGCACATTTGCGGATCCTCTTCCTCGTCTCGCCCCTTCTTACCTCCCAGCGCAGCAGAGCCCTCGCTGCTCTGGGCAGCTGCACGCTGCAGCCACGAGACGACTGACAAGCGCTCCCGCCCCTCACTGGCAACCTCGTGAGTACGCCTGCGACTTCTCGCACCAGAAAGACGGCTCCAAAGCCCACCACGGGAGGCATAAGGAGACGCCTCCGCAGACGCGGAAGCCAGCGGAGGGGCACTCACAGACATCGGACTCAACTCCGACTCAGCAGACACCTCGTCTGCCTTCCCCGAGGAGGAGCAGCAGCAAGGCGATCCGGGAATTCCCTCCAAAGGAGAGCGCTGCTGCGTAATGATGGGAGTGTCCCCCTTTCGATCATACAGCAGCTGAGGCTGGCTAAAGGCAAGAGGAGCCTGTTGCCGGTGCCTCCTCCTCCTCCTGACGCTGTTATTCAGGAAGCTGACGAAAGATCTGGTCGGCGCACTTTGTCTCGACACGCTTTGCGTGTTCGAAAGCCTTCCTTTGAGGGGATCCCACCGAATCAGCTGCGATTCGGAGCCGCCTCTCCTGCCAGGCTTCCTCTGCCCCCAGAGCCCCTTCTCCACCAAATCGAAAGACGTCGCCGTGTAATACCTCCTAAACGCCCACCGATCTCTTTCGTTGTCGACTTCCCGAGCAACCGCCATGACAGCAGCCGCGGCAGCCTCGAAGGCTATTCTGTCTCTCGAGCGCTGTGTGGACTCTCGCATTTGCGCGGCTTGCCGCTGCGCGTCGAGATGCATGTGCTTCATGTACGAGGAAAAGTCTTCCAGCTCCCCGCTGCGACGGCGACCAAACAGGTCCCAAGATATCACGTCTTCCTTGCATGCTGCAGCTGCAGCCCCTCCTCCTCCCGCCATCGTCGTGGCATCCGCGTACACCAGCGGGCTGCCTCCTGACGAGCATGCAGACTCCAAGGGGGCCCACAAGGTGACGGGGGAAGGGGGGGGGAGCGGAAGAAGCTCCCCTTCTCCGCCAGACACCCCTGCAGCTGGCGATCTCTCACGGACGGCTGGGAAGCTTTGCTGCACTATCCCCGCAGCACCAGCGAGGCTGCTCCCGTTGGTGCGTGGCGACACCCCATATGTGTCCGAGCTGCTCCTGCAAGTCTTCCCGGAGGGGAAAGGTTCCTGCGGGAGCTGCTGCCACTTTGCAGAGGTTGATCCCGTGGGATCAGCGGGAGCCAGCTCTGCCCCGCTCTGCGTACGCGACTGCGAAGCCTTGGTGGAAGTGGGACCAATGTACGTCAGGAGCTCGCCAACGTTGGCTTCTCGAGCTGGACTGTCGCCCTTAGACTCGGTGCTCCCCCCGCCTCCTTCGGAGCCAGCGCGACGCTGGTGCTGAGACGGCATCCGCTGCGCTGGCTGCTGCCTCTGCTGCAGCTGGTGCGCCTTGCAGAGCAGGATGTCTCGCCTGCGTCCTCTGCGCTTCTGCTTCTGCAGCTTCAGCTGCCGGGAAGCCTCCTGGCGATCCGTCTGGTGCGCTTGTCGGGGGAGGCGCAGCGGAGGCGACAGACCAGCAGCAGCAGCGTCACTTCTCGCAGCGGCAGCCTGCAACGCATCCTTCTTCTCGTGAGTGTCTGGCCAGAAGTTGAACTCAGGCCGCAATTCCTGACCCAGAGGATTCTTCCCCGGGCTGCGAGAGGCATGCGGGAGCGCAGCCACGCGTCTGTTGCTCGGCGACATCCCGGGGAGGTACTGGTGCGGTCGCCGCATGCGAAGGGTCCAGGAGGATCGCTCGGATCTGCGGATCTCCTGCTCCGTCTCCGACGAGGCGGAACGCCAGGTGGCGAGGGGAGCGTCGCCGTCCAGTTCGAGGTGCTCGAGCGTTGTCTGAACACCGCAGACGTCTTCCTCCAAACCCAAGAGGCCCCCACTGAACGTTGGGCACCGCCCCGGGAGGGATCCAGGGAAGGGGGGCCCCCCGAAAGACTCGACTTGCACCTGGCGATACAGCGTGGGCTGTTGTTCGAGTTGCTGCAAGGCGTCGTTTGCGTGCAGCAGCACGCAGCACTTGAATGCGTCGGGGATGCCGGACCATATTTCGTCACGCAGCTGCTCCTTGACGCGCGTTCCACTCCACGGCTGCTGATGGCTATGCGCGGAAGAGCCTCCATTGTTGCTAGCGGGGGCAGAGGAGCTCCCGAAAAACGCAGCTAGACGGTTGGCGCTCATGGGGGTGGCTGCACTTGCAGGGACGGCTGAGGAACGGCAGGCGGAGCTTCTGCTCAGGCCGCCACTCCCTCCTCCTTCTGCCGTGTCAGCCTCCATGGCTGCGATGGCAGGAGACACCTCGGGAGGCACGAACGGCAGCAGGTGCTCGCGCAGGATGCGCTCGCCTCGAGGGGCCCACACCTGCTGCTCCTCTTGATCCAGCTGCCTCCACTTGCTGAACGTGTCGACGGAGACGTACGGCTGCATGTACCGTCGCGCTGTCTCTGCAGTTGACTCGGCCCGAGCGGCTGCTGCGGCGGCGGCTGCAGCAGCGGCCGCTGTGGCAGCCGCAGCTACGCGGTCCGACACCGACAAGGGGCCCTCGGTAGAGAATTCATTGGATCCGGGAGAGTTGAGGAGGGTGCAGCCTTGATCGGATGGCGCACTTCCCCCAACAGCGCGCACACCTGGATGGTCAAGAGCATCCTGCATAATACCAGGAGCAGGCAGGCTATTGGATGTCGAGAGGCCTGTAGAGGGAAGCCCTCTACACCCTGGGCTAGGCCCTTGAAGACTGCGAAAAGCAGGCTAGAAGGGCCTTATCTTCGCTACAATGGAGTGCAGTAAAAGTGGAGTGCAGTAAATATGGAGTGTTTGACGATGGCGTTCTCCAGCGGTCTCCCACTCGCCTCTGCGACGGCTGCCGATGACGCTCAGCGACTTCCTCTAATCGAACATGCGGGGTGCTTTGGAGGCTACCCTCGCTGCTGCAAGACACACGGAGAGGCGGCGCTGTGCGCACAGCCGTACGTACAGCCGGCTGAAGGAGAGAGAGAGAGAAAGCAGCAGCAGCAGCGGCTGGCAGGCAGCCACTGGGGTGTATGCCCTTCGGATGCTCTCTGCAGCGCCGTGTCGTGAGGGGAGGATGCACAGTCTTGGGAAGCGCTTGGAGCCAGGAAATTGGACGACTCCGTTAAAAGCTCAAGATCTACAAAGCTGAGACACCCTAAGAGTAGCTTGGTCAAGGAGAGGAGCCGCACGGGGACGCTCGCGACACAGCCTTGCTGCGATGCTGCGCTCCCACCGCCCTTAGCACTGACACCCAGTTAGAGTCACGGAGCCCGTTCTTGACGCGGCAGGAGCCCTTCTGCAAATTGAAAAAGAAGCACAGGACCGGCTTTTCTCCCGCGTAGCAGTATGGCTGCTAGCAGGGTTGCCCTGACCAGCGTCAAGGAGGCGGCGCCGAGGGTTAGAGCACGGGAAGGAGCTTGCAAGACTCTTGGAAAGCTCTAGAAGAAGCAGACGACGGTATAAAAAGCAACGCAGAAGAAAAGCTAACAACCCCACGGCCAGACATGCTGAAGCTCCTGCTGCTGCTCTACCAGAACTGGGATGCGCCACACAGTGCCTTGTCGCTCCAGCTGCCTTAACTTGGGTAGGCATAGTGAGACAGGACCAGAAGAAATACAATACAGTCATAGGCAGATTGCGCCCAATAAAGGACGCACAAGAATTTTTGTGGCTACCACTATGCTGTAGCTGCTGCTGCTCCTCCTACAGCAGCCGAACGAACGAGCCCGCAGCGGCAGATACTCAATGGAGGCCCACATGAATGGGGCATATTTTTGAATGATATGCGCTTATACCTCTAGTAAATCTAACTTTAAATAACCGGGAGACACGGCTGCTGGCCAACACCAACCTTCCAACGCGCCACGCCTTTGGTGCTGGAAAGAGGCGATGGCGTTTCAGACAAAACACTGTGCCATGAAAGCCCGTCAAATTCAGTAGCCAAGGGCTCTTAGAGCTCTCAAATGCGATCAAATTTCCATCTCCTTGGGGCTTTTCGGAGCAGGGTTCTAGAGAAAGAGTATTGGCCTAAGTACCCCTAACGGCATTCGTTCAGTGGGCGTGGCGGATAGTGCAACACTTGAACGCTTTCTACTATATTCGCTATATATAACTAAGAATTTATAAGGAACAAACGTATTGGTGAGTCTGTAAGTACATCTTATTTATTGCAGCGTAGCGTAAGCTTGCTACCGGGAGACGTAATACTGTGCACTGCGGGGGTACACGCTGTATGCAACTGGGTGTGGATGCTGAGAGTGCTTAGGGTAAGGCGTATCATAACCGTCTCTCTTGCCTCGGATTGGGAATCTATAGGGGAGTGGGTAGGGCATAGAGAAAATTCTTTCGAAATGTGCTCACTAACATCTTATTAAGGTTGTATGGAGTCTGGAGGAAGGTGTGTCTCCCTACCGAGGCTTAGGATGGAGCGTTACTTTGAGAGGGCAGAGCTGAACACACACACATACATATACATCCATGCATGCGTACGTATATACATGCATACGCACATCCCGCATTGCAGTCCCTAAATAGAGATTTTCCAATACATGCAACCCGTGTGTGCATCCAAATTGCACACTCCCCTAGAAGGCATCGTTATTGAACCTGACTCTAAAATATCCGGGCTTCATCACATGCATTCAAATCTTGGTCTATTCTGCTCTCGGCCCCTCCGTACCGCACAGTACGTCCCATTACCCTGATATCAGCGCCTCACAGGAATTTAATGATCCACGGTTACCTGCCCTTTAGCCTCTGTCGTGATACGTGGGCGCAAGTTAGCCGATGGCGTCGAAGGCCTGTTGCTACAGGCCCTCTACTTCCGGCAGCGACGGCGGCATCGCAAGTGAATTCTTTTTCAGCGTGCTTCCCCTTGGAATTTGTTTCCAGTTCTCTCTATGGCCTCATATCTGGTAGGCGGGGTCTTAATGTCAAGGGCTGAGGCGGCACTGTATGCGTGTGTGCGCCATCACACCAAGAAATGACCCTGCAAGCGTCGGCAATGAAATGCCATCTATTGGCTGCGCAGGGAGAACCGTTGCAGCCACATATAAAATGGCAGTCTCTCCAAAGCAGAAGGCCCCTAAGGTCTATCGTTGCGCTAGGGCTGATGATTTAACTAACGGTCCTAGTACAGCACTACCTACAGCAGCACTCCTGTGCTCTTTCCCTCCTTCTGCGCTCAGGGGCAAGAAAAGGTTTCGAGGACAGCCGTTGCCCCTCTCTTTCTCGCTGCAACTTGCTTGCACTTCCATCGCACACACTCGGGTCTCTACTTGAAGAAGCGCCTGCATACGTGAGTGCGTATTTCGTAAACGCAAAAAGCCAGAGCCTGAACTGCCTGCGCAGTGCGGCTGTGGAGGATGCGTATGCCTACGAAGTGGCCATGCGCCCTCTCACATCTGACGCGCCATATCAGCAGCTTTGCTGAGATAACCAGAGCCTTGCATCCATCTGGTCGATCCACCAAAGGTGGAAAGGCAACAGTGGGGTCCAGCATTTCGCTGATGAAACACGACCGATCAGTTGGCCTTCAGCTCCTTGATCGCGTCCAGCAATTTGTATTCATCCGGCAGATAGAACTGCGGAGTGCGCAACAGAGTGGAGAGGCCGCAAGCCACCAGAAATACGGAGAGCGCATGCCGACGCAAAGAGAGAGTGAGAACACGAGGGTGCATGCGCTGCTGCATGCGCTGCCCAGAATTTGAGGGACGTCCCGATGCAAAGGGGCCTCCCACAGCCATTTGAAGAGAGAGCATTATACAAGGATCGCTTCAAAATCCGAGGGGTATGCACAAGGGAATCGCCCATACTTGGCACATTCACGTAAAAAGGCTTTGATTGTCACACTACGACGCTGCAACTACAAGCATCGCTACCCCCCTTCCAAGCCAAGCTCGCGGCTCCCCCGTGCACCTCTAAGCCCTCACCGGCTCATACGCGAGAGGGAAGGGTGTGTCATAACCCGTGACTCTCTTTATGGGTGCCTCCAAGCTGAAGAAGCACTTTTCCTGCACCGTCGTAGCGATCTCCGCAGCGAAGCCCATAGTTTGCTGTGCCTCATGGGATACAAGGAGGCGTCCAGTCTTCTTGACTGAGTTGATGACGGTGTCGACATCCCAAGGAACGATGGTTTGAAGGTCTATAACCTCCACCTTGATGCCCTCCTTCTCTGCCATCTGAGCTGCCCGGAGCAGCCGATGCACTTGTGTGCCCCACGCCACGGCAGTTACCTAATAAAAAAGGACTCGCACACATCAGTTCGCTAGCAACGGGAAAGCACGATGTTTCGAGGAGGCGCAATGCTTGTACCCCCTGCGTTATTCCGCCGGGGCAAGGCATATATAGAGAGGGATGCACAAAATCGCATCGCATAAGATCGTATTGCACAAAATTGCATTGCACAAAATTGCATTGCACAAAATTGCATTGCACAAAATTGCATTGCATGTCAGCTGCATCTGCAGCCACCACGAGAAAGGCGTATATACGTGTGCATGACTGCCTTGAACACGCCGGCGGTCCGCTTAACGGCTTAGAAAGGAGCTACTGGGCTTCTTGCCGCGCCGTGTGTATCCACGCCACACGAGAAAGGTCCGAGGTAATCTATGCTGGCAGGTGTGGGGATTCTGAAGACAGATGTGACACACATGTTCTCCTTCCTGGATAATATCTGCCTTCGACAGATCCAGCGTGTAATCGCCTGTGGGCACCTCGTCCGTTGCAACTCTGTATAGCGCCTTCGGCTCGAAGAAGAGGCAAGGATTCTCATCTCGGATACAGGCTAAGAGGAGGCCTTTCGCCTGGTAGGGGCCCCTGGGTATTACGACCTGAGCGGTCCCCACAGTGCACACGCAAAAAGCAGCCTCCGCGTCTGCGCTCTGTGAGCAGGAGGAGGGAAAGAAGGAGGCGGAGGTGAGATGAGGTGAGGAGTGAGGGCATATACATTCCTGCACAGGGCCCTCTGTCACAGCCCTTTCTGCAGAAGCCTTCTCGCTCTCCTCCTCCCTAGAAAGGAGGGACAAAAAAGCAGCAATGGGCCCAAGCAGAGACAACGAACAACCCTGCAGCAAGGTGTCTGCTTGCCTTAATGCCAGCCGCATGGGCAAAGAAGGCCTCCGGAGACTGAGAGTGATACAGACCGCCATGACCAACAGCCCCCCATGAACATCTGAAAGTCGCCTTCCCGCAGTTCCAGTTGTTACCGCTCCTATACCTGAACTTGGCGGCTTCATTCACAATCTACGCGCAGCAGCAACACACTGGACACACCAGATCTCCTCTCTCTCCCCCTCCCTGAGCCCCCTTCCTCCTCTGCAGTGAGGAAGGAGAGAAACAGTGCATGCCACAGCGCCCAGCACCATGAGTCCTGTCTGGTTCCCCATACAGTAGCGGACAGAAGAGACGCATACACACCCACACACACACTCTCTCTCTCTCAAAATCAAGATACATAGACAGATAAACGAACACGGAAGTACAGATAGAGATACGGCCACACACACACACACACACACACACATGCAGACATACACGGGGGCGTCCTATCACGCAATGGCATGCCCGCATGCACTTGACCATGGATACACCCGAACTGCATCCCGTCAAGCCCCTCTTTCCCATCGTTCCCTGCTGTGCGCCTGTCAAATGTGCATCTGCGGCGTCCTCCGCTCCCTCTACCTCCAGAGTGTGCGCATGAAGTCATGGGAGGCCAGCATGCGACTGCAGCCAGAGTAGTGATGAACTCTGCTTTCATTACAAGATGCCACGCTGCGCTACATCTAAGACAAGTCACCTGATCAAAGGCCGGAAAAATGTAATCTCCGAATTGAATTTCCGCAATGGCCGTGTATCCAACGGCAGCCATCCCGACAGCCATGCCGGCGATACCCTGAGAGAAGCGCATCGCAGCCAAGGCTACCATCTATCGACCTCCCTATGAAGTTGGAGCTCATGACGCATATCATCCAGCAGACCGTGATCCACGCCACACAACCCTCGCTCATCATCGCCAGTACCTCCCAGGAGGCAGTTACCTGCTCGGAGAGGGGTGTATTGAAGACACGTTGTGGGCCGAATTTGTCCCTCAGATCGACAGAGCACCGGAAGACTCCGCCAAAAGCCACGTCCTCCCCGAAGACGCAAGCTCTGAATCAGAAAATAGGCTCAACACAGGCTCAAAGCTATGTCGTGACACCTGGCGGCTGGGTAAGATGTGCAGGAGGCGCGTGCCGTTCAGCCTCCTGCGGAAGGGGGAGCGATGGGGAGGGCCAAGGTAGCAAGAGTTGGCAATGCGCCTCTTCTATCGTGAAGAAAGTCATGATAAATCTCCCCAGTGCGCCTCAGGTGCAGCGACTACACTTCACGGAAGAAGAAACGCTGGGATCTTTCACGTGTACTGGGGACTAGGGTTGGCTAGGGGAGCCCTGATGCTGGGCAACAATGGAATCCATTCGAAAGGACTCATGCTGAACAAATAGGCCACGGTGGTCATTGAATGAGTTGGTTTGCAGTGTATGGTCAGCTCTGGCTGCAGGAGCCCCCTTCCCTCTGTGCGATTTCTGCCTTCTTGCACTGGCCCCTCGAACGGATCACGTCTTAACCCCCCCTGCCTATGCCTCGGACCTTGATCGAACCACGGTCCTTGCATCCCTAGGGACGAATTATGACGGATGCGACTTAGCGGGTCGTGGGTGATGGATTTCCAAAGCATGTTGCTACCGGTGAGGGGGGGGACGCACGTGGGATCCGTTTCCAGAGCAATGTGCATCGCGGAGTTAATGGCCGTGAAAAGGTTCATGCTGGTGGTAGCACCATGGTTTGGGCGGGGAGCTGTGGAGGTGCGGCAAGCCAGCGTCAGGTCAGTGCCCGCACCATGAGCAAAGAATCGCTTTGGGGGCTCACATTTTCTGAAGCTTGCGAAGGAGGCAAGCAACGGAGAGGATGAAACTGCACTTAAAGTTGTGAGAGCAGCTCTAAAGGCAGAAGTTTGTCCTACGGGAGCAGATGAGAAACGCGATAACGCGCGAGAGGAAACTATGGACGACATGGTTCAGGCAGTGTGTGGCAGAGGGGTGTGACGACGTTATAGCACCGAGGAGCATGCAAAGAAGGATATGAAGAACAATTAATGGAAGAGAATCCGGTGTACTACGCCGAAATGCAGTGAAAACGTACACTGTTGCTGCAGCTTTTGCTGCCGCTCAGGCGGTACCGACAGCAAGTGGCACGTACGGGACCCTCCAGCGGCATTATGGAAGAGCCCCTCGGGTAACTGGTAATAGAAGGATGATTTATTTGCTCCTATTCTCTTTGAATTTGCAAGTACATGATGGTTCGTTTGACGCATGGTCTTTGTTTTTGCCGGTGGGTACGCGCGATGCTTTGCCTCTCTCGAAGGCGCACTAGCAAGTAGCTCTCTTGCGTGTGGTACGAGGTCATATGTGCTGCAGGTCAAAACCAGATAGGTTCCACACAAGATTGTCTCCCAAGAGTCCAAATGTGGATGCCAGCAGTTTAAGTAGTCCATTTTAGCTTGGAAGACAACGTACAACATCTCTTGCTTTGGGCTGTATATGCGTGTACACACCGAATATCAGGGCTATCCCACTGGGTGACAAGGCACTCTGCATTGAGCACTCTCCTACTCATATCTCTCTTGTCAAGGCCTCCTCTTTCCCTCCGTTGTGTGGGCCATTTGCTTGTGTGTATGGGAGTGCCTTGATGCGTTTGGCAGTCGGGCAAGGCAGGCACAAGGAAACGGCGCCAGAGCGCTTGATCTTTTGCTTCAAAAGCCGCGGCTGCTACTCTGCAGCTGAGGACGTATCGGTCAGCCAAAAGGAGAGGAACAAAACACTTTAGGGAGCATGGTGCCGCTGCTGCCATCTTCCCCACACATGCAGGAGAACACCAGAAGCCTACTACAAAAAACTGCAAGAGGAAGGCTTTGCAGTTTGACAGGGGTCACGGCTACAGGCACTGTGCAGTTGGAGTTTGCTACGTGCATATCTGCGATGTCTCCTGTGTCACTCTATGCCCTTGGATCCGGAAACTCCAAAGAGCAGAAACCTATCACCCCAACGCCCCCTAATACAAAGTCCCCATGTATTATGCAACCAGCAGTAGCTAGATACGAATAGCCTTTGAAAGTGATTATAGATACTACCAATACATGTAGTGTCGAAGAGTCCGGTGCTTCCAGCACACACAAGCAGCGTACACGAAATGACTGCCAACTTTCCAGCCAGAGTACGGTGGAGCTTGTTGGTATCAAAAAGGCACTGAAGCGTTCGACAAGTATACATTGCCCAATTTGAACGCCTCTTGTTTCAAGGTTTTCCGGAAAGCTCCACTTAAAGGGTTCACCAACGCGGCAGTGAGGGCCTCGGCTAGCCCGCAATCGTTCAGATGCAGCGAATGTGGCTTTAGCGCATCAGTTCCTCATACTCCCCAAGAGCACTTATCTCCCAAGTTCCCTTTGTCCTCTGGGGTCTAGCAGAACGCGCAACATACAGTGAAAGCTCCTACGACACCTTCATAAGGTGGCCATTCCCCATGCTCAAGGTCAAGCGGCGCGAATCCACAACACCTCCCTCTGGGTTCTGTAAGCGGCTTGATAGGATATCCGTATCCATGGAAGTTTTTCAGAGGGAGACAGTTCCCCTTAGATTCATTGCAAGCCTAGTAGAATGACATTGAGCGTATATCCAAGGAATCGGCTCCTTCCCGTCTCCGCCCCTCTCAGAGGTCCTGCCATGAGGGACTACAGACAGACAGGTGGGCGTATGTGCAATCCTTCAGCACTCCAATCATGCGCAGTAAGGGGCACATAGCGTCGAGCACGCTCACACAGACATGCAACACGGAATCTTTTTCCACAGAGCTAACGCCGGCTTCTAGAAATTAAGAAATACAGACAAATCAGCTAGTCAATTCTTCGCTAATTATTAACTAAATAAAACTAGTGCGATAAAAGGTGGATAAATATAGCTTTGCGGTCTAGGTCTTCCCGCTCCTCGTTCAACAACACAGGTCCCGACGTTCCCTACCTGGCTGTTGCGGCTTGCAGCGTGCAGCGCACCAAAAGAATTCCATCACCAGTGCCCAGAGAGAAAGAAACGCAAAATTCAACACAAGTGATGAAGGCACAGTGAGTACTATTGCGTAAAAAGAAATTGAATGAAAGAAAGAAGCACAACCGCAAAAAGCCCGCTAGGGACCTGAGCCAGCAAGACTGCGACGGGGGGAGGGCTCGCTCACGTCTGACAGCTGAAATAGTTTAGCCTCCTGCAACGAGGAATCGCTTGCAAGTAAAGGCAGTATGCATAGTACAAGTATACACTAGCCTGCATGTGCATTTAAACTACGAAAAGCAATGGTTGCATGCCAACATAGTGGGTGCAAACAGCATAGCCGATATCCAAACCCCAGACGAGGCGTCAGCAGGAACAGAGGGGCATCATACCTGAGCGTACCTGCATAGACTTATGAATATAAGCGGCACATTAACGATCACTACAAAAATTGTTTCTACCAGCATCCCGGTGAAAGCAGCTATTGCCGGCAGAGCATGTGTTGGGAAAGGAAAGTTATCAAGGAATGAATGGAGCACCATGGTTACAGACTAGCCTTGTGAGCCAAGCAGAGCGGCCAGTTCTCCCGTCGGCAGCGAAGCCCCAAAACTGCTCCTCCGTCAGCCACTGCCATGGTTTTGTTTTCGACCCGTTTCGCCAAATTGTTCCAGCCAGTGTGTCCTCAGTGCTCAATAGTCCTGAACTCCAGCACTTCTACATCCCCCTGTGGACCGTCCGGCAACACATGGATTCTTTGCCTTCGCGGCAAAATGTGCCACTAATTCGGGCTTTAAAATTCTTTGAGAAACCAACATTGATAATTGTTTAGCAGCTGCCACTGTTAGGGAAATCAAGTGCACAAGATAACATTGATTCGTGAAAGTATGGCAAATGCTGCTAGCCACCTGGATGCACACTTTTGCGTTTTGTCACCTTCTGATGCACGCCGTAAAACCTGCCGATCCAGCAAGACCATATCTCCGGAGTTGAAGCACACAGCCAACCGCTGCTTATAACTCCTTGCTTGTCTCGAGATTTGCGCACAACTGTTGCTGACAGCCCAGACCTTATCTGAATCGTTCCGCTGCTGCTGACTTGGACCCAACAGGTCCAGCATTGAATAGGATTGGCTCTGCTCCGTTTAGAGCAGAGATGCGGGAGAGCAACGGGTAGAAGAATGTACTGTTGCATTCTATATGCACTCAGCACAGGGAAGAAAATGAGGCAAAGCAATTAGCTTTTGGTGAGCATAGAGTTAAAAGTACTGGAAAATAGTGTGGTTGGTGCAATCACTCTTTCATTCTGCCTCAGGGTGGTTGGCCGTGTTCATTTTATGGTCAGTGCGTCGGTGGGTCATGCAGGCAAGCCAGAATACATTAAAAGATATAGCTTCCTATTCGTGTCACTACTCTTGGGGATTCCATGAAGTTTCCAGACATTACTTGAATGTAATTGAGCGACTGCCTGAGCCTTGCCAGAGCTGATACATGGGATAAGACAGGCATGTTTGTTGAGTCTAGCAGCAACGACTGAGCGACTATCCGGATCTTTGATCTGTAACATTTCAACAACAAGGTCTGTAGTCAGGCGAGTTGAAACTGTTTGAAGGAACTGGAAGGCTCTGCAGAAGGCTATGATTGAGAAACGTCGCTTCAGCCGCAGAAAATCTCGTAATGAGAGTGCATATTCCTCTGGTCGAAGGCACATCCCCGGCCATCCAATGGATCATCCAAGCTTTTGCACTGTGGTGTAAATTCAGCTGTGACCCGAAAGAATACGATAGTGTGCTCTGTGGAGCGAAGCCGGAATATGTTTTCCCTGCGTTCTTGCTTAGGCCTTTTTCGAAGGTTGAAAATCAGCTGTGCGTATTGCATCGGATATGCTGGCATACAGATAATGCTCTATGAGGCGCAGGGGCACATTTGATTATCTTCGTTTGTTTGATTTCTGTTTTCTCCTAGCATGAGGCTTATTTCCGCGGTCAGACGAGAGTGTGCCATCGCGCCGTCGCGGTTATGTTGGCATAGGTCCTTCGATCGCTTTTCGCAATTCAGCTTCTTTTTTGCCTTCAATTTCTATTTACGGGTTGATGCCCAGGCTGCCTTCGTTATTCACATTTGCGTTTCGGCCAGTATGGGAAGGGGCGGTAGGGTGGGAACTCTTCCGGTGTTCTGCACGCAGGAGGCCTGAGCACAGGTAGGGAAAACAAGGGCATGTGTCATGGTCGAAGGTCTAGTGGGTTAAACCCCATTCAGTGAATTTCTAGTACAATAGTCACATTCAACTAGAAATTCGTGGAGACTTGCCTAATTGATTTTTCTTTTCGTGTGACTCACCTCGTTCAGACTTGCGTTAACTTCATACAAGATGAGATAGTGTTCTATGAGTGTGAAATTCATGCTATGTGTAACTTGCTGTGGATGCTTTGACTGCCTAGAGGGTGCAGCTACGCGCACCCTGGCTATCACTCCCGCCTCGCATCCTAAACATGGGGCGCGCGTGTAGGGGGAGGCGTGAGTTCCTTTTAAAAAGTCTCAACAATATTCCATTAAGCGTGTACTAAATTGTGAGTGGAGGGTTTCTTTAGGGAGACCATGGATGAGATGTTACTTCGGTAGAGCAAAACGTTAGATAGACCCCCCTGTGCCTCAGCGCTTGTAGGCATCTAAGTTGTGCAGGGTACGTAGAATGAATGTTATTGCATTTGCGTTGCTCTACAGGTACTTGTCTGTGAGCAAATATCAATATTACACCTTTTACTAGAGGAAGTGTTTGTGCACACGCACACACCCAAGAGACAGACAGAACACTGCGACATGATTTTCTGGCAACAATCGCAGTACCCACGCTGGATGCTCACGGGATTATAAGTCACTGCACGGGGGCCCCCATGTGTTTTGGCTTTGTGGTAAATGCCTCGTAGGACAGCAGCACCCCTTAGACATTGCATGAATGAAAGGAGAGAAAGACGGGGGTAAATGACGGCTCGCATTGTGGCGGCATTGGCCTTCCTTCGCGACTCCTTCTTCTCCCGCTGAAAATAACAACAAAGCACCAAATAAAGGACACAAACAAAGACGCATTAATGGCGACAGGCAGTAACCCTCGTGGCTGCGGGCTGCTGCTCTGACGGACAGTTTAATCGTGGCGGCTGTTACGCCTGCTGCACGCATCCTGCAACGATTGCGGGGGAAAAGGGGTTTTCCGGGATACCTAGGCGACCTTCTGTTTTTTCGTGAGGAACCCTCTGTTATTTCCGGGGTTTTATCCGTCAGTCTGCAGCGGTAGGTCCCTGTATCTCTACCACAGCAGCCTGTGGGTTCAGTGGCTGCCAAGTACTATGGATGAACTGCTCCCGAGGTATTCTCTGCCTTTCCCACGATATTTTAGCTGTTTGAGCCAGCAAGTCGGCTTCGGGAGCGCCTCTGATGGCAATTACACGCCTAGGCGCACTCGATTCTGCGGCAGAGGTCCCCGTCTGTTCAGGCACAGAGCTCGTCCGTGTCTTTGGATTGCGATTCGCCATTATTTTGCCTCTTACGCCGCGTCTCCTTCCCCCTATTGCAGTGCATGTTTCTCGACTGTCGCGTGCTCCTCCTCCGCACGCGCTTTTAGTGTGAAAATCGTCTTGTAGCCAGTCCCCGCCAAAATGCCTCTCTGTCGAGGCCACTAGTGCCTCATGGCTCTTAGCCGTAGCTCAGTCCCCTGTGCCAACTGAACGCTAAGGGTGTTCGCTATGTAATTCCTTGGGCTTTTCACGGAGAGGCTGCAGGCGCTGCTTCCCTGTGGGGAGTTCGTTGGGGGGAATCAGTCTCTGGGGCGTTTCGCCCGTATTTTTTCGACCTGTGGCTTCCGCGCAGTCCAGCGGACTGTCGAGTCTCTGCGTTTAACCTGATGGATGTGCCTCGTGGAGATGGCAACCCTTTGTTTCGAGCTGGTTTTTTTGGCATGGATGATGGCTGCTGCCGATACAAACCCAAGTCGTGCTGTCGGTGTTCTCGACTCCTGCCTGCGCGTGGATTACAGTTGCTTTGCCTCAATGTCTCAGGCGCTTTGGGCACCTATGCAGCTCTTGTGTGCTTATACTTGCGAGTTCACCGTTTCAAAGGCCTTCTTGCCGCTTGCATGCTCGAAATTTATGTCAACTGCTGCGTGCCTACAGGCGTCCATCTTTGTGCCTCTTCTGCCCGATTTCTTTGCATGCCTCCGCAGACCCCGCGCATTCAAGGGGAGACACCTGAGTAACCATGGGGGATCAGGAGGCTCGTCGCCTGTAAGCGAACGCACGGGGCAGTTGGGGGGAGAGAGGGAGAGGGTAGTAGTCCAGAGATGTAGGGTAGAGGGAGGATGTAGGCTCTTGAGACGTAGGGACTGGAGGGGGGACGTTAGGGAGAGCCAGTTTTTTCTTAACATGCCTCAAGGATCCTTCGACTCGTGCATTGACTGGCGAGCCGCAGACTCGCAAGTTCTTCCCAGACTTGTTTTCTTTCTCTTTCTTTCATTCTTTCTTTCTTTTTGTAAATGCTCTGCCTTAGTACACACGAAGCGTGAATAGAAACCACTCTCTCGGTGTTGTGGCTGTGCGCAGAGAGGGCGTCTCATGGAGGCGAGATCCCCTCAGCAGCGACGTGCGTTCCACAGGCCGTCGCCATCATGAGCCTTTGGGGAGTTCAGGCGGATCGGCTTTGACTAGCTGGAATTCCTTTGGAGCTCGAGGGGGGGGAGGGGGAGGACCTCCTCCCCTGGCTCGCTCAGGGGACGGCATGAGCAGCAACCAGGGGGCAGCATCGAGCAACGGCTTGAGGAGTTCGTTGAGCTACGGGGGAGCGGAGGCCGTTGGGGGGACAGGTTTGGGGTCTATTAGGGGTGCTCCTTCGCAGAAAAATACTGGATGGACTGCAATTCAGACACCCGTGCATCAGGGGGCATACAAGGGGCCTGACCAGCAACTGCAGCCATCGCACCAGCAACTGCAGCCATCGCACCAGCAACTGCAGCCATCGCACCAGCAACGCAAGGGTCATAGCGAGGCGCCCTCCGTTTGTTGCGCAGAGATTAAGGGCACGACGTTCTCTAGCACCAGTAGGCATCCTCCAGCAGCCACTGTCGAGATGGCAGCTGCTGAGGCAAGCATCTACTGCTCGTCGGGGGGGGGGGCGCCTGGGGTAGTTGTGTCGCGGGGTGGTTCATCGGGGACGCCTTCTGCTGACTGCAGAGACTTCCGCAGGGGAGGAGACACAGACGGCGGAGACGCAGCTTCCCGCAGCACGCCAGAAGGTGTTTCTTCCTCCAGTGCAGCTGCAGGAGGGGTCCAGCAGGTCAGTCCTCGAAGTCAACAAGAATCCCCCATGCCTCCTTCCCCACAAGGCACTTTCAGCCTGCCTGGAGGCAGCGCAGCTGCAGCGGCAGCGGGCGTCTCCCTGGGGTGCGGCCTCACATGGCGCCCTCGAAGGGCGCTCACGCGAGAAGAGGAGATCGAACGGAATGTCAAATCTCTGTTGAACAAACTCACCATCGAAAAATTCAATGTCATCTCCGAAAAAGTCGCTCTGACGCTGGAGGAGGCCCTCGCAAGGCCCAGTGAAGTCCAACTCATCGTGAATGCCGTTATTGACAAAGCTGTTACCGAACCGGATTGGTCAGAAATGTACGCAGATCTCTGCCAGGTTAGCCCATTTTCCGCCCTTTCCCGTCTCCTCTCCCCTCCCGTACACCTATGTACGTACACATGTATACGTACACCTATGTACATGCACCTATCATACGTACGCCTATTCATGCACGTATACATGCGCCTATTATACATACACATACATACATATACATATATACATGCCCCTACATACACACACATGTATACATGCCCCTACATACACACACATGTATACATGCCCCTACATACACACACATGTATACACACACCTATATACATACACCTATATACATACACCTATCATACGTATACATATATACACCCCTGTATAGACACATGCACATACGTACGCTCATACATACGCACATATACACATGTACACACCTGTATATACACATGCACGCCTAAATACACACATCCACATACATACACCTATTATACATACACATACACACACGTATACATACACATACACATGCATTTATCCTTATTTGCTAGAACAAGGGAGGGCGGCAGGGGGCACTTTTGGAGGCTTCCTTTGCTTGCAAGGCGTCGGGTGGGGCCTTTTTTGGGAGGGCCTCCTTGTGCGTGTTTGGTCTCTGCCGAGACTGCCTCTATTTCGCCAACCGTATTTTCGGCTTAGAGGGAGCTTTGCCAAAACACGAGGCTGACTGAAAGTGCAGACTGCCCTCTTTGGGTGCATGCAGTCAGGCTTTGCACTGTAATTCTCTATGTCACGCTACCCGTGTTGATGCCTTTGCAGGTCCTTCAGTGGCGTAGCGTCTCTCCCGAGGGAGACTCGGAGACTATCCGCAAGACGCCTTTCATGCTGGCTCTTCTAAACAGGATTCAGACCGAGTTCGAATCGATGCCAACGTATGTTTTTCTCTCCTAGCACGGCTAACTAACAGAGCAGTTCATGAAGGAGGGGCCCCTCTAGTCTTGCCGCCACCCCGTTACGGAAGGAGGGAAACAGGGGACAGAGAAAAGACGATTTTTTTGTTGCTAGATCGCCTCTCATTTTGATGCCATTCCCCCCGCTTTCTCCTGCTGGAGCCGAGCCGCGCACGGGCGTGGAATCTCTCTCTAGCAACTCGGTGCTGTTCCGTCTCTTGTGTTTATGTGTATGTATGTGTATATGTTTATGTTTAATAGGTGAATATGTATGTGTAAATGTGTAATATGTGAATATCTATATGGTTATGTGAAAATGTGTATGTGTATATGTGTATGTATGTATAGGTGTATATGTCTGTGTAGGTGCATGGAGATAGTGGACGTGTGTATATGCATGTGTAGGTGCATGCGGATATGTGGGCGTGTATGTATGCATGTGTATGTGTATATGTGTATGTATGTGTAGATGTCCATGCGGATATGATTGCGTGTATGCGTATGTATGTGTATGTGTGTATCTGTATGAGTATATGTATGTGTATGTATGTGTATATGTTTGTGTGTATGCGCATGTGTGTGTGTGTATGCGTGTATGTGTATGTATGGATGTGTGGGTGCATGCGCATGTGTATGGGTATATCTATGTGTATGTGTGTATGTTCTATCTATATGTATATGTGTATGTATGTATTTGTATGTGTATGCATGTGGAGGTGTATGTAAGTGTACTGTATTTATATATATATATAATATATATATATATATATATATATATATATATACGTAACTCTACACGACCTGCCTGCGCCATGCGCTGCTTTTTGCCCACCCTCTTCTCTCTCTCGGCGTGTGTTAGATGATGAAAGGCGGTCTGTAAAATGAGGGTTCCGTTCTCCTCTGTCTGTTGCACACTGCTCCTTCAGCTGTGTCTGATGCTGTTTCCACAGGGTTCTTACAACGCCTCCTGCTGCCGCAGACTCGGAAGATGATCAGCTGGAGCTGTCTCGACTCAAGCGGCGCGTGTTGGGGGTTGTCAAACTTATTGGGGAACTCTTCCACCGTCGGCTTCTTGGTTTTAAAGTTGTTAATGACGTCGTAGTACAGCTTGTCATGCGGAGCGATGCCCCTGACGAGCATCTGGTGGAATGTTTTCTGCAGCTGATTGCAACTGTTGGTAAGGCATTCGACACTAGTAGGGCGCGGTGCAGTCATCGCTTGCTCTTGGGGGGTCAAGCGCTTTGTGCAGGAGACAGTATTGGGGCGGAGGCATTTTGGATGACGCGAAGGCAGAAAAAGACGCCTTCCAAGGAAAAATTTTATGTCTTGAGCGGGGGAGGAGGGGGCCGTCGAAAGAAAGAATGGGAAGGAACACCGGGGGGCAGAGAATCCGTTGTGTTTTTTGCTGCTTCTAAAGCTGATCAGCGGATGCTTCTGTGTCTGTCCCTTTTTCTGTGTGTATGTGTCTGTGTTTCTCCCACCATGTATATATATATATATATTTTCTCTCATTTTCTGTTTCTCTCCCTCTCTCTCTCGATTTCCTCCCTCTCTCTGCCTTTCTCGCATGCATATCGGGTGTCTATGGAGGGAACTGGATGTGGAAAACATCCTATGCGTTGGTGCGTGCAAGGTGCTGCCGCTGTTTTTGACATTTTGCGCTTCCGTCCACAAGGCGGCAGCCTGCAATGCTCCCCACGTCGTCTCAGAGACAGCCGGTTTGCGTGTGTCTCTGCATGATCGTGTCGAATGCAGGGTACTTTATCGACCAGAACCCCAAAATGAAGGTCGTCTTGGATTCTTGGTTCGGCCGTCTTAAGGAGTTGCAATGCAAGTCGTGTTACTCCAAACGCTTGAAATGCGTTATCCAGGTGTGTGCTGATTAGCGGGGAATGCCGACGCTTCTCTGTCGGCGCTTGTTTGTGTGGTGTATTGACTTACACTTTGCTAAGGCCTTTTTTTCAGCCCCCAGCAGCAGTCGATCCTTCGGTGTATTCTGTGTGTGTATCGCACACCGTAGCCTTGCCCAACAAACCCTTCTCCCTCTTGCGTTGTTTCCTTCTTTCTTTGGCCGTGCATCGTCGCGTACTGGATGCGCCGTCCAGCTGTGTGTGTGTATTCGCGCGGTGCCCTCTTTCTCTGTAACGCGCAGCGAAGCATGCGTCTTCGTTCCCCGGATTCTCTTGTTGCTTTTAGTGCATCTTCCCCGTGCCTTTAGGTGGTGGTCTCTACTGACCGACTCCGCATCCCACGTGTCTTCCTCTGGGGGCTTTGTTTCTCCGCAGGATACGTTTGATATGCGACGGGCAGAATGGCGGAAGAAGGTCCATAAAGAAAGAGCCAAGGCGCTTAACGATCTGAGAGATCAGGTGCGCATGCGCCGTGCAAGGGAGGGGGGGAGGGAGGGTTTGCGCTGTCCTCTCTCACCCCCACATGGTCGGTTGTTGTTGCTTTTTGGTGGTTCCTAAGAAGAGACCTTTCGTAAAATGTTTTTTGACGTGGTCGGCCTTGGAGGCGTCGCGCTTTCCCATGAGTTGGATGCATTTGACGGCATCAAGGGAATAGCTGCCTCGCTTTCTTGTTGCGGCTGCCTGCCTCCGAGTTACCCCCATGTGGGGAGCGGCAGCTACGTGTGTTTGGGTTGGTGGTATTAAGAAGGGAGCGAGTGTGCTGCAGCAAGTGTGCTGCATATATGTGCCGTCGGTCGTCTCTGCTGCAGTTAGAAACAGAGGAAGTTTTAGGAGGATCTATCCACGCCGCGCAGTATGGCAACATTGTTGTGGTCGGGGAGAGGACTAACCTGGTAAAGCGCTTCTTTAGGTGCTGCTACTATTGATGTTACTGCTACTGTTGGTGTTTCTGCTACTGTTGGTGTTTCTGCTACTGTTGATGTTTCTGCTACTGTTGATGTTTCTGCTACTGTTGGTGTTTCTGCTACTGTTGCTCCTACTACTACTGTTGCTTCTACTGCTACTACTACTACTGCTGCTGCTGTTGCTCCTACTACTGCTGCTGCTGCTACTGTTGCTCCTACTACTCCTGCTGCTGCTGCCTCCTCCTCATCAACCCTCTGTTCGGTTCTTCTAGATTTCTTTAATTGTGCTTTTTGACCCTCTCTCATGTAGCTCTCGCTGCTTCTCGCTGTGCTGTGCTGATGGACTCGGGGGCTGTCTCTTTGTTTGCCCGCAAGTAACGCCAATGTCTTGCGCTCTCGCTTCGGCATGCCATTGCTTCTTCGATTTGTCTGCTTTCGAACTCGTGTCTGTGTATTACCGGATCGGCTCATGTTGGGCGTGCCTTCCTTCCATCGGTTTGTCACTTCCTGCCCGCTGTCCAGGCGCAATTTCTCTCTCTCTCTCTCTATCGACCTGCAGCCCTTTATTTGAATCAAACCCCTAGCGTACCCCAAACTCTGCATGCACTGGCTTGGCGTCTCGTGCTTTCTCAACTGATCTCTGCGCAGAATGGCCACTACTTAGGATACCTCAAGGAACAAGAGGCAATCTACGAGGGCCGAGTAGCGCAGCGCTGCGCGGCTGCGGGTGTCTCCTCCCGCCGTCCTGTTGCTCCTTCATGACGCACGAGCACAACAGTAAGCACAAGCACACGGCAAGCAGGGCAAGGCGTGGAAGGGGAGGTTTCTACCAGCACTACGAACGATCCATTGAGGGAAGACGCCCTACAAATGAACTCGCCTCCCCTCCCAGCCGACGGCTTCTTTAGCCCAAGGGGAAGGCTGAAAGGGCAACCTTGATATGTAGAACCCCTGTACAGCAGGCGCTTTGGGGGAAGAGGACGGGGTGTTGGAAGAACTTACAGCAAAGCTTCGTCTTTACATCCCACACAATTCTTCCGGTCATTTCCGTCTCTCGTTCTGTCTCTCTATCTCTCTCGTATTTTCCGCTTGCTTATTCCCCCTGTCGCCATTATATCTTGCGTCCCTTGTGCTTCCAGCCTTCATCTTCCCCCTTTCAACCTTCCATGCACCCAAATCCTGACCCCTCAGCCTTCCTCCTCCCCCGTGACGCATGCTTTAGCTCTCGCCCCCTTAGGGCCCCATTCCCGTTGCCCTCTCCTTTCTCGAAGCAGGCAGTGTACTAGCATTGCCGGTGTGTCAGCGAGAGGAAGGCGGAGAACGAGGAACGTGTAGTGTGGCGTGGCCTTTTTTTGGAAAAAAACGTGATGGGAAATTGGGTTCTTTTAGGGTGTGAGGCAAGCCAATGCAGCAGGCCTTGGGGGAGGCTGAGAAAAGGGGCGATTATTGAGGCTTCTGCAGCAGCCTTCCCTCGTTCAGCCCGATGTTATCTACAGCAAGCCCCTCGTTTCGCATCATTGCACCGTCGCGCTGTTTCTTTGGAGGGGTATAATTGGGGTGGAAGGGGCAACGCGGCAGATGCAAAAGCACCCCACTGAAGGCAGCAGCTGCTACTTCGAAAAGTGGGACGCTTTTGCATCAGCCTGGCTGGTTTTGAGGTTCCCACGAATGATTGGGGGGACCTAGCTGTGTGCTGCCACAAGAAACGACGGCGCTTTGTTGATCGTCTGTGCTCCAGGGGTCGAAAGCGGCCTTAGGAGCTGTCGCTGCAGCGATAACAGCAAATTGGGGGGTGGTTTGTTTTTTCTGCGTTTGGGCACTTTGTAGCTGGGGAGGGGGGCTTCGCGGCGCTTTGAGATATATGGTGAGAGAAGTTCATGGGGTTTACGTATGAGTTGGAGTTGGGGCTCTATGATTGTACGTCGAGAGAGTTGCCTATGCATGCGCCTTATGAAGGGCTTCGGGGGCATCAGAGCGGTTGCTGTAACTAGGGTGTTACTGTGGTGGCGGTGGTGAGGGTGCTGGTTTTCGTGTTGCTTGTACACTTCTCACTGCATACTTGGCTTAGCCGCGATACGAGGAGCACGACACGTGCGAATAGCGCCTCTTTTAGCAAGAACTATAGTGCCTTTGAAGAGGCAGTGGAGGGCGTGCAAAGCCTGCATGAAGGCGGCCTCGAGGTCGCCCTCCAACAGACTAGACAAAAATGTGCGATATTTGGCGGGGAAGCTGCCCCTGAAAGAGCTTTTATGATGCAAGGCAGCAAACAAAAGCTGTCCATTCGTCCCACTCCCGCAGTTGTTCCCCTGCAAGTTTCTATGTGCCTCCTGCCCTCCCTCGAAGTATAAAAGCCGGGGGATTACCCCCGGGTGCTCATCGGCAGTCCCTGCTCAAGAGCGGCCGGAACACACAAGCGCCCCCGGCACATTTCTTCTAAATTTTTTGTCCCCGACTGGTTTTGCATGTGTGTAAGAAGCGAAGGAACCGGCAAAACTTAATAAAAAGCCCTCAGGGCGTCTTGAGATCCCTACGAAATAGCGCCCAGAGCCACGAAGGCCCAGTAACTCCGGAGCAATGGATCTCTCTCGGACCGCAGCATACACTGTCGAGCTGCCAGCTCTAAGCGGTGCAGCACCAGCCGCTGGCGTATCAGGGGCCATAGAGGCATCTCGGTGCCTCCCCCGTGGTTATCTCCCTTGGCGTCTGTATCTGAAGGCGTGTCAGCTGCTTGCCGAATACAAGGGGAGTCGTCAAGGGATGCAGGCAGTGCCGGGGGAGAACTGCTGCTGCCGACGGCTGGGGTGGGTTGTGGGGGGGCCTCCCCTTGCCTCGGGAGAATTCGCCGTGAACGGGGGGTTCCGTGACACTCCGCAGCCGCGAGGCTCACCAGATGCGCCACAAGGGGGCAGTCCATCGTGTCGGTGAAGGAGCAGCAGCAGCAGTTACACCCAAAGTGCTGCGACTGGTGCAACAAGAGCAACAGGCACAGTTGCTGCTGCCGCGCTTCGGGATCAAGGAGCACTTGGCCGCAAGCAGGAAGGCCGGGGGCGCTAGCTCTGTCGTCCCCTGCTGAGGCTACGCGCTCTAAACCTCCTCCACTAGCAGCAGCAGCAGCATGGGCTCTCTGCAGGAGCGTGGAGACGTGCTGCTCGATGGCTATTACTTGTGCCATCGCACAGTTTACCTGGCCCTCCCACTGCTGCACTGTCTCGGCAACACCATTCGCTAAGGACTCAATGCCCCCTAAAGGGAGCGTCCAAGAGGGCTCGCTGACGCTGCTAACCGGACGATTGGCGTGCATGAGGCTCCCCAGAGTCTTGCACAGTTGCATCATAAGGCACTCCCCCACCGGCAGGTGGGCTCGTCCTGTCTTCATAGGGTCAACCTCTAGATTTAGAAGCAGCTCCACTGACACGCGGCTCGCAGCAGCAGCATTGAGGCAGTGAGCCTTCTCCATTGCGTCAAAGGCACCCTTCCTTACGCTGCCCCCACACGCACAATCTAAAGGCAGTAGAGCGCCGTCAACAAGGCGCGCTGCCCATGCATCCAGCTCAAGGGGTCCTCTCTCTGAACCTTGCGGCTGTCCTCGCCGTTCCCGCTGTTGTTGCTGCTCAAGCAGCAATCGAAGCGGCTGCGGCAGTAGCACCTCGAGGGGGAGGGGCAGAAATCCTTGCGGTTCTGCTATTGCCGCTGCTAGGCCGGCTAAGAGGAGGGCCGCATGGCCATCCGGATGTAGGAGCAGCTGTTGCTGAGCCCACAAAGCCCCCTGCGCTGCTTCTGCTGCTACCGCCGAGTCAGACACCCCCAGCACTTTACAAGAGGCGTGCGGCCCCCCTCCCACTGCGGAAATAGGCTCCGAGGTCACCACCTCCCCTGCAGTGGTAGCTGCCACAGCCACGCTCTCTTCCAAGCCCCCGCATGCGCCTGCATAGCAACAAAAGCATGCAAGCACCCGTTCGCAAAGGCTTTGGAGGCCATCGGTCGTCAGGAAAGGGGCGTCTGGGAGAGCCTCTCTCTGCATAATAAGGTATTCTCGGTAGCGGGCAGGGGCCGCTGCTTCCCCGTCACTGAAGGCGGTGAGGAGAGTGCCGCTCTCCTCGAGCTGTTGTCTCATCGCATGTTCCTCTGACGCCTCCGTTGCGTCCGCTGCATGCCCAAGGAAGGCCTCGAGTCTGCGGCTGCGTTGCTGCTGTGTTGACAGGAGAGAGGCACAGAGAGAACCTCCCGCGAAAGACGGGAGGAAGCGCAGCAGGGTGTTGGCGTCAGACTCGGAGGCCCCCTGCTGTCGTCCGTCAAGTCTCAGACTCTCCGGCAGCACTGCCGATACAGCAACAGACGATCCCATAGACCGCCGCTTGTTGTGACGCCGCTGAGAAGTGCTTCCCCAGCGATTTCCTCCCTCGCTAGAGCCCGCAAAGAGGAGCAATAGGTCCTCCAGTCCAAAGCTTTCCCGGAGTTGGACTGCGGCGTCTGTTGTTTCCAGCTGTGTGATCCGTTCACGGAGTCTCTGGAAGAAGGACTCTCTCGAGGTGCCCCCTTCTTCCTCGTCCCTCCCGTCTGGTGCGCACTTTGTTGAGAAACACGCTTGCCGTTCCAAGGAGGACGCCTCCCCGCAAGCTGCCTGCCATTCTTGCAAGAGGCCGCTTCGTTTCGCCTCTTCCAAGGCGGGGACAAGGAGGTGGGGGAGACTCTGCGCTGCTGGCGGCAGCAACGTGCGGCTCAGGAAGGACCAAAGGAGAGGCGGCAGTAAGCTTGCGACAAATCCGCGAATGTAGGCAACACACTGGCATCGAGAAACGGCCAACAAGGCACAGTGCGTTCCTGCAGTTTCGGAAATCCCTGAAGTGCCCTGCAAGCTTGGCTGCTCTAGCGTCCTTGAAGGGGTTCCTCCGGGAGAGGCAGAGAAGGCGTCTCTTTTCCACGAGAAGGGCAGCTTTGTAGTCGAACGGGAAAGCGCAGCTCCGCTCAAGAGGCGGCGGAAGCTCCGTTCACCTCCCTTACTTCGACGCACGGAGGGTGCCTCTCCTTCTGCAGGCACAGTAGCTGCTGGGAGGCCGCCTTCCCCATCCGAGACGCTGCTGAGAAGTTCCCCATGAGGATCATACCCCTTCTCCTCGGGAGCTAGAGAGGGCTCAGCAAGGGGTCCCCCCCTCTTGGAATTTCCCGTGGCTGCTTGCCACGTGCTTGAATCCGTGGGATTTACCGTCTCGAGCGCGTCGTCGGCCTCGTCGCAGAGCAGCCAGACAGATGCAAGGAAATGCAGAAATCGGTCTTCCTTGCCGCCAGAGCTGCAGCATGCGAGCATCAAAAAGGCGGAGTACAAGAGACTACTGTTCCTGACACGGCAGCAAAAGCGGAATAGACGGGCAACGCGAGAAAACGTCTCACGGGAAGATGGACTCTCCGGGGTACCCCGGCGAGGCCCCTGATGCTGCCGACACCGCTGCTCCTGTAAAGAATGGTCGTGAAAAGGGCATCTGAAGATAAGGCAAGCCACAGGAATGCAGAACCCGCGGAAAGATACATATGGGCGCAGAAGGAGAGGAATGCAGATCGCGACGGGGGCGAAGGACGGAGAGAGCACGCCTGGCTCAATGCACATAGGCGAAGGAATGTGTGCATATGGTATGTGCGTAAATGCATAGGTATGTATATGTGTATGTATGTGTATTCATGTGTGTGTGTGTATATATATGTATGTGTATATTTCGTGTGAGCATGTATGTATGTATGTATTTTGTGTGTATGTATTTTGTACATATGAATTTTGTATACATGAATTTTGTATGTATGTATGAGTACATATGTTCAGAGGAGTTTTACTAGGCGAAGTAGTCCCCCCGAAATAGTGAGAGCGGCGCTCCTATCCCGGCGAAAAGACAGCACATTCGAAAGCCCGGCAGAGAAGTTCCAGCAGCCACCGAGACGGTGCTAGTTGAAGGAAAGAAACGGAGTAAGAAGAGAAGCGAGGGGTGGGGGGAAGTTGGAGAATGAGAGACTTATGCTCAGCAAGTGAAAGCAATGAGACTGTTCTGCATCCGCTGTTGTCTTTACGCCTCCTTGCCGCTACTGCGTCTCACCCACCGTCTGATCCGCGTGGGGGGGAGCGAGGCTTTGGAGAGGCCGTGAGCGTCTCCGGGAGTGACCAACTGCAGCAGCTGTTCATGTAGTTGCTGAAGAGCTTCTGCGAAGGCAAAAGGATCTGTGGAGGGGAAAGACAGAGCAGACCCTTTCTTCGGTGTGGCTACCCACCGGTCGACACCTGCAGCCTGCCACGGAGTGAGAGCGTCCAGGACGTCATTATGGAGGAGGGGGAGTTGCATCCGGCTCAGAGGCAAGCTGGAAAGTGACAAGGCGTCACAAAAGTCTTTAAAGAGGTTCTCCGCTGCAGCAATGTGAGCACTGTCTTGAGAGGGATGGAGTCGTGGCTGGGGACCGTCAAGGGGCCTCGCCAAGGCATCTGCGCGCTTCGCAAGCCTGCAGAGGCCATGAGCGAAGGCAGCCAGTGAGTGCAAGAGGACAGAAAGCTGCATGTCATTCACTGTATCCATGTCGCTCTGAAGGCCCTTTGGAGCCGTACACCCCGGGGTGTCGGCGGGCGCCTGCAGCGCGCTGCTGGACCTAACAGGGCTCATCCTGAAGTATTTCCATTTGCGAAAAGAACGTGATCTGGAAGCATAACGAAAGCAATGAACAGAAGAAACAACAAGATGCACGAATACTTCTGTTCGAGGGGGGCGGGGGGAGGGGGCCCCCTAGAGGGGAAAAATCCGGAGGAAAAGCCTCCGTCTGGAGACCAATCTCAGCGGTGTTGCAACGCAGTCTTCATAAAGTCGAATACATGGAGGTTTGTTGGACTTTGTGGTAGCTGCATGCAGCGGATTCGCGGTGGCCATCGGCATGGTGGGACTAGGAACTCTGGGGGCATGGCTGTTTGCTGGCTGTCGAGCCTGCTCCGTGGAATGCAGCCCCTATTATGCCTCGTGGGAAGTATACAGGCCAAATTAGCGAATTTCATGAGTACCTTTATTTAAATCCAACGCATTGGAGCGTTTGTTTGAGACACATACAGCACCGTTTGAAATTCTTTCCCCTCCTTGGTAGGTGGTGTTGTCTCGCGACCTTCGGTTGTAGCAGTGCCCATTTTGTGAGGTGGCTTATACATCTAGAGGCCAGTTCTTAAATCAATTAGGATGAAGTGGGTGGTGAAGGTGCGATACACCGGTACTAAGAGAGCGTCACACCGACCGAGGTGGGGCACTCCTCTATGGGGGTTATCTTATGAGACTGCTTCTCCTCTCTACTGGTGCGCGCTAGGTAGAGAGATAAACTTTTGTCCCCTGTTCCACCCCCAGAAACAATGAAGAAGCTTCACGTCCTTATATGGGCAGGTGGGCTGCCTGCTGTCAATGCTTGCTGAAACTTCAGGCTTGACGGGGTACGCGAGCCGCGCACTCGGCACGAGTTAATGGCAACACACACAGAGAGAAATGACACTGAGCTTAGCAGCTTCCAGAACGCCGAGTAGTCTTGCCGACTCGCATTCAAGAGGAGGGCGACAAACAAAATACCCTTGCAGCATGCCGCAACACCGGCAGGCCGACTTGTGTCTTTTTGCCACACATACACATACACACCCCGCCAGATGGTTGAGGAGTTAACGACGAGCGTATCTCTCACTAATTCACGTTAGCATGCGGCGCTATTTCTGTCTTGCCTCTGTATGTTGGCGCGTGATCCAGCCCCCCCTGGACTTTGCAAATTAGGAGAGCGACCTCCATTCATTCCCCTATGCGTGCTGATGTGTATCCTCAGCCGAAATGCTCACACGCTGTTTCTTTCGAATACCCGAAAGATGCAGGTAAAAAGCACCTTCCTCCCTGTGCGCTGCGTAGCCGGACTCCAAAATCTCTTCCCTATGTAAACATCCGCTAAACTCTACGTGCCCTCGAGAGAGCGGAAGAGGACAACTTGGGCTTTAAATGCCTGCGTCTGCGTGAGACCATTAGCAAGCTGGGATTAATATGGAGAAAAACCTAATCTTAAGCCTAAAAGCCGCGCTGCTTAGCAGGGCCGGCTAACACTAAAGGAGATCCAGCACATCTTCGTTTGGTGAACATGCTCAATGGAGTCAAACTCGGCTGTACGATTAAGTGCAAACTCACGCACCTTGGGTTGCCCCCTATAGAGTAAGCCAGCACCCTACGCTATCTATCCTGTTTGCTTGGCCCTCTATTCCGCACATTGGCAAAGGTCAGTGTATCGCTTTGCGTACCAAGAACCAGCTTGTTGCGTCTCTCTTTCTCTCTCTCTCAAGGTGAACCCGTTAAATCAGGACTAACAATTCCACCAATCACTTCTACTACAAGTTCATATAGCAAAGGACTGGTCTACTGCATCCAGCAGGGCTGCTGCTAGAAGCGCTACCAAGCCATGTGCACACACATCCAGCCATTCGATACTCCCTTCGAAGTGAGAGGCGGCTGCTCATTCAATAAATTAGCTGCGGTTACGCAGTTCTGCCCCCTCCTCGGCATCTGCTTCCTCCTGCGGCACTCCTTTGCAGGAATCACCAACGCGCCGTTTCTTGTGTGTTTTGAATCGCTCGATCTCCTGTTGTAGAGCAGAGAAACTAACTCCGTCATCAATGCTCTGATCGCCAACATACCAACACATGCAGGCAGGACTAGCGCACGTTTAAAACCTCCATCCAAAGCTCCCAAAAGTAAAAACAAAGATTCAGTGGACGTAAAGGCCATGGGAGGGCACACAAGGCCTGCATATACTTCCTCCCCCTTCCGGCTAACTGGATAGAAAATAGACATACAAAAAGCAGCAAAAGACTCTAACATAAGACGAGTCTCCCTTACGCGCTTGACATTAAGGAGAACCCGCATGTCATTGGGCATTGTCTTGTCCTGCAACACAACCCCGAAAGTATCTCGCGTATTATTTGCGTCAACAGCAGTGCCACACGAAATACATGGTGAGTAAACGAATGAAAACTCTTCTTTGGCATCATGCATTCAAAACCGCTCATGCTCTCTGGTATCGCTATGGTGCACTGATCTTCGGCCGCTGCTCCGTCAGCACCCCCGCTGCCTCACAGATTCCAATTAAAGGCAGCGCGCCTCGCATGAACACTGCGCTACCCAATTCCAACATATGTGGCTTCGCCCCTCCCTCTCAAACAAGGGATATCAAGTCCATGCCCCTCTCGGGCTCAACGCTTACGGTTCGAATGCGCTCTGCAACCCATCCACCCTCTCTCCATTCCCCTCTATCAAAGTCGTAGAAGGGGTGCCCCTGGTTTCGTGCAGTCCATCTCTGCTCCTCTCGCGAAGTCGGATTTTCTCGTAATGCAGGATAAAACGTGTAGACCGGCGCAGAGGAGCGCCAGAAACACTCAACAATTGTCCCTCCCGCGCTTCCGCGGCTGCAGCCGAAACAAAAGGCAGTCAACACATATACACAGATATACGAAGAGGCATACCATGTCAATGCTCACAAATACACTCCCACATAGATACATATATTTACATGCATACATATATACATATATACATCACCGCACATACACACACACATACATCACCGCACATACATTACCACATATATATATATATATATATATATATATATATATATATATATATATATATATATGCATATACATACATCACCGCACATATATGTGTATACACACACATTCATCACCGCACATACAAGAGGCATTGCATGGCAGTGGCCTCGGGCAGAATCAGGAAAAACTGTATCGCTAATTTAATCTACAAGCACACACTAGGTAATCCCTGATGGGTGCCTTTCCCTCTTGCTCCGCCGTTTCGATATCCCCTGTGTCTGCCTTTTGTGCCTTGATTTCCCCCGCGTCCCTCGTGCACAGCTCCTCACCACGCCATCTCGTACAACTCCTTATAGAACTCGCCATAAGGTGCCAAAATTAGGCCCGCGAAGGTCCTCACCCCCTGCGCAACAAGCGAACGCCTCCTGTATCGGCACCACCCTCAAGAGAGCCACCCTCTCAGCGAGTGCAGCAGCTGGAAGTAAGGGGCTCCAGAGGGCGTTGCATGCTTCCTTGAGAAGTGCTTCGCCTGTCCTGCAACGTTCATTCAGCCAGGATGCGCTTTCTGAAAGCGGTTTGAGGCTGGCAGCAAGTCGATGGGAGTCTCATACAGCTAGACAAGCGGAAGAACTCCTACCCGGTACCCTGCGCAGAGAATAAAAATTTGGGGAACCCCCTCCAAATCGTAGACAGGTTCCACGCTGAAATCAACCTGCAGAGAAGCAGGCAAAGATACACAGTCCTTTAACGGACTGCCCCCTCTTCTAAAAGGGCAATGCGCATGGTGTATTCTTCTTTCTCCTGCTCGTTTCCTCCTTTCCTTCCCTCACTTTCTACTGCGAATTCAGTTTCCACGTCCTCTACTCTTTCTGCACGTGGGGGGCTATGTGCTACATGGCACTCGCAAAAACGGAAGCGCCTTCGCTACTGCATCCTGATGCAGCATGATCAACGGCAGCGTCGCTCTGCAACTACGAGCCTCCATCGTGCGGTACACGTCCTTGCGTGCGTCCTTGCGTGCGTGTGTTTATGCTACTGTGTTTACGTGTGTGTGTGTGTCATTTTGCACCTTCTACCCCTCCCCTCCCTACCCCCCCCCGCCTGCCTTCCCCCATTTCACAGCGAACCGTATTAAGGTGTGGGGGCTTCCACTTGAGCAGGAGAGGGCATGTCCCCGTCACGTAGGGAAGCTTCACAGGGGTAAAGATGATGCCGTCCGAGGGATGTGGGAGCCGCAGCGCCATTCGCCGAATCGCCTCCAAGTCAAATATCTCAAAAAAGTCCTACAAGACAGTTATACACAACAAGCCAACCGACACCCATTGAGACGCGCGCGCCCTCGCACACCCCCACAACACGCTGCCAAAGCGAACAACGGAAGCACCAAAGAAAAACGGAATACATGCTTAGGACAAACGGCCTTATCCAAACAAAAGGACCAAACAAACGAAGCAGACAGGGCGCGCAGAGGCAAGACTTCAGTACAGAAGCTCTTGTCTCCTCCCACTGCCTTGCCTTCAGATATATCTCCAAAGGGGGATTCTTCTGAGCAGATTCTGCTGGCGCAAGGCCGGAGAAACCTCCATTCGCCATATATTCCAATCCGCATGGTTGCTGCGAGTCTGCGGACAAACTCCGTGAGGCATCGGGTGCCTGCCGTCGCTGCACTTCCCTAAGACGCGCCAGCGGCTCTGTGACAAACTTTTTTGCTGCCTGTAAACGACGCAAAAGATTCATTCGTTGCAGCTCCTCATCGCCTTCAAGACACATGCAGTCATAGATCAAATAGCGCCATAGAAAGCCGCCACCCTCCCGTCGGTCCTTCAGAAAAAAACACACACACTTACACACACAGTAACACACAAATCTACACACAGTAACACACAAATTTACACACAGTAACACACACAGTAACACGAACGCTTACACACCGTAACAAACACACACACAGTAAAACACACACTTACACACCGTAACAAACACACACACAGTAGCACACACTTACAAACACCGCAGGAAAGCGGTCAAGAAGATGGCATGACACCCCTCTTCTTAGGAGAAAGCTCCTCTAGCACTAGATGCGCACCATGACCAGCTCTCCATCCAAAAGCGTCATTTCTTGAGCCTCCCGCAGATCGACTGCCCTGGGAAGATACATTTCTGCTACCTCGCGCACCTGCAAGGAGAAAACAGGCCGATGCAGCAAGGGACGTGTGCCGCACTACATAGAGGCAGTGCAAGGCGAAAAGAGAGTGCCTGGGAAGGACAGTAACTGCAGACAGACGCCATATAAAACACAAACCCAGGATCCCCGACCGAAGGGCACAGTTTGCGGATCTCTTTATAGCAAGGTAGGCAAGCAGAAGTAGCACAGCGGCAATCTCCCCTCTCTCCACTTCTCCCTTCAACCCCAAACAAACAGCAGATTGAGTGGATAGGACACCCCGGAGAAAAACCAGAAGAACGGGAGCACCCCAAGCCTGCTGCTGCAGCAGGCGCTGCCGCTGTTTCTATCACGGCACCAAAAACTGCCGCTTCTCTCCTGTGAATGCCTCATCCCGAACCACTAGAGAACCCAGGTTTCAACTAGAGCTTCAGCAAAAGAAACGCCAACGATAGCGAACAACAGGAGCCAAAGAACGCAGCAAAGCCACGCAGATGCCTCAGAGTCGCTGAACGTTTGTGCGTGGGTGTAGTAGGTGCACCTCATCGCGACGGCCAATGAGGTAAATTCGCCTATTCGAGCCGTAGAGGAGAAAGCGGATGCCGTCGGTTTTTTCACACGCTACATACGGATTTCGAAAAAGCTCTGCAGCAAACAGTCGCTCAAGGGAAAGCAGAAGGCGGCAACACGAGCTCGAGAGCAGCAACAAGGGCAGCAGGAGGCATAGGGGAAAAGTTCCCTAGCATATATATATACATATATATAAAGGCTGAATATATATATATATATATATGTATATATATATATGAAGGCTGAACGTTCACATTGCCTATCTGCGGTGCATCTGAGCGTGGGGGAGAGATGAGGACTCGAATTTTTTCGACAGAAACAAAGAGATGCCACACGCATACGCAAGAGCAATAGGGGGCAGGAGGCTGCGGCCAAGTGCGCATGCCAAAGCGATACGCGCAAACATCCAAAGTCAGGGCATAGAGATTGCACAGCAGCGCACAAACTGCACGTACCCGTGACGTTCTGCAGGCTGAGGGATACTGGCTGCCCTCCTGGGAAGCCATCTCGCTTCCATCGCAGGATTTTCTTTACGACAGCCTTTACGGCTATAGCAGAGGCTGTGCTGAATCGCGAGGCATCTTCACCCTCCAACAGGCCGGGGAGGGGAAGCTGCTCGTCAGTCCGAGTTGAGGGCTTTATAGCCTCTGCATCACGGAAAGGGGGGGACGCTTCAGGGGGTGCAGGGTGGCTAGTTGGACGCGAGGTTAGCTGCCTATCCGACCAGTCATTACTGCTGCTAAGGTACATCTTTCTCGGATGCAGGGACCAGGGCACTTCTTGTGCGCGCCCCTGCAAGGAGAGGGGAAGATGAAGCGAGTCGGAAAGCACGCAACGGGGAGGAGAGGGCGTAAAAATTGAGGGGGAGCCACAATTGAAAGCAGCGGTGGTGTGGTGTAGGGTCCGGGGGGGAAGCAGGGGTTGAGGCGACGGAGGGAAGGAAACAAAGGGCAGCTCCTTTTACTGCGCTTGCCGCTTTTAAAAAGCGGCAGCCAGTGGCCTCATGCCTGGATGCCGTCCTCCTCGTATCTGTCCTACAGAGGCATCTCTCTATGGCAATTTGAAGGCTTGCAGGGTCACACTGTAGGCGTCAACAGCAGCAAAGCGCCTTCAGACGAGGGCACCGAGCTTCGCAGTGCATGAAATGTGCCACCCGAAATGCACCTTCTCTTTGATGATGGACTCGATCCCTTGAACTACAGGACCAGACGCCGAGGAGGAAGCGGCCCTTTTGCGTTTCCCCTGGGGTGCGTGTGAAGGCCCTCCAAAGCTCGTGTAGAGTGAAATAACAAGGGGAAGACTGTGAGTTTCAGTATCTCTGTTGCAAGGTCACAGCTAGAGCTGTGTTTGGGTGAAGGTTGTTCCGATTACGGGCTCGGGGAGGCCCCCCTCGACACTGCGGCGCATGCAATAGGGAAAGCTTCGGGTATGCGAAAGGCTAGAATCTCAATATCGCACAGGTAAGCGAGCTGATGAGAGAAAGAAGAATATGACAAATAGGCTGTAGAGGACAAAGATAAAGAATTAGGCCGAGCAGGATTCGAACCCACGACCACCCGGTCCGTAGCCGGGCATTCTATCCAACTGAACTATCGGCCTGAGGAGGCGGCCCGTGGTGTTTGTGGATAAGCAGATGCTAGGTAAAAACATTGAAGGCCATTAAGAGACTCGAGCCAAAAATTTTGTGAAGTCTTGAAAAATGTAGACGCCACAATATAAGGGAAGCGACTAGCGTCCCAGCGCTGTTGCGGATGGATCGATGCACTGGCTTCGTTCCCATCAGCCGCAGCTCGTGGACGCTCTTGCCATGCTTACCGAGCTCGGAAGAAAGAGGGACGGTTTTAATCCTAATTTCGATCGACATTACAAGACCTAGAACTCTCTGTACCACGCATAACGTGCCGCGTGCATCCTGGGTTTGGTAGGCCTAGCGAGGTCGCTGCCACGAGGCCCCCCTCTACAAGAACTTCGTAACGTCTAGTATACGCTGCTCGCTTGCTTCATTGCTTAGGATCTTCTATTTTTGCCTTCCATTCAACGAGTGGAAATGCTGCTTTGGATGGTGTTCTGGCCAGAGAGGAACAGAATCTGTAGATGTCAATGACAGTCAAGAGCGGTCCTTCTACTGGGCAGGAGCACGCACAGAGACATCCTCACAGGCAACTAAAGAGAAAGCTACCCCTGTCAGCACCTCCCAGAGAAAGCCAATATTATTCCTATACCTCAAGCGGCCATTGGGGGCTTTCTGAGTGCCTGCTTCCGCAGTTCCGTTTCTTTGAGCCCGCTCACTTTTGTAAGGGGCGGCCACTGCGGCCTTTAGCCCCCTCTCTCCGTAAAATGGGGGTTTTCAACCGTCTCCTGCTCTTCTTTCTCGGGCTGGTGCCTCTCTTTCTAGCGAAAAAGGCCCAAGGTGCCGCTGTAAACGTTGCAGAACCCTTGGTTACTGAAGGTACAAGGCACACTTCCCTTGGACTCGATGATTTTCCCCCCACAGAGTATCCCTCTGGGCGCCCCGACCCTGATGGTTTTCGACAGGAGCACACTGTAGAGCAGCCACACGAGCTACAGCCTCCCTCGCCGCCAACGATGACTTTCCGATTCGTGGATGAAAAAGGAAACGTCACTGAGGTGCCCATACAGTTCAAGGAGGCGCAGCTTGAACCTCGGGGATTCTGGGGAGACGTTTTAGCCAATGGGATGGCACTATTTCTTGCGTATGCGGCAATTATCATTCTTAAGGAACTCTTGACATGGTCCTCCTCTAGGCGGAAGAAAGCAGCAGAAAGCTCACTACGGGCTCATGTGGCACTACGGCGGGAAGCGATCAGCGCAGAGCTGCGGACCATAGAATCGGGATTCGAGGATATAGAGAGGAGTGACAAGGGTGGAAGAGATGAAGGAGCGGAAGAAGAACTGAAGCATTTCTTGGATTTGCTAGACGGCTACAGGTATGAACTTAAAGACTATGATACTCCCGCCCTCGTGGCGTACATCGACAGTTTGATAGTGAAAATTTCGCAGCTGCTGAAGCACATCAGTCGCAACATTCCAGAGCGAGAGCGTTTGGATGGGCCTTCCGCTTCCCCGGTGCCCTCCACCAATATCTCAGAATCCGAGTCAGTAGGCGCAGAAGGCAGTGCTTCCCAAGCTGGGAACCACGACGCAGAAACGAAGGAGCAGGTGGCTGACGGCAGCGACAAAGTCAGTGGGGAGAATGAGGGAGAACGTTCTGAAAAGGAGATAACGGCCTCGCAAACGAAACAGAAGCCGGATATGGACTTGGTGCTACTTGTTAAAGAGCAGAACCCTGATTTGTCCCCTAGAGAGACTATCCTCCTGGCATCTGAACTAACAAGGAAACGAAGAAACAAACGCGATACGTAATATTGCATTGCTGCCGATCTATGTATATCTACATATCCGAGACAAGCGATTGCTTGAAATTTGCTACCTTCAAAGGCCTTTGAGCTGTATATATTACACCGCCGCCATTCGGTGTCCTATCTAGTTGTTTCGTTCCCATGTTGTGTGAATGATGCAACGCTTTTGGTTGGGTAAGTCTCATGCATGCAACGCACATAGGTAGCATCGATTTGGTTGCTGTTCCTATTTGTTTTGGTGGTGCCGTGGTGGGATTCCCCTAAAGTAGAGCGTTTCACCCGTTCGATTCTGCCCAAAAAGGGACGTGTGAATATAAAGAGGAAACCTCGTGGCTATGGCTCTGCTTACATCTGAAATGCGACCATTATGGTTTCGTATTCGTCGCAGGATTGCTCTCACGAACGAACCTTTTCAGGGAGTATTTTAGTGCTGTACTTTGGCCATGTAGATATACATCGGGGTTCCCATAGAGATGTGCGCGTAGTGGTGTGCTCCCTGGCCTCTGTATTTTCTGAAAAGTGCCCAGAAGCTGAATGACTGCCTTGTGAAGGCCAGCCTTTCTCTAAGCCGTAGCGCCCCCTCTGGAAAACCTCGTAAAGCCATCCCTTCCCTCCGCCTTACGTTGCCCACTAGAAGGAGAGTGACTGTGCCTAAGAGAACTGGAGCCCTTAGCGTTTTCGCCCGGATGCGTGCGCAGCGCATAGATTCTGCCCTCTCCTCGCTAGCTACTCCACATGCCCGTGCGACAGCTAAGGAGCTTCCTGCCTCTCCTCGTTACAAACCCCTTGTGACTCCCGTCTATACAGGGTTCTTTCTGGTCTTCCCCTTGGTGTGATGTCTCTTCCTGCAAACACACCTCTTACCATTTGGCAGCTATAGGGCGTGGGTATCGAGGAGCGACTCTCTTTGGAGGATCCCTTCTGTACTGCCCTCCGCGTTTCCGGGCCGTGAGAAGAGGGGCCCCCAAGCTCGAAGCTTTTCACCGAGGCAGTGTGGCGCTCGTTCTGTCCACAGATGTAATGAGAAATAGCTTTTTCATTTAAAAAAAAGACCAAAGTGCAAGCCCACGAAAGGCTACACCCTCTGCTAGCAGTACCTTTGCTCCGTGTGCTACATTTATGAGCAGAAAAATAAAACTAAGCCCCTCAATTCGAGCCAGGGTCCCCTGCTTGCTGGCCCATTGCTTCTGCCCTCGTCTGCAGCTCAAGAGCCTGCAGCATCCATTTCCGTTTCATTCGTCGCAAAAGTTTTCGTTCTTTGCGACTCTCGGTGTCTGAGTGCGCAGAGAGGCCCTTCCTTTTCCTCTTCTTTCCCGCCTTCCTGCTGGTGCTGTAGGTCTCGCTGTCTGGCGTATCCTTCGCAGTTCGCTCTTCCACAATGCATACTTCGCTGTCACTGCTCTCCGAGCTCACGCTTACGCATGCCTCCTCCCTGGCGTCCCCCTGATGCTGCAAAGCCGCGGTAGGCGCTACAGGGGGGCCCTCATTAAGAGACGCATGAGGGCCTTGCTGCAAGGCCCTCATGCGTCTCATGGCTTCTGCCGCAGCTGCTTCCACTACATGAGAAGTGTTGCTGCTGGCACTGCCGCCGCTACCCGAGGCTTCCTTCATTTCCCTCGCTTCCCTCGCAATTCTGTTTGAAGGCAGTTCTTGCTCATACCACAGCGTCTTCATTTCCCTCGCGATTTCAGAGAACTCGCTCCTCCGGCTGTTGCTGTGCCCCGCCTGCAGCATGTACTTTTCCCGCTCCTTGTCGTGCCGCTGCACGAGCCGTTCTGCCTCGGCAAAGAAGTTCAAATGCCTTTCGCCTGAGCGACCTAGAGGACCAACACGGCCTCCACGTGCAGTCAGAGGCCTCGCCAGGGTTGGACCCTCAGAGTTTCTGTCGGTGCACGTCGGGCGGCTTGCTGCAGAGGCGAATGCTGGCAGCCTTTCGAGCGACTGCACTTCTTGCCTCGTGAAAGCCGCCGTCGCACGCGCCACATTGCGGGGTAGAGGCTGCAAGGCCCCCCCCCCGACAGAAGCTGTGTCTGCATCGGTCGATAAACCCGCTGCAGGCATGCCGAAAGCTTCGCGTAAGGCTTTCTGTTGTGACCCTCTCGCAGCGCCTACCCGTGCATCAAGTGCCCCTCGCTGAAGCTCGTCAAGAGCTCTCTCCTCCGTACAAGCCTGCAAAGCAGCAGAACCCGCTGCTACTGCAGAGCGAGAGGCCGCTGGAGCTGCTGTCTCTTCTGCTGCGTCGGCCTCTGTCTCCGTCGCTGCCGCCTGCTTCCTGCGCTTCAGCCGAATGACGACATCCGTAAGGACTCGACGCTGCTGCTGCTGGCGCTCGGCTGCCACTGCAGCTTGGAAGGCACTCTCATCCCGAAGAACCCGCAGACGGTTGTCATCCCTGTATACGTGCCAGCGCTTTTGCGGCAGAATGTTGAGACCCCCGTGGCCGCCCATTTTCCGCGGAAAAGGAACGCGCGAGAGGAAAGCGAACCGAAGAAGAGGAGCAGACTCTCGCTGTCGTAGGCAGCTAAACAGGCCCAAAGGGGGCGGGGAGAGGAAAGCAGGGGAGGCAGGCACTGCCGGCCTAGTAGCTGTGCGCGCTGATCGTGAGCGCCAGAGAAACAATGAACATCACGAAAATCGGGTGCCTTAGGAGGGACATGGCTGCGCTTTCATCAGGCGGCTTCGCCGATTGTTTCACCTGCGGAGGTTGAGGGTCGCTCCGAAGCAGCCACTCCTCATCGCGCGCGGCTCTGTAGGCTTCCCGCCATTCCTCATGACGTAGAAAACAGAAAAAGCACACACAAGTACACACATAAAAGAGTCCTGCGTTTTGTTCGTGCGAATGGAGTGGGTGGCAGCGCAGAAGGTGGCGGGGGCCCCTCGGGTGCCGTTTCTGAGCAAGCAGTTCTCCTGTCGTTGTTGTGAGTTCTGCGTCCAGACAAGTGCAGTTTACGCGGTTTCTCGCATTTTCAGACAATACAAGCGCCTATTCTGCATTTCTAGAGGAGAAGAGACGTCTCCACTGCTCCCTACGCCCGTTTTCCATCACCTGTTGCTGAGGTGGCTGCTGCTGCGACTGCTACCGCAGCGAGCCGCCAACCAGGGGGCCCCCCGCCCCGCCCCCTGGGCCACCGCCGCTGCGCGGCTGCTGCATTGGGGGGCCCCCTCCATATCGGTCCCTACTGATGCTGCTGCATTCTTCTGCCCTCGTCCTCCGATTCACAGCGCACGAGTCCGTTTGAATAGGAAGCTTCTTCCGGCTAGGCGTTGAAGAGATCTTCCTTCTGCAGGGCCCTCCACAGGGCAGTGCATGCGGTGCTCTTGCGCGGGTATTTTCTCCCGGAGGATCTTCTGCCATACGAGGATGAAGAAGGGCCTTTCCTCAAGGCCGTAGCGAATGGGGCGTTCTCTGGAGGCTGAGAAGGAGGAAGGGGCCCCAAAGGTCTTCCTGGCCGTTCCACGCCTCACTGCTTCTCTCAAGTGTACCCTCTGCCACTTTTTGAGGGGTTCCATTGCGGGTGCCACCGCGAAAACAATCGTTCACCCGCTGGACAGGGTGAAGATGCGGCTGCAGGTGAGGGGCCTACAGCGTTGCAGCATCTGAATCGAAGGGTGTAGGGTTCGATTCCAAGAGCATGCTTTTTTGCGGGGGTTTCGCTTGGGAAAGGCAAAGCTGCTGCTACTGTGCGCCTCGCTTGTTGATTTCTGGAAGCTGCCCGTCTGGCCGGCTGTACAAATGCATGAAAAGCTGAACGGCCCCTTCGCTCAACGTTCCCCGGTGTTTCCAACTGGGGTGCTTTTGCCTCAGGTCAGAAGCGCGGTAGTAGGGACCACCTTCTCCCTCCGCCTTCTTCCGAAGGAGCTCCACAAGATGATCCGTAATGAAGGATTCTTCTCTCTGTGGAAGGGCAACTCCTCTGCTTTCTGCAGGTGAGGGGCTTAGAGGGGCCTCTCTTCCTGTATAAAGGGCCCCCACGGCGCGTTGGCGCAGTTTTTCTCTTCTTTTTCACCCTCGCACAGCTCATGAAAGAAACCTCAATGTCTGCACCGAGGAGAAGACGCCCCCCTTTTCCCCTTTGAGCGTTGCCTCGGCCTGTTCAAAAGCCCTCCGTAAGTCTGTGCTGCATGCGGCTCTCTGTGCGCGCATGCCGCCTTCTTTCTGTCTCTCTCCCTTAGGACCTTCCCCCATAGCGGCATCGTCTACTTCTCGTTCGATCGTTATTTGGCCGCTCTGCAGCGGCTTTCCCCCGAAGGGGCAAAGGCAAACAGACTCCTCGCCGGTGCAGCTGCAGGTAAGCACAAGAGAGTCAGCCTCCCTCCAACGTCTTCCTTGCACGCTGCGGAGCAGCCTTAAGCTTTCGGCTGACAGCGCATGCAGCACCCTAGAGACGGCCTTAGAGAAAGCCTCTCGGATGTTGTCTCTGGCACTCCGCCGTGATGCCTCCCTCACCTTTCCTTGTGTGTATTCATGTGTTTTACATGCGCAAAATATCTGCGGCTCGCGCCGTTGCCTGTGCTGCTATCCCCTTTCTTGGGATGCCCCTTCCACGGCATATTCGCAGGGGCCACCTCAACAGTCGTGACTTATCCGCTGGACGTACTCAACACACGCATGAGCGTCACCAAGCACCGCTTAAGTTATCACCAGGTGAGAGAAACCTACTGCTACTGCTGCTGCTGCTGCTGCTACTACTGCTGTGAAGCCAACGCCGCGCGTGGCTCTAGCGCTTTTTTTTTCTCCTCTTTCCCCCCCCCCCCCCCATCCTCTCCCCTCCTCCCTCCCCCTGCTTATGGCCCGTTGCAGCGATTTTTATGTCGGCTAAGAAGCTCCCTTCCTTCAAAAAGGGCAACCCTCTTTTCCATGCGTCTGTGGCAGCCATCGTGTGCGCCCTCCTTGGGGTCTACTGTGCTATAGGGGAGGGAGTCTTTCTTCTTCAGCCACCCTTCTGCGTCACCTCGCGTTTGTTGATCCTGCCTGCCCACCTACCTGTGCGCATGCAATGCATAAGGGGCATACCGGCTTTCAGTATTTCCTGCTCATCCTCCAGCGACACTCCTTAGCCGCGGCGAAAGGGGCCAAACGACCCTCTTGACAGACCTGCTGCTGCCGGTATGCGTATTTCAGGTGTCCATGCTGCGGCATGAGGGGGCAGCTTCTCTTTATCGAGGCTTCTTACCAACAATACTAGGCATTGTTCCCTACGCTTCCGTTTCCTTCTTCACTTTCGAGACCCTCAAACAACGATTTCTCGTAAGCAGAAAATACGAGGCCAGGTTCATCTGTGTATATGTCTCGCTGTGTATGAGTATGTGTCTCTCTGTGTATGTGTCTGTCTGTGTGCTCCTTCCCGTTGGTTTCTTCATATCACACCGTAAAGCCTCAATCAGTTGCCGATAGCGCAGTTCTAAATGCAGCAAACACAACAAAACCCTTTTTTCTGCATTTGCCTGTGGGGTTCGGTTGAAAGGGAGGGGGGCTGCGCTACGCCTTTTTTTTCTCTGTCCATTGCAACACGATGCACGAGTCCAGCGTGCCGTAGCCTTTTGGAGGGACGCGAATGCAGCAGCAGCAGCAGCAGCAGCTCCTGCACATATTCCCATCCTCTACCCATGCTATGTGTGCCTTCGGCTCCTGTGCTTTTTAGGAAAGAGGCGAGGAATTTACGACTCTGCACAGCGTCGTGTGCGGCGGCTTCGCGGGCGCCCTTGGGCAGACTCTCACATATCCGCTGGACTCCGTGCGGAAGTTGATGCAGGCAAACGCCTTTCTCCACAAATACAGCGTAAGGAGGGAGGCACACTTACACCAGCGAGCCGCAGCCTTGAGCATGGTGTGGCCGGCCGGCTAGTTGCGCATTCAAGGCATGCATGCGCGTGCAACCCTTTTCGAGGGAATGCTGTGTGTGTATACATGTAGATGTGCGTATGTATATGTATATATATATATATGTGTGTATATGTATGTGTTGGGATCTGCGGTCGAGGCGGAAAGGCCCTTGGCAGGAAGTTTCTTGCCCACTGTTCATGTGCTTTCATGTTGTTCTGCTAAAAGCAAATCACAATCCATTTTTTTCGGCGGGAGTCCCTCTCCATATACGGGTAGCGCTCTGTTTGCGGCCGTGTGTTGCTGCAGGAAAAGGGTGCTCTTTGCGATCGGCGTCTCACAACTTTAGACGCTTTCCGCCAAATTTACCGTCGGGGGGGTGTGAGGGGTCTGTACAAAGGGGCATCGCTGTGCTGGGTAAAAGGCTTTTCTGCTGCTGGCATCTCATTCAGTCTAAACGAAAGGTTTAAAGGCATGCTCCTGCAAGAGGGGCTGTGCTCCGTTTGAATAAAGCGCCACTCGATTTCTTGGCGAAGCGGCAATGGCTGCGGCCGCATATAGCTAGGAGCAATTCTACATGCTCCCTCTAACATACGCAAGCTGCAGGGAGAACCGATAGATATGCTGGCCTTGCGGGACGAATGAGGCTGGAAGGGTCTGTGCTCGCCACTTGCCACGCCTTTCCGCCCTGTGCGCACTCAGGGGGTCCCCCACCACGGGCTCTCGCTGAAAAACTAAAACTACACCTAAACACACGAAAAAGTGTGATGCACTGCTTCCCTTGCTAGCATTATATGGCAGCCTAGCATCTCGGCGGTTTTACTGCTTCCTAAAAGTTTTCGAGCTGTACTACGTTCCACCCGTCTTTAATTGATTAGTTGGTGCGGACGGAGCCTAAACAGTTGATCCACTGCGTCCCCCGGGGCGTAGAAGTATATATATATATATGTATATAGGGCTTAAACTTCTTTCCCCCGACGTGCAAACACAGGCACTCCCCATCGAATCGCATCAAGCTACGAGCTTACTGTATCCAACGCCACCGTTGCTGCTACCAGGTTTGCACGCGGTAGCGCGACAACTCCCCAATATGACGCCGCACCTGCTCCTGCATCTAGCACTTGCTGCAGCTGTACTGCGCAGTCAAAAGTGAGTGTGGACGCACGCATTCATGCATGCCAATTACGCAAAGGGAAAACGGCGAAGCGGCGCGCTTCAAGACACACTACACGCAAAAACGCTCGGGGCGCACATACAGACCCTCGCGTTCATCCCCACATCGCCAGCTGCTAACGCTGTGTAGAAGCAATAGCGGAGCCGGTAGGGGGCAGTATTTTTCTCATGCGGCATACGTTATTCACAGCACCGCTTTCTCTCTTTCGACGCATTCCCTAAGTGCGCACGCCGGCCGCCCGGCCGCTCGACTTTTTAGCATCATGCAAAACAACCGAAAACCCCTCCAAAAAACAGCTTTCACTTAATGCTTTGCTTGTGCTAGCTAGCCAAGGGTGCTGTCAAGGTCAGCGCAGCAGCTCCAAACTCAGGACTGACTGCTCAGCTTCCCTCTAGGTGCCAGATCGTTCACACCGAAAAAGTACACTTGAAATCGTTGCGCTAAAGATGCAGAGACACAGCTTTTGCCACTTCACTACCTGCACTCTCGATTCCCCCGAGACCTGTTTTTTGTCGTGCCATGTTTTGCCCCGCGGTTCTCCGAGCCTTTTTCTCGCTATGTCTGCCAGGCAGTAGCGGGCCAGAGCTACCGGCGACTGTCGCCTACCTTGCACGGGTGTCTGCCTATCCAGCTACCTAGCTAGCCGCAATAGCTGGCTAGCTGCAGATCGGGGAAGGCGCTCTGTGCGTCCGCGATGCAGCGCTAAAAAAGCTGATCGAAAGAGAGCCTCCCCCGTTGGCATGAGCTACTCTTTCCATCCAAGAGCCGCATGCATCTGCCGATTGATGGTCGAGGGCCTCTTCTGCGTGGCGGGAATCGATGCGGCAGGGGGCCCAGTCCGCGTGCACGGCGTCGTGTTCGCCGCAGATACTGGTCGTGCGACTGGGCAGTCTGCTGCAGATGGGACGCAAACAGATGCCGTCCATGCTGAGATCTGTGGCTGTGAATGACGGAAAAATGACTTGACCTGCCTGCACAGTGAACTGGGGGTGCCCGTTACATTGTATCAGATCCTTCACGCCCGAAGCCGGCTCTAAAGCTGGAGATCCGAAAGCGACGCTCAAGGAGTCGATGCCTCCCCACAAGGCCCCCGCCCTGAGGCCACGCGTGGGATCTTCCGGAGGGCTTTGGCTGGCGAGCTGCTGCTGCCTACAACGGCTCAGCAGTGCCTCCCCCACATGAACCTGATGGGGGAACGGCTTGGTCTCCTCTGCCGTGCAGCCTCGTGCCGCATGCGGCGGGGGGCAAGCGCCTCCGTATGAAGGTGTTCCCAGGGTGGGGTTGTCCGTTGCCATGTCTGCAGAGTCGTCTGCCCGCACATGAGAATCGTTCGTCAGAGAAGGAATGCGAAGGATGCAGTGCTCGCCAGCAGGGCCACGGGCGGTATACCGAACAGGAGCACCCGCATGTCCAGGAAGCGAAACAATATCCAATGCAACACCAACAACGTTGTGCGCAGCAGGCGCGCATGCAGCCCCAGCAGCAGCAGCCGCGGAGGGCACGGACACCGACAGGGGGGCAGTGAGGCCGCTTTTTAGGACCTCAATGATCTGTTGGGCCGCCAACTTCAAAGGCGTCGATTCTGTTGCATCAAAGACGGAAGACCACGTGCTGCATACAGGCACAACTAGCAAGGGGCAGCGGCAGACATAGAATGCACACGCTTCGCAGCCTTAGCTATCTCCCCTCCCCTTTGACAACAACACCGCATGTGCGTGACACATACAGCCACCTTGCGGAAGGCGCTGCTGCACGGCCACACCGATGCACAAACGAGACGGAGCCCCAACACACACACACGCACACCTTGCTTGCTTGCGCATGCACAAAACACCCTTCCCACCTCTACAACAACTACTACTACCACCACTACCAAAGCTGTAGTCATGCAGCCAGGAACAACTGGCAGAGGAAATATCCAAAATCACCAAGACCAAAATCGCGAATTCCCACCTGAGCTGCCCTATAGTCCTGCAATTCGTTACGCCGCGTAGCACATCCTCAAAGTACGTGCCCAAGAAGGGCCGGAGATCTTGGAGCCGCGAGACATATCGCCCCTTCCTCTCTATCCAGCAACATACAAAAACCACAGCATGAGCACTCTTAAGCCTTGAGATCCGGTGTGACAAGAACGCATGTGCGAGGCTGTGAAACACGAACTTTACGGCCAAACTTGGGTGCACCACGAGCGATACAAAAGGCACCGTACGGAGAAGCTGATGCAGCTCGTCGCGCAAAGAGATACAGCATGAAGCCCCTACGCCATCGCAGCCAGACTGCCTGCTCCAGCCCTCCAACAACTTCCTTCCCGCAGGACGCACAACACGCATCCCAGAGAGCTCAAATCTGCATTTTTCTTTGGCTGCCTTACACTAGGAACCCCCAAACCCCCTCTCTACGCAACGAGCGTCGCTGCATGCGTCTTAGCGTCAATCGCACAAGTTCCCCTTCCCTCTCTTCTCCCCCCCTTCCTTCCCTCTCTCAACCTCCAACATTCTTTCCATTAGCCTGCAGCGGTCAGTGGCGCACTCACCAAGAAACTCCCGCTGCACAATGAGTCTGCCTTCCTCCTTCTGCAACAGTATCTCTTGTATCTCTTCGGTAACTTTATGAACTTCGCCCTCTAACGCGGCAATCGTCATCTTTTGCCTCCTCGCCTCGTCCTCCCGCAGTTTAAACTCCTCCTCCCTCTTTCTGCAGGCTTCTTCGCGCTGCTGCAGTCGCTTCTTCTGGATCTCGAGCTCTCTGCAGACGTGACGTTGCCATTTGCGAACGTCCTGACTCCACTTATCTCCCGGAGGCGATGCAAAGAGTTCTCCAGCCGTCCGTGGCATGTGGGGCCCCTCCTGGTTGCTGCCTGCAGGGGCACCTCCACTCTGAAGGCCCCCCCCCCCAGCTGCCGTCCCCTTAGTCAAACTGCCACTGGCCTGTCTGCTGCACTCCTCCCCCGACTTCACCGCCCCTTCCGCCTCAGCCTGCGACTGGGGCTGCTGCAGTTGGGCTCCAGCGACTAGCAGAAGCTCCTGCCGATCTATGGATACGTGCTGCTCCTGCCCAGTCTCCCCTTCAAGGCAGAGGACGAAGCGATCAGGACCTAAGTGCGCAAAGTCCACGCAAACTAGAAGGAAAATTTCGCCCAGGCCCCTGTCGAACCAGCTACAGAGGCAAAGGAAGGAGTGAAAGAGAGACACGTATATTTTTAAATAAAACGCCATGCTTATTCGAACCCCCACATGCAGCATCGCAGCACACAACACATCTCCTCGCCAAAAAGATCTTCCCCTTAGTGACAAAAGAAACCGCCTTCACAGGGCCACCACCTAAGAAATCATACTCCCCCAGAGACACAAAAAGAGCCGCAGCTGACAGCCCTAGCAACCCATCCTCTGCCGAGTGAACCACAAGATTTCGAACGCACCTGAAGGGGTGACACTTTTCACCTTGATGCTTGCAGGAGAGCGTGCTGCTTGACATGCATGCGTCTGAGGCAAGGCGCCACACACAGGCACACAGATACATATACATATACAGAAACATGTACAGCACAAATACATACGATAACCCCTCGCCCAAGGCAATGCGAGCAGGCAACACAACTCCGCCATGGCCCCCCCCCCTACTTCACAAAACATCCAGCAGAGCTTAACCAAGGGCGCAGCAGTGCGCCTCCGCTGTGCTGCTCGCTCACGCAGAAACCACAAATGTTTCTCAGCACCTTTCGCTCTCCTAGCTGGAGGTGAGAGGAGGCGGAGGAGGAGGCAAGGCTGTGAGGCTATGGAAATGAGAAATGCACAGAAACAGACAGAAGCAGAAGAAAGCTCACGGGAGAGTGATGACGCGGAGAAGCCGGACGGGAAACTCGTGTCACTTGTACTTGGCAGGCATTGCGGCAGTTTGCCCACTCTCCACAGCCGTAGCTCGTAACAACCACATCCTCCCCTAAAACACACCACTACCACCAAGAAGCATCCCTGGTCAGCCCTTCTGCTGAAATCTTGACAGAGAGGAAACAACAGCTACATCTCCGCGATCCACCAGCTAGCCAGTGCGCGGCATAGTAGTGCAAGACGTTACGTACCAGCACCCATCTAATGTTGAACAACAACAACAACCTCCTCCCCCCCCTTGATGCAACTCCCATGCCCCTCGTCCCGTCAAAACGCTAGAGTGCGTCTATATGTGTATTAGTAAGTCGATGTGTGTGTAAGTGTTTATGTGTCTATGTGTGTATGTGTTTATGTGTCTATGTGTTTATGTGTCTATGTGCCTAAGTCTATGTGTCTCTACGTGTGTATGTCTCTATGTGTGTATGTGTCTCCATGTGCGTATGTATGTATGACCACTGCACGCCTCCCTTTGACTTTGCCCCCCCTTTGCAGCTACACAACAGGCCTCAGTTTGATACACATTATTATGTCTCCTGCGCGACGAGACGTACCCGGAGACATAATAGAGACCTGCACTTGACCTGCTCCACATAGTCCAGAAGCACTCGGAGCCGCATGCGCTGCTCCCCTCGGGCTGCTGTGTTGCTGCAGGGGCCCCTGCGTCCTGTCGCTGCAGGATCTGTTGAGGATTTGTTGAGAAGAAGGGGCCCCCGGGGCCCCATTGGCCCCCGCCCCCCACCCCTGCCACATGGGGCTCGTGCCGCTGGGATCGACAGCAAAACCGTTCCTAGGCATCCGATTAGCGGCAGCGAAGTGCTGATGATGGCTGAAATCCTGAGGTCCCCCTCCAGCGTGTGTGAATCCGAAGGATTCCTCCTGGCCATACGGGAGGTAGACATGCATCGGATCGCCAAGAGGGCAGCCGTCTTGCAAACGTGAGCCTCGAAGTCCGACAGCAGCGGGCACCACGGCTACTCCAGCAGCGTCAGAGGGGTGCTGAGCTGAGGAGTCTCCTCGTGGCAGAGCCATGAAGGATGGGCTGCCTACCAAGCCGGCTTGCGCTGCTGCGCAACAGCCGTCCGCGGCGAGGCCTGCCGCATGCGAGTCGGAGAGCGGCATGCAGGCAGACTCCCCGCCAACGGAAGAGTAGGGCATCACCGTAAAAACCCCGTGTTCTCCGCACACAGCTCCGTTGGGGAGGGCCTGCGACTCTGGACAGCACCCAACTACAGGTTGGCGGCAGTCCGCGCATGCAGCGCTCGTTGGCGTGTTGCTGCTGGCACCGCACTCTGGAGTGGAAGCGGCGGCTTTGACGTCCGCAAGGTCGCGGGCCCTGTCTGCTACAAGCGCATCGTCTGAACCGGTGGAGCAACTTGTGCTGTAGCTTGTGTTTGCAGCTCTGTCGATTCTGTCCGAGTCCTCCACCCCAATCGGCAGCTGGTCAATGAGAGACGCAAATGACTGAATCTGCAGAGACGTCATTATGGCAATTTATTACACTCAAGCCACGCGCTACCGCAGGAAGTGCAAAGGCCGCGCGCGCCGGAGAGGGTTCCGATAAGTGAGACGTAGTGGACAGACACCAGAATCCCGCCTCTTCTGTGAGTGAAAACCGCTTATCCGCAGACAAACCGAAAAGAGAGAAAAGAAAAGCGGAAGGGGTGGAAGAAGCTGCCGCTAGTGCAGCAGCAGTCTAGATGAGGCACCGGAGCTCTACATCTGAGGTGTTGCTGTGCGGGGCACTGGGCAGAGTGACTAGGATGCGGGAGGCCGCGGCGGAAGCTCTAGCTCCCACAATATGAAGTTGCAATTCAAATCCCAAGCCCGGATGTTGCGGAATCGCGCTGTGTGCAGCGTACACCACTCGGAAGGCCGGGCCAGTCCAGACCACGCCAGCAATGCGCAACTGGTCCCTTTGGTAGTGCAGCCTTCCAGTTGCCGGCTCGTGTGCCCCCCACTGTTGTTCTATGCATGACTTTGCTTTAAGTTGCGCTCCTGACAAAGCCCAGAACCTCGCGGAAAGGCTTCTTCTTCGGTAGGAGACCGGCAATCGGCCGCATGCAGAGTGCGCTGGTTGACCGCGTGCTGCTGCGGCCTGTCGCCGAGAAGGCCTGGGGTCTCAAACGTGCATAAAACGAAAACACAAACCTCAAATGCGCTGGGGTATTTACGAAGAGAAACAACAGAATGGACAGAGCGACAAAGTCAGGCAGCCACACTATGCCGGGCCTCAGGCGTGAGATGACCGGCTGCAGTCCACTCATCCGGGCGCTCCCCTGCGAGAGGGGCACGGCGACTCTTCCGTGTGCTTCTTTCTTCTTAAGATTCTACTGGCCCAAATATGAATTGGAATGGGGAAACTCTCTTGAACTATGTCGGCTGATGTGGCTGTAACTCACGAGGTCGGCGGGCTCCTTACGGCATGGGCCGCAGGCATCACAGGCGGTGGGGACAGATGCCACAGACACTGGGCATCCTGCCGAATCTGATGAGGCGTTTGCGTTCTTCTTCTACGATGAATTGCAGCAAGCTCCCAAACTTCAGTAAAATACTTACGCTTTGTTAATGCAATGAATGATTCTTGTCCATACAGTGCTCATGCGGCCCATTACCCACGCACTGCCGGCAGACTATCGACTGCTGCTGCACTTCCCTCCGGCCTTCCGTCCTCCTTGGCAGTCCACCGCTTTGGAGCAGCTGGAGGTTGACATCGTGGAGCTGTGCTAGCCGATTTCAGCCGCTAAAGACCACACTGGGAGCACCGCTGAGGAAAAAATCCCATAGTGCAAAGCCACACTTTTTGTGCGCCATGCTGCGCGCCAATCTTCCTTCACCCCGATAGTTTCTGCTACATTAATTTATATCTGATAAACACAAACTGGATGATTTAGCGATTTATATTTATTCGCTACGGAGTTACCCACTCAAAGTACTCTGTGTGCCGTGTTCGTTCGCTCTTTTGTCTCCTGTGTCGGGTTGTGAAAGTCAGTGAACTTCAATGATGTGCAGGTGCCTCTCCGGTGCCCATTCTCACTTTGGGCTGCGAACTCTGTAGGTTTGGGGTACAGAGAAGTAGTAAGTCCTTTAGGAAATGAGATAACGAATTGCTTCAAATTCTGATTGCTATAATCCAATATAAACTCCGTCGAAGGAGACATTTCACTGCAGATTCGATCCAAACAAGGGAAATTTATCAAGTGCCTTCCTGAAAAGACTTTCTCCTTGGAGTCCGCGAGTAATCTGGGAAGTTTTACATCGTCTCAAGGAAGTTAGTGTGAATAGCTCCACGGCACCAACTTGGGGGATGGTGATAGAGTACGAAGGAGCATTTATTAATGAAAGAGTTGCGAACGGTCCGCCTGCGAGCTTCTTTGTCTGATCGACTTCCAATGCACTCTTACGGCGTGCTTTGCTTGTTTCCTGAGCCCTACGCGCACTCTCGCGTACACTAACCAGCAGTTTTGTGAAATCGTCCACTGACAGGGGCAGCTCCTGGATCTGGATCACTAAGCGCAGGCCCGGATCAGAAAGCAGCCCTTTACTGTCAACCAAGAATTCAGGAGAGCAGCGAGAAGCTGCCATTTTGCATTTTGGCGAAAGTAGGGGATTCACTGCTGTAATTGCATATGGCACACTCAATCCCGATAGAAACAGTGAATCGTCAAGGGCACGAGCAGTTGTGCTGCACAACAGGGAAGCCCTGGGATGTGGCGAGAGTTCATCGGCGACTATGTTGGTGGCGAATCCGCCGCTTATGCCCATAAAATGCTTCACTACAGAGTCATGCAACAGCAGATGCCTCAGCCAGCGAACAACTCTACGAAGATTCATGGTCAGTCTGAACAGGATGTTGATACCTAGAGAAACAGTGCTACCGTTCTTTCATGCCCTACCGCACTAAATGTCCTTTCTTCGATCCGATATCTCTGCTTGGTTTTGGGGAGGAGATAATAAAAATCATTTGCTCTTCTGGTGAGCGCCAGAGACCGTCCGGAGAGAATAGCACTCCCCCCTTCTTCACCATCGGTCTTTAGGAACAAATTGCACTTGCAGTCGGGCAGCGCGAGTACCAGAATAGTTGCACGGTGGGCGAAAAGCGCCCTTCCGACGTCACCAGCCTCCACTTTCGAGGTCGTAAATTGCGCTTCCTCAGGTAAAGTAATCAAAGAGGCAGCGATTCGAGCAAAACCAAGAGCAAAAATTTTGGTAATTGATTGCAAGCACGCAGAGCTCCGCAATTTCCTTGCGATTAAGTCAAGATAAAGCCCATGCCTTGTCAACCTCAATTCTTGCTGGATCTTGCTGAAATCCTGCAGCTGGAGCACAGCATTGCAGAAATATGATGGTTCGCATGTAATACAACCGCCTGCGTGTCTTTGTATGTCACTGCTTGCTCTCCCACATCTGGGACGCACCCCACAGGTGCTTTTGGCTCTCGTAAATGTTTCGGCTGGCTACTAATACGTCACCGATGTGGACAGCCATCCGTACCTTGAAAAGCTCACAAATCCCTATTAACTTGCCGCTGTAGTCAAGTTAGGGCTTCAGCAAGTCCATGCTGCATGCACGTATACTCAAGCTTGTGAGTGCAGGTTTGGAACGCCATTTTGTTCCAGGCCTCTAGAAAAGTGAGGATTGCAAGAAAGCGCTTGCCAAGTCAAATGTTGAGCAGACTGTTGAGCCCTGGGGTTGACTAAGAACTTGGACAATGTGATGCATCGGAAGTTCTGCTTTACAGTGATCATATTCAGGAGCTAAATGTTAACGCACATGCCTTTGCATCCGTCTTTTTTCGGTACCTACGTCAAGTTATACCAAAGGAGCTAGTCGAGTTTTGCACTTTGCGCTTTCGAGAAAATCATGGACATAGCCTTCAATCTTGGCTTTATGCTGTGGGGGCTCCCGATAAGGCGGAACATAGCTCAAGGCTGGCCAAGAGCTTGGCTCAGCACGATGCGCTGAATGACCAGCAAGCGGCCAGCCAGCTGACAGTTCGCCATTAGTTAACACATCCGCGAACGCGTCCTTCATATTTGTGTATCTGTGCTGTACCTCAACTGGGCATTTAATAAAATTTCTAGTGCAATACTCGTTTGAGGGCCTTAAAGATGGGATACATGCGTTGAGTTGTCTTTAATTGGTGGTCCGTTGAGCCACCCATGTATGGACTTTGGCTCTCCTTTGTTGATGTGCCGACTCTATCTTGCTAAGCACAAGTGAAATGAGCTTTATTGATGAAACGAGGGTCTGCTTTTTGCAGTGCTTCTTGATAGATTTACCTTCACAGCGCACAGCTTTGGCCACATGTGCGCCTTCTATTGGGTCGCCTATGGCATGCCTACAATTACTGCAGTGAAGCAACTTTAGACTTAAACGTCCGGTATATTTTTCGCAGCTGTAGTGGCGCCTTAAGCAAGAAATGCTCAAGGACTTGAGTGCCTGGGTAATCATAATCTCTCAGCTGCAAACAAAGGCTAAAGCAGATGCATGGTCGTCTATATCATTAAGTAACAAAAATCTATGAAATTGCAATGACTGTGGACAACGATGTTCCACTAGACGTTGTTGTAACTGGTTATTACTCTAACAAACTTTAGTATTACAAGAAAATTGAGCTCAAGTAGAGGCAACTTCGAGAATGAGTAAGCGACATAGGGATTTTTAGCTAGCTGTTTGGAACTGCTGCGGCTCTGATGCCCGCTGAGCCAAAGCGCACACCATTGCCCAGAAGCTAGCTTGGCTAGCATACAACAATGCACGGAGAAATGAGCTTTTCTGGTAATCAGTTTTCAGTATTGCTTTTGCATCGCGTTAGATGCTCCCTTGTAAAACAAATAGTTTCTAGTAGCCAAAATTTATCATGCAGGTGCTGGGATCTAAGTTTCAGGCGTAAAGCAGCCAGCCCTATAAAGGTAAAAGTATGGGAGCTGAGATTGTGTCGAAGCGCATCCTAGGAAGCAAGGAATCTTACTATGTTGAGACAAAGCAAAACTAATTCTTTCTTGAGATAGACTTTGCATGTGATTTTAGGAAGTTTGAGCACCGTCCCTATGACGTTTGGGGTGTGCACACACGTTCGCTAAGCCCACATCGGAGACCCTTGCCGCTGCATCGAGTAGAGGAGGATCAAAACAGCAGTGGAGCTCATTAATGAGCACTATCACAGGAACTGGCTGTCGGTGGGACCAGATTTCGTGAGTAAAGGCACTAGGCTAGCAGAGGAGCTACCTTGTCTAGAGCTGCAGGGCCTGATGGGAATGCAGTTGAGCCCGTCTCGTTGGGCTTTCTAATGCTCGTTCGAGCCCTCAGCAATAAGCCATGGTAATTATTCTGTGGCGTTAATACATATTCTCATCGAAAAATCCATAAACATTTTTCCAACCTGCCAGCTATTCTTTTCTACCAGCTTTGGGGCTACTGCGTTCACACGAGCTTTGCTAGCGGGACTGTGCTGTCCCAATAGGTTTTGTTCAACTCGTTACGTCTAATTCCGAGAGATTTTCAAGACTGCGACAAAAGAAATGAATGGGACGAATTGCCGTGTGACTTTATCGTAGCCAAACAACGGTTGTAGAGAAGCGTAAAATGGCACTGCACAAACATCCACTGGATAAAAAGGGGAACAGCCGCATCTAATCGTCTGGCTCCGCGAAATTCTAACGCTCCATCTGGTGAACTTAGGGGTACATTTGACTCCGGACTCGATGCGAACTTGATCAAAAGCTGTAAAGTGTTGTTGCATAGAAGCTCTCCCGGCATTCGTGTCCTTAGCCCTCTTACTTCCGGCCTAAGAAGGAATGAGCAGCTAGAGTGACGTCGTTGCACACTCCAAGCACTCCCCGAATTCCCAGCTAACTGCACATAACATCTACAGCCCACGCACGCGTTTCTTTAATGCGTACTCAGCTAACACAACTCTGCAGTAAGCACGACATGCGAACAGCGATAGCAAGAAGTCAGCTTATTTTGAATGTACTACAACGAAATTCGTAGAAAGTGCCTCAGTGTACCTGAGCCCGCTATACTCTATGCATGTGTCAGTAGTTTCGTGGTTTATGAGTTCGTAGTAAAGTACTTTCGCTCTCCTTATTTCAGATTCCATAATGCTTTGGGCAGCTAGAGAGAAGGGAAATCCCTGGTGCAGCTGTTAGCTCACTGTCATGACTACAAGGTACACACAGCATTACAAAAATAACAGGAGCGCAAAATAAAACTCCACAGGTTGCCCCGCCATACAAAATATCGGGTGTTTTAATGTCCACGTCACGGGGTCGCTTCTTTGTTCTTATTGAAGACATAATAGCACTCTAGCGGTGGCACTGTACGGGCTTCGTGAGATGCCACAATGTGGTCTATTCTCGGGAAACTTTTGCGTGATTTCTACCCGTTATAATCACTAGAACACAAATTTTCGGTTTTCATTTTTCACGTGGGTCATGTTAGCATTGACTGACGCTCTTTTTTATTCTGAATAAACAGTACCGGCAGTATATGACGTGCCTGGTGTTAAGTGTTCTGTGGTGGGGTCAGTGACCCTGACCAGAGTATCATGATATGAGAGCTTTCTTCTACGCTGGGTTTTCTGGCGTAATATAGGGAAATTCGACATCTAAATAAAACGTTACACCATAATTTAAGTTTAAGAGCACTATAGAACGGGAGTTTGGGGGTATTTAGGGCTGGGGGTTGCGGGGTTGACCGGATGGTTGTGCTACCGCGGCGACCACCGGTGACTGCGGGTGATGCGGTGCGTATCCTGTTCAGCAGTTGCTTTTCTTCACTCTTTAGGCGAATTCACCCTTTTGTTGGTGACATATATATCCAATTAACATCTCAGTATGTCAGGGAGGCCTCCTGCGCACTTCCCTGGGCGTTGGACTGCCACACGTACCGTAGCCGTTTGAGGGTGACCATTCGTCTGCGGTGACTTGACGTGGAGGGTCTCACTCTCTCTTGCACTAAATAGCGCAGGACCGTATTACAGTCACAATTATCAACCCCGTGATACCCCTGCTTTGTCTTGCTTCCCTATGTAGCCCTCTGGTTCTTGTCAAGGCGTTACAGAGACCGAGTGTCACGCAACAGAGAAAACCTAGAAAAGGAGGCGAATCCAGCGCCTCCATCCTCGCCGGTTCCGCGCTATCCAAACCATCTCTTAAGACACCGAAACAGTAAAGCCAGCAGGTGTCTGTCCTTTACGAGGGCTATATTCTCCGGGTTCAGGGCAAAGATTTTCATAGGGCCTTGAGGGTGCTGTCAGTGACTGAGTCCATCTCGCCTAACCGTCTGTCACCAGCGCCAAGACTGCTCACGAAAATGGCGCTTCCTCCTGTTCTAGACGAAGAGAACCTCTACAAATTCCGCACCAAGATATGCGAGCGCTACGTCAAACAGGGAAAATGTGAATTTGCCGACAAGTGCGTCTCGTATGTATATGCCCTTCCATTCTACTCAGCAATGGGAAATTACATATATAGTACCAAAAGCGTCTGTCATGTGTCTAGACGAGGGCACATGGATGTGCGCAACTTGGCTTGACCCTGCGTTTTCTGCTCATCAGGTGCCAGTACAGCCATGACCTGCGCTGGACACGCCGCCCTCCATGGAAGTACACGTATTCTCCTGAATTATGTCGGGACCTCGTGTTTGTGACAGACGGGAGGGGCCGTACAATAGCCAAGTCGAACTGCAAGCAGAAGAGAAACTGCAGATTTGCGCACACCAAGGAGGAACAGATGTATCACCCCAAAGTATATAAAACAGTGAGTATGAGGAAGCAGCAACAAGGAGGGTCCAGACCCTGAACAAGCTTTGATTAGTCCGATCCGTCTAATGCAGCAGGCACCGTAGATTGCGGTAGCCGGCCCTTCCCTTCATAAGGAATAACAGAAACCTGTATCCATTGGGTGCCCCGAGGCACCCGCTACGCTTCTGCTCCTTCTGTGCAGGCCATGTGCCACCAGTTCAAGGAAAATGGCTGGTGTGACAGATATTACTGCCCCTTCGCGCATTCCGACGCGGAGTTGCGTCCTACAGAGCAGAGTGAAGAGGGCCGCAGGACGTTCGCCAAAGCCGCAGTTCAAGAAGTGCTTTGTCCTGACATCTATTTGGTGAGCGTTTTGCATCATCATCTTGCATTGCTGTAAGCGTGTCTTGACGGGTTTCTTGAGCAGCAAGAGGTCTCTGAGGCCTGACGCAAGTGCCTAGGGTGCTGCTTCCGTGTGCGTCGTTCATCCCGCAGCCATCAGACCGCCCACACCCTCGCCTAAGGGCCCGCTTCTTAGCCATCATGGATGGCATTCCTTCCCAGAGCCACTTACACTTGGCACTGGATCCAAACTACCTGTGTGCGACGGGGGGTGCTCGCACAAGGCAGCCGTATACAGACTTTATATCTTCCCACACGCCTCACTCTGTGCTGTCGGACGGCTCCCCTTCTGCGCACGGGTACTCTAACAGAACCTCCGCCGTCAACAGAGCAAGCGGCCCTTCAAGCGTTTCTGGCGGGATAGGAACAAAACATGCAACAGCCAGGGAGGCAGCCACGCAGCAGGTTCCCGCCGGGGTCAGACAGAAGAGCCATGGGGGCGAGAAGAAGGAACTGCGGACAACAACACGGCTCGTGCAGATGCTGCAAAACAAGCAGTTAGGAGGTATGGTCGGAGTGCAACGCTTAATGACAGAAGCATCCGTCGTGCGCGCTGTGCTGAGCAATGCTTTGCGAGGCTGAGCACGCTTATTGCATGTATGTATATATGTATATATGCATGTGTATATGTGTTTGTGTATATGTGTGTGTATATATGTATATGTATGAGTGTATGTGTATATATGTGTATGTACATGTGTGTTTGGTGTTGCTTCTCAGGAAACAGCAACCCCACCGGAGGAGCGGCCACAACTAAGCTGGACGGCTCCTCGTCCCGACAGGCCGACGCGTTCCCGCCGTCCGCAGATGCGGATGGCTTGAAGTGTGCAGGGATGCCGTCTGCATTCAGTGGCGTTCATGAGAGTGTTCTCCCCTTCCCAAGCGCATATGCGTCTACCCATTCGGCGGCATCTGCTCAGCAGTGGACGTCGACTCCTGGATCCCCTACGGCCAGCAGAACACCTGCCCTGCACACCGTGGATGCTCCGGAAGGTTTGCAGCCCAATTTTTATGCTCAAATTTCCGTTGAACACCCCGCAGACGTCTTGCTCCCGCCAGTGCAGGGAGATCGGCACACCGCTGCCGTCGTCGAAGGGGGGATGGTTCCCCCCGCAACGATGCGAGGGCGCCCCCCCCCCCTTCCCGCCAGAGGCTCCGCCAAAAAGAACCTTCCTCAGCCTCTGGCAGCAGCTCCTGCTACCTTCTCGGGCAAAACGGAGGACGCCTGGTGGGTGGCTCAGCAGACCAAGCGGCCATCGGATCCTCCCCAGCGGGGGCACCTGCTGCAAGGATGCAGCAGCACGCTTCTTCCAAGCGAGCAGCAGGGGCACACGTCGGAAAGTCGAATCCCGGTGCGGAGCAGCTTTCGAGTCAAGTGTCTTACGAGCGACGTTTGCTACTGGAATGAGCCGATAGGCCGCAGTAGAGACGACCTCAGTGTTCTGGTGTATGCTGGACTGGTCCTGGGACCGGGCAAGTCGCGGGAGATTGTTGCAGTTAAGCAGCTGCCAGTTGTTGTTTCGAGCCGAGCTGCGGATTTGTGGAAGGAGGTGCAAGCCTTCTTGTCTATCAGAGACCCGTTGCTTGTGAACGTGCGAAGGGCTCTTCTGCTGCCTGGAGAAGCTGATGAAGGAACTTCCCTTTGGGTGATCACGGAAAAGTGCCAAGGCAGCATCATTGAGCTCTTTCCCTCGGGCGCAGTGCCCGCCTCCTTCTTGCAGTCTGCATTCCCCTCCTCGGGGCTGAACGGCCTGCTGTATCACCTCCTAAAAGCCGTTCACTCGTTGCACTCGTACTCAAAGAGCGCCCACATGCGCATTCATCCTGGCAACGTCATGGTGGGGTCGCAGGGAGAAATCAAACTCGGGGACTGCGCAGGAAACGTCCGATACCTCAGTATTCTAGATCTCCTGCATGCGGGAGTCCAGGGTGCCAGCAACGCCAAGGCACTCTTACAGTGGGTGAGTGTGTGTGAATATACACATAAATATGTATATATATACATATATGTATGTACTTATATATATATATATGTGCTTATATATACACATATTATACACATCCACACATATATACTTCCATGCATACATAGATCTATACATATATATGCATACACAAATCCACTCACACACAGCCACATACCACTAAATCCCTCTGCCCCTCCACGCTGCGGAAACGTGGACCGCAGGCTCTGGAATGCGGGGGCTGCCATGAGTGTTGCGGTTTTCAAAGTGAAGGGGGTGTATACAGCTCTTGACCTCAACTGTATTTGCAACTCTGCAGATTCTGGGAACCCCACAAGAAACCTGCTGGATGGCGCCCGAGTTCGTATCATCTTTGATCAACCTAGACGAAGAGTTGAAGCAGATGTTGTGGCACTGCAGTAGCAACGGGCTCGACAACAGCCGCTGCGAGGCGGCCTTTATCCAAGTGGCGCGAACCTTCAAGTGGCGAGCCGATTTTCTGCAACGGGCAGATGCGTGGTCTATTGGTAAGCGCCGTCTTGAGAGGGCTCTGTAGCCTTATACGCTTCCCAGAGGGCTTTGCTTTGTGCATAGATGCAACCCCACCCACCCACGCACCACCACCACCACCAACACAGGGGTTGAAAAAAGGCCGCTTCAAGCCTACAGGGCAAAAAAGCGGGCAAAATGATGCCGTTGGTCCTCTCTGCTTCGGACTGCCCATAGGCGCTACGCTTTTCTTCATCGCCTCGGGGGGCCATCACCCCTACGGTAGTACCAACAACCCCCTGATCCTCGCCAACATCCTCGCAGATAAGAAAGTCAACTTCGACAAGGTGAGGTGCAGGGGCACTCCCCTCCTCCCCGCCTGCATGCAATCCGCTGCCGAGCCGCAAGAGGAGCTGCATAGCATTGCATTGCTTCCTGCACTTTTGCTCATCAACGATGCTTTCTGTGCATCTCGCTCCTGCGGATGACTGTGCCTCGTTGCAGCTAGGCAACTGCCCCTGGCAGGCGGATTTGCTAGCAGGTCTCGTAAGTCACAACCCTGCCCAGCGCCTCACGATAACACAGGCACTGCACCATCCTCTTTTCTGGACTTCCGAAGACATTGAAAAGTATTTGCAAGACCTGCGGGCAGCTCTTGAGGTAAGACAACCGAAAAAGCACGGTGTGTTTATGTTTATGTGTGTGTGTTTGTGTGTGTGACTGTCTGTCTTTGCGCTACTTCTGCCCTGCCTGGTGCTTGGGCCCCCAAAGTAGCCTTTGTTCATATAGAGGTGCTGCTAATTGGCCCTTAGTCATGTACATACATACATATACATGTATATACATATATACGTATATGTATGTGTATATATATATATATTTGTGTGTGTGTGCAACACAATTGGCTCAGACCGGAAGTGAGGAAGCGGCGGGGCTCCAAGAGGCGCTGTCGTATAACATCGGCTGGGTGGATTCTTTGAGTCTGATACCATCCCCCTTTGCGCTGCTGCCGCTTCTGTTCTCCTACGTCGCGACGCCGTCGGCTTCTCCCCTTTTGCTGTCGGCGCATCCTCCTCAGAGCGCCTCTTCCTTCCTTGGATTCCTCGCATGCATCTCTGGAGATAGCCGGATCGCCGTGGTAGAACGGCGTCTGGCCGTGTCACAGTGTCTGCTAGCGCATGCAGCCCCCTTCCTCCACAGCGTCTACCTCTTTCTCTTCCCCAAGCTTGCGGATGGCACCTCTGGCCCACAGCCGCAAGGCGCTCCTTCCCCCCCCGTAAGGAAGGGTCAGCTTTTCTGGGGTTCTACGGAGAATCTCCCACGTCCGCTGGCTATTCCAAGTGCCTCCAAGGCAGCTTCCTCGAAGGCTCCTGCAGCGCTGCTCCCGCGAGAGAGCTCGTTGAAGCCCGCTTCTGCTGCTGCTGGAAGCCTCCCGCCCCCTGCCCTTCCCCCCCCAGCGGTAGACAGCGCCTTAGGACAGCGCCTTGGCAGTTTTGCCGCGAATGCGAAGGCGGTGCAGATGCCAGCCGCAGCAGCAGCCCTCGCAGGAGCCGAGGCAGCGGGGGGGGGGGGCCTTGGAGAAGCCTCGCGCAACGGGAACGCCTCCTGGGGAGGCGTCCAGCCGCATGCTGAGCTCGCTGGGTCTAAGAGAAGAGACTTTTTTTTGAGTGGAGCCGACGAAGACATGCTGCATGCCAACGGCAATCCCAGCCAAGAGCGACGGAGGCATAGGCCACGAGAGGAGGCAGCACTCCCCCCTCCCCCCCCCTGCACCATCGGCGAGGAGGAGGAGCCCGCGGCTCCCTCTCCTTCTCCCTCGGGGGCCCCCCACGAGGCAGCAGCAGCAGCCTCCCTCCGCGTGCAGGCGCTGATTCGCGAAGGGGTGTGTCTGAGCGGCGTCCAGCCGAAAGCAGGTGGCTTGCGAGCTCCGCGTGACGGCGCAGGGGCAGCAGACAGGGAGGGCAGGCCTGCTGAAGGGAGTCCAAGAGCAGCAACGCGATCGAAGAAAGGAACAAAAGCGGAAGCCAAGCAGAGGACTGGAGGGGGGCTTAAGGAGGGGCGCTGCTCCTACCCGTGTGCCGCAGATCGCGTGGGGCCGTCCACGAAAGCGCAGAGTGAGGGGAGGCTTCTTCTTCCACGAGGAAAAGCTGCAGCAGCAGAGCCAGTGTGGGCGTGCCCCACGCCAGGCGTTGGAAAGGCGACGGAAGGAGCATCGGACCCGCTCAGCGCGAAGCCGATGCAGGGAGAGGCGGGGAGAACAGGAGGGGCCCTTGCACAGCAGCAACAGCAACAACAGCAACAACAACTGACGTCTGCGCAAGCACAAGGGGGCTGCTGTGGAGAGGCCACGCTGCAGGCTCCCCCCCCCCAAACCGAGGCTTCTTCGAGCAGCAGCGGCACAGGATCTTCGGAGGCTGCGGCGGCTACACCAGCACCTCAGGAAAAACTGCAGCAGGACCAGCATGCAGCCCCAAGGCCTGCCCGTCCTCTGCATGCGCCACTGACGCCTGCAAGAGGGTATCGCGAAGACGCTCAAGCGTCGCGACGCGGCGTCTTTGCTGCGGGGCTTGCGGAAGTAAAATTCAACCTTAAGCCGAATGCTGCCCTCTTGCAGATGCCGGTAGCTGTAAGCACCGTGTCGACAGCGCATTCGTCGGCGACAGTCAGCGACTTCTGCCACGGCCCCTCGCAGCCCATCGAGGGAGCCGTCGAGGAGGGCAGCTGGAGGACTGAGGCTGCACCTGGTTCCGCAGCAGACACCTGCCTGCAGAAACTGGAAAAGCAACGGGAGGGAAAGGATGGCAAGCAGCATGAAGCGACAGGTCTCAAGCTGGTGGACCCCACGCCTACGGACGTTCCAAAGGAGGCTGTCTCTGGTCAGGCACCACTTGGCCAGTCAGCAGGAGGCGCGGAGAACCTGCGCCGAGACACCTCCAACGCCTGCTGCATTCAGTAATTTGCAAGAAATTCTTCTCGCCGGGGGTCTACTAATCGCGTAGATCCCCTCTCCTTTCCCCCTCCCTCTTACATCTTCTTTCCCCCTTCTCCCTAAAGCCTAAGAGTACGGCAACTGGACAGTTCCGCAGCAGCGATCCGGGGGGATCCCCTGTACAAGGGGGGCGGGGGTAGGGCAGGAGGGGCAGCAGCAGGTCCAGCCCCTCGAGTTTCGAGATGCCCTGTTATGTATTTGCCTCTTATTGCTACTCTCCGGGATATTCTGCAGCACAGCGCCCTCTTGTCTTAACGTGTCACCTCAGAACTGGAGGCTGCCTCTGTGCACCCGGGTAAACAGGACTTATCTTTGTGTTGTTCGCATATGTATATGATAGAGCCGCGCCTTGAGAAACAAAAATGTCGCACGCCAACTGTGTGTGGCGCGCTCATGCCCCTTACACCCAGTACCTTCCTCTCCCCCCCTCCACGACACAGAGCGACTGCTCCGTCTAGGCCTTGCGCTCTGCCCGCAGACGTAGATGGTTGCGCTGGCCACTGTCGTCTCCCTAGGTCCGCTTGTCAGTGAAACTCGTATTCTGCCAGAAAGGGGTGTCTGTAGCGCCAGAGTATGGGACACGTCAAAGGGCTTCTGCCAAATAGGTGTGTAGCCTGTGCCTGTAGGAGCTCCCATGTTAATGCATACGCGTTCACGGGGGCAATACACCAGGTCTAGTGGTCGCACTAAGGCCAGAGTGGAAAAGCAGAGCTTGCAAAATTCATCATTTGGCTAGTATCGGGAGCCCTAAGATATCAGTGTAGAAGGGCGGCCGAGGAATAAGAATGGAGAACTGCGTGGTTGGCATGAACTCATGGCTAGAGCGGCATGGGCTGGCCCCCTGAACAAAAGTCCAGTCTTCTACTGTCTTGCCGTCAGATACTGCTGAATCGACAGGAGGACGCCAGTATCAGTTGTCGTCTACTTATATGCATAGCTTCCCTCAACTCCGAAGGGAGGTCTGGAGAGGCACTTGTATCCACCCCAGCAGGTGAGAGTACATGCGCTTAATGGAGTGGGGTAGGCCTCGCACTGCAAAAGACCAGCACCCCGATGCTCTCCGCCAACCGGTGACCAGAGAAACTTCGGCCCTTCGGGAAGGATGACCACACATGCGGCCTCTAGTAGTTAACCTAGTTCTCAGGTGCTTCTGTACGCCAGGGCTATGAACTCTGCCCACCCCACCCCAAAAAGCCATTTGCCCTGATGTCTGAACGAGTATCCGCTATTCACTTGCGTTACTAGGCAGTGCAAGAACGGAGGATAAGCGTTGTGGAAAGCTGTTTGTCATGCATGAGGCATGAGGAGAGTGCAGTCGGCTGCGGTGTGTGGTGTGTCTTCGATCGCCTCTGACGATATCTTCTACTGGACCCGGTTTTATGCTTTTTCAATTATGATCGTATTCTGCGGTATTTTATAATTGAGTGGTGCAGCCGCTAAGTAGAGGTGGCAAAGATTAGACAGAAGGTCTGTTACTACCACGCCTCCACCCCACCCCACCCCCAAACTTAATCGACGGAAGCGGCTGTTTAGAGGAGCGCTTTACGAAGAATGGTAAACCCGTCCTAGCAATTTCCACATCTACAGACCCATCAAGCTTATAGCGAGTACAAGGATCCCTCGTTCCTGCTTTCCCCTTTTCAGCTTATTCAAAGCGTTGCTGGCAGCAACGGGCATCGCGCAAATCGCCATTGATACCAGAGTAACACTGGCAGCAAAGAAGTGCGTTGCATTCCGTTTCTGCACTAATCCGTTGCTTCATTCTCTGCTTGCAACCCCTGCTCATCGGTCGCTCACATTCGCGGACGACAGTAGGCACAACATGCCAACTCCAAGTAGATGAAATGCGACTTTCTTTGGCGTTGGCGTTTGCAGGTCTAAGGCGCTGCAGCGTTCGAAGGAACTAGCTCACTTTCTGATCTCCGACTTTTCTGTGATATCTGCAGGACATAGGGGGACCGCGCCTTCTCTTCGTCCCAGAAGCTGCAGGCCTTTCGTTATCACGGCAGACTTCGTCTTTTCTGCTTCACTTCCAGAATTTCCTCACACATCCACTTCCAGGCCCGTGTTTGCACGTTCGTTCGTGCTTTTTGACCCAATTTGTGCGGCTTTGATCGTCAAAAGTATACTTCTCCCCCGATTTGTCGAAGATGTTCGAGTGCAGCTTGGACGGTCTGACGTTGAAGCGGATCTTTGAGGCTTTAAAAGACACGTGCACGGAGGTGAACTTTGTCTGTGACGCGGATGGCTGCACGATGCAGGCCATGGACGACAGCCATGTGGCCCTCGTCAGCACAAACTGGGGAGTCGACATGTTCCATAAATACAGATGCGATTCTCAGGTCACTCTTGGTGAGCCTGCCTCCTACCTCTGGGCCTGAAAAGAACGTTATTGCACTTGAACGCATGCTGCTGTCCAGGTGTTCTGCCTGGCGGGCACCACGTCATTCAGCGGCAGCTGCCCTGCGCGCGCAATGAGGCAACAGCGAACTGCGCAGCAGATGGTTGCTCCAAGATATCGCGATGACTCAAAACTCACGGCTAGGCTAGGATCTGGGAGCATGCGTACGCCTTAGTCTGCTGCGGTCCTCAGGGCTCTCCGTTGCGACCATACTCAAGGCCACGCAACCCGTTAAGACGAATAAGCACATTGTGCATCTGTCCACTTTAAAGGGAACAGATGAAGATGAAGAAGTTCTGCACATCGCCATCGAAGACCCAGAAAGGACAGGTAATCTTGGCGATGACCAGAAAATAGGATCGTTCATGCTGGAAAGCAGCCTGTTCGTATCGTATCAAGGCTGCCTAAGCACCCTGAATACTGCGCTTCTTACGGACGGTATGGCGCATGACCTGTTGCTAGCTGTGGCTGATGAACTTTGTCCCCTCTGCAGACACGTGGCACATGGAGGTGGCCCTTCTTTCTGTAGTGCAAGAAAGACTTCGTATCCCTGACGAGCCATACGCATGTGTTTGCACGGTGGACGCGAAGGAGTTCCAGGAACTCTTGCGTTACATTCATTCGATCGCCGAAAGTGGTGAGCATCGAATAATTCTCAAGGACTCTCCGCCTTACTGTATTCTTTTCTGCCATGCGACAAGAACGCGCAAGTAGATAAGGTCCAATACACTATAATGACTGACTTCTGATTTCGGGATCTGTGCTTGGATTGTACAGTTCGTATTAGGGGGGAAAAGGATTCCCTCGTGCTCTCGGCCAAGGGAGAAAACCTCTCGGTGACCAGAGTCATTCACGCGCCTGTAAGTGGAACCGCGCGACCCACACCTACATAAGCGCAGAGTGCGCGCGTTTTCCTAGAAATGAGAGCGAATCAGCGTGCCAGCTTAGAGTGAATGATTCGCTAGGTTAACTCTCATTCTTTCGGTTTGCTGATGCGTCCTCTGCAGGACATGCAGTGCAGTGAGGTGTTCGAGCAGGACTTCGCCGTGCGATACCTGTCCAACTTTGTTAAGGGAGCAAGTCTTTGTGAACGTTTAGAAATAGCCATGACCCACGGCACCCCGATGCGTTTTACGTTCCCCCTGCCCAGCCCAGGACAGCAGAGTGCTGCTGTCATGTCCATCGACTCGGATGAAGTCAGCTCTCTGCGGTTTTACGTCGCTCCCAAAATTGACGAAGAGTGAATAGGAGGCTCTAACTCTTTTTCCATATCTATTACTGCATAACAAAGCTACAACTTTCAGTACATCATCTACCTGTAGGGCAGTGCTTTGCTCTTGCACGACTTGAACGACAGCGCTATTGTGGGCTACAGAGCTCTAGTACCCCTGCACACGATGACTCAAAAAGGATCGCCGGCTTGGCGATAGAGCCTTGGAAAGTCACCTAAAAATCACGCTGTTTCCTGCTGACTCGTCAGGCCACAGTGCTCGACAAGTCTGCGAAGCTTTTCACAGAATTCTCCTGCCGCAGCATCATGGTGCAGGCGCCTTTCGGGAACTTGCCCTGCAGGCGATGTGGCTTCTCTGGCTAGCTTTATCCCGACGGAGCTAGCTGAGTGCGTGGGTGCCAGCCAAGCACATAACGGCATCTTAGCTGCTACTCATAATTGCTCGCTCACTTTTACAAGGGAAGCACGAAGTCGAATGCATGATCCTCTGGGGGGATCCTTCCACCGCGGCACAACTCCGCTGCATCGCTGCCTGTGGTGTTCTGCAAGTACACTCGCATGACTACCAGAAGTAGGAAAATTCTATAATTGCCCAAGCGTAGTGAACTACTCTCTGGAATGCACAAGCATGCGCTTTTACGAAGCATTTGTTTTGGTACGTTGTATGATGGACGAAAATGTGCAGCACTGCAGCAACTGGCAAGGAACACTTCAACCATGTTGACCCGCTAAGACTTTTTAGACTATGCAGTACCTCAAGTGAAGTAGGACATCGCAGCGAGTTCTCCAAACGTCATATGCACACATCCATTTTTTCTCGCCGTTTCAGCCTCTCGTGTCTACCCAAAAATTAGGGAGTGAACGCTTCTCTATGCGGCCTGGGGTCCCCCCACAGCCCGAATTTGAAAAGGTAAAAAGGTCTTACGTGTAGTGTAGAGAGCTGTAGGTGGCTGCTCTTCAGTGCGAGGTTCCGTTTGGCAGCGTGCGAGAAGTCGTCGCTGCGTACTGCGTCTTCCCTCGGAACAAAGGTCCTGTCCAAGTTTCCTCCATCGCTCCGTGGTTTTTCAAAGGGGCCATCTGGATTGGCAGCCGGAGGATTTCTATTTTTGACATCTGGCAGACGATCGCTCCTCTTAGCCGACTCCTCAACAGTCAGAAAACGATCAAACTGCAGAGTTATTGCACAGAATGCAGACACGAGGCAATATTCACGACAACTCTGGTCCCTTCGTAGAAACAGCTCTACGACTGCACATGAGGATATAGCTACGCATTTACAGAAAACTATCTATCCAGTTGCCAATCAAGACATTTAGGAATAATGGAGTGCACCAATGCATTCGGCTGCATTGTATCTCCTCTTCTGATGACGCCAACTCCATTCACAAGTGTCTGAGTCTATAAGTGAACACTGGACGGTAGTTTGTGCGCTAATTGGTTAAATGATGCATCTTATCACCGTATTGCATGGGCATGCATATCTCGGGATCAGCAGTATCAGTTTCACGCTTCATACATGAAAGTACATGTTGAAACTAAAATGTAGAAGATGGCCGACCTGGAGGTGTGATCCTGTATGCAAGTGGGTGTTACCCATCCGCTTCCAGGTATGGTATGTGTTTTCTCTATCAATGTGCTCATAGTCACACTCCACGGTGGCGCTGCCTCCCCGCCTTCCTGTGCAGAAGGCCATCTTTCCGTCAATAGGTTTCCACCTGGTTTGAAAATGCTGACGCTGGTCCTCTGGCTGCATCCCGCAGTAACGCAGCTGACTCTTTTTTTGGCTCTGGAGCACAGGCGGCGGAACTCCCTGCCCTGAACTCTTCGTCAGCTCCCGAACGTACCTACCATCTTTCTGGCACCAATCCGTGCGTTTTCGCGTATGCAGCGCTAACTCGGAAATACGGCCAGTGCACATTCCCGCTGCTCCTGGTACCTGTGCGCCCCCCAACATGCCTGGGCGCTTATGGGCGAGACCTTCCCGTTGGCATCTCGAAGGCTTCCCTGCAAATCCCATCGACAATGCCGCTTTGCTGCTCTCTTTCTCCATCGTTCTTTCTGGTAGTGGCATCAAGGATTTAGGGGGAGGAGAATTGTTCCAACACACCGTGCTTGCAATGCAGCCGAAACAAAGCTAGCTGACGCCAACCTGCTAAAGTAAGCCAGAAGACCCCAACGGATAAAGCAGTCTAGTGCAATGTTTTAGATAAAGGGAACTGGAAATTCCCTCGCTGTGAGAAGCTAACGGCGGCGGTTCGTTTCCTTGCTGTTTCAGTCGGCACCATGCCTGGGAAAGGTGATGCACACGAAGGACTGGTGTTAAGCAAAACAGAAGAGCTTAATCAATATAAATTTACTCGTTAATCTTGGTAGCTTAAATAAAATGAAACAGAGTAGCACCAAGGTCCTGTGTAAGGCATTGGCGGCATCGATTCGGCAGCGCTGTTCGCCGCTATCCGGCTTTCAGGCGATGAGCGCCAGGTTGCGGCTTCACTAAAAAGTTCTGCAGCAAGACTCTACCGAATTTTCAGAGTTAGTTTAGCATTTAGATATGTATATGTCAGCATCTGAGGTGGCTTTCAGAGCATTTAAGTTGTTCTTATATCTTAGCTGTACTAGCGCACATTTCGAGCCACGACTGGCGGCTCAGGAATAAAAACATCCTCATCAGTCACCCTTTTCAAAACCAACATATAGAGACCCAATACTTACACTATTAGAGTGTTTAGGGCATCGGGCTTGCCTTGAACTGTACTGAAGAACTTTCTTGCCTGAATTGCCCCGAACTCCTAGGGGACTTCAGATTCCGTTTCGCGTGCGTTAACAGAAACTGAGGATCATGAGAACTAACAAATAATCGAATATCAGCCTCTTTAGCTCACCAATTATTACTGCTCCTAGAGGCATACTAGGTGCGAAATTTTGAGATCCGCAGCATTTCTCCATCGTACACGCTGGACGGGGCAAGCGCACTAACTCTAACGCTTCATTCGAGTTCTCCCTAGAGACACTTTGCTGCAGACTCGATTCAAACGTAATAGAAAGCTATCAAGTATTATTTTGAAAAACATGCCATTTTCTCTCTGCCGTCTCCCCTCAGAGTCACGGTACGAGGAAAGTGGGACACATTGGGTGCGCGTAGCTTCACCCTATAAGGTATGTTCCTTATCCTATCGAGCGAGCACTCACTCAGCACTGTGTCTTCTTGTACTGAGCTAACAATGCATTTCAGGAAAATAAGAGACATGAGCAAGCAAACCAATAAACGAATCTTGACTTAGCTATTACAAGTGTAGTAGAACGTGTTCACCTGTAGCTTGGGTAACTGCATCTCACTCCCATTCATCATTTCAAAGTCCATGCCCTGGTGTTCCCTACCCGCTCGTCAAGGACCACTGCGAACAGGACAGTAGAAATGTTTTCGCCTTCCCGCCACTCCGAAGGCAGCCAGAAACGGGGAATTCAGTGCAGATGAGAGTCAAAGTGTGCATCAACCGGTAGACAGTGATAGAAGAGAGATACACACACTGGCCAAAAACGCAAGACGGACCAAACCAACACGGCGGCAGAGGCGCGATGGTTTGCTGTCGTCGAAAGCTGAAGTGTGTCAAGGCTCTTACTCCGAGAAAACAGAAGGCACGTAGGTGCGTACAGGAATCAAAGAACAAACTAGTTCAGCAGAGCCTTCGTGCCTCGATGAGCAGTCTATTCATGCCAGTGCATTTGATGCGTTTAGCATAATCGGCTTCATAACCTCAAAAAAGGTATGCAGAAAAATGCCGAGAGAACACACTTGTGCCTGCGCATAACTTCTCGTGTAGGGAATCTTGACAATAGCAACTGGTAAGGTTTCTAGCAGTACTCATAGATGATGCTAGCTATTTTTCGGCAAAGCAGCGCCTGGGGAACGCAGTCGCAAAGACGAAAAAGCTTCCTTTTATAGCAACTAGCGTTAACGCGAGAGAGTCGAAAGTCCTCCTGCAGGCAGCAAGGCCGGCAACTGCTCCTACATCAGCTGCCGAGGTTAGACGTCCACTCTACTTCGCTAAGAATTTGCTGTCTAGCATGCCCACAACACTCTATAGGCGAATCCAGCACCTTTAAAGCTCGGTGTGGTTCCTGCACTTTGACAAAACTCACTTGTCTGGGCGCCAAAGTCCACGAAGAAATTAAGGAACAAAAGCAAGTTTGCCGCAGTGATGGAGGATGCATCAATGAAATAAGCATACGACCCACTCAGCTTGTATGGAAACAATGAATTGTTAAAGACAAATATGGTCTTGATGCGTAATAATAAGCCGCTGAAGCATTGCGGAAACGAGTCGCCCATCATGTTGCAGATGCACTTGACATAGAATCATGAAGCAGGGGACACCCAAGCCAATGGACAACTCTAGGAATACTAAAGTCTTAAAAAGTCTTCACAAGGTACAGTAAAGACAGATTGTCGGTCTGAGCAGGATATTCATGACCACCAAAACAGTGCTGGCATTCTCTCACGCCCCACACCACCCTATGTAGATCTTCCTGACTTTATTCCTCTGCTTGGTTTCGGTGAGGCGAGGAGAATAGCAAGCACTAATTTGATATTCTTCATAGCCGTAGCCCGTGCGAAGAGTATACCACTCCCCCCTCCTTCACCATCGGTCTTTAGGAACAAATTGCACTTGCAGTCGGGCAGCGCGAGTACCAGAATAGTTGTAAGGTGGCCGAAAAGCGCCCTTCCGATGTCATCAGCCTCCACTTTCGAGGTCGTAAATTGCGCTTCCTCAGGTAAAGTAATCAAAGATGCAGCGATTCGAGCAAAACCAAGAGCAAAAATTTTGGTAATTGATTGCAAGCACGCAGAGCTCCGCAATTTCCTTGCGATTAAGTCAAGGTAAAGCCCATGCCTTGTCAACTTCAATTTTTGCTGGGTCTCGCTGAAATCCTGCAGCTGGAGCGTAGTATTGCAGAAACATGATGGCTCGCATGTAATACAACCGCCTGCGTGTCTTTGTATGTCACTGCTTGCTCTCCCACATCTGGGACGCACCCCACAGGTGCTTTTGGCTCTCTTTAATGTTTCGGCTGTCTACTAATACGTCACCGATGTGGACAGCCATCCGTACCTTGAAAAGCTCACAAATCCCTATTAGCTTGCCGCTGCAGTCAAGTTAGAGCTTCAGCAAGTCCATGCTGCATGCACGTATACTCAAGCTTGTGAGTGCAGGTTTGGAACGCCATTTTGTTCCAGGCCTCTAGAAAAGTGAGGATTTGCAAGAAAGCGTTTGCCAAGTCAAATGTTGAGCAGACTGTTGAGCCCTGGGGTTGACTAAGAACTTGGACAATGTGATGCATCGGAAGTTCTGCTTTACAGTGATCATATTCAGGAGCTAAATGTTAACGCACATGCCTTTGCGTCCGTCTTTTTTCGGTACCTACGTCAAGTTATACCAAAGGAGCTAGTCGAGTTTTGCACTTTGCGCTTTCAAGAAAATCATGGACATGGCCTTCAATCTTGGCTTTATGCTGTGGGGGCTCCCGATAAGGCGGAACATAGCTCAAGGCTGGCCAAGAGCTTGGCTCAGCACGATGCGCTAAAAGATCAGCAAGCGGCCAGCCTGCTGACAGTTCGCCATTAGTTAGCACATCCGCGAACGCGTCCTTCATATTTGTGTATCTGTGCTGTACCTCAACTGGGCGTTCAAAAAAGTTATTCAGCGCAATACTCGTTTCAGAGCCTTAAAGATGGGACACATGCGTTGAGTTGTCTTCAATTGGTGGTCCGTTGAGCCACCCGTGTGTAGATTTTGGCTTTCCTTTGTTGAGCCCACTCTACCTTGCCTTTCACAGATGGCATGAGCGTTGTTAATGAGAACAGGGTCTGATTTATGAAATGCTTCTTGACAGACTCGCCTTCACAGCGCAGAGCTTTGACCGCATATGCGCCTACCACTAGGCCATCCACAGCATGCTTAGGAATGCATCGTGGTGCATAGCCCTCGCACAGAAGTCACGAACCATGCTGATAGGACCCAAACACCAATCTAAGCAGAGATGAGCCGCATTAGGCATGCCAAACCTTGCATTCTGCCACAACAAGCACGACTCTTAGAGAGCGCACTAACGAGGGAACCGGTAGATTGCATTTTCGCGCCGTCTGACCGGATACTACTACCGCCTCTTATTAGCAGTAGCGCTAGCAATTCTGAATCCTTAATGCAAATTAAAATCAGCACACTTGTATTCCGTGGCAGGTCTCCAGCTGCGCCTAGATCTTCGGTAGGCCCCCTTTGTAGCCTACGAGGAGGCCTTCCGTTGCCATGATGCGTTCTCTTTTATCGCCGTGCATTATGCCTCCGCTGTACTCATTGCTGTTGTTTCTTCGGCTGACTCTATGCATTGCGGGCAACATGACCCAAATCCCTTCAATTGGAGCAGATTCATTGTTGGGGAACGGTCTGTATATGCTTAGTGGGGCAGACTCTGTGTTTTTTATTTTCTTGTTCATCCTCAACTGTGGACTAGGGCCGGTTGATACATCCGCGACATACAAAAGTTCACCATTTCAACGTAGCTCTTCCTACGTCAACTTACAGCGCGCAACTTGCATTTATTTGCTTTTCAAACCCCAAGCGGTTCACCGTTTGCAAAAGCCCCGGTGGTCGGTTGTGTAATCGCTCAGTTGCAGGGCATCTTGCGATCACCTAACGACAGTGGGAGCAGGCCCTGGATGAGCCTTTGATAAAGCAGCTAAATGCAGCAACCTTACGACTTTTGGGAAGCAGAGTCCTATGCATCTCGATATTTTGATCTATCAGTAGAATTCCCCACAAAAAACCTGAATTATCCCAAAGCTTGCTGCCATTGGGCTGATCTCGGCATGCGCCGAAGAGTTAGGGTTTGTATTAAGGGAGTGCATTGATCCATGCACGCAGATAGCTTTCTTTTGAATTGCTTACCTATCTAGCTCACATGCGAGAAGAAAAACAAGATTCATCTATTTGTATAGCACAGAGCGAGGAATCCCTAAACCAGCTCAAGTAATATTCAAGCACTTGCTCATCTTTTAGGATGCCATAGTGCTGTTCGGCACAACCTCAATCAAGGATCTATTAAGACTTTTGTCGGCTGCCAAATGATGCCTTTCTACGATGTACGGAGTTGCTGCATTCACACCAGCCTGCAGGCCAGCCTCTGCCTCTCCAACAGGCATTGTGCCATCATGTTGATTCTTGGCAGAATTATTTTCTCCTGCACTGTGGCAAAAAGTTTGATTGCTATATCAACAAACGGCGTAATCAAATCGAGACATCTGCTGTGGGGAAGTTTGACATGCCACTGCTGTGGCCACGAAGGATGGATGAGTGGGAGAGGGCTATCAAACCATGCAGTGCTACCAACTGTAACGACCCATTTGAGAGGCTCTTGACACTATACTTGATACAGACTTACTAGGGTTAGTCAGTGCTTCGTAAAAGAGTTCACTCCCTCCCTGTCCGTGTCCCTCAAGGTTTTCGACATGAGAGGAGAGGGTCAGACAGCGTGCGCGTAGCTGAACCCTCGAAGCACTCCGAGCATTTTGAGCTAGCTTCACATAGCGTCTAGCGCGTATGCCCACCACACTACATCGCCGTGTACCCAGCTAAAACAGCTGTTCAGGATATAAGACAAAAGATAGCCATTCCAGTTTCTCAATTGTTTAAGAGTTCCTAATAATACATAACTAGTGTAGAGGGAAGCCTCTCAGTCTAGTTTAGCCCACAACACGAACGAGCTCCAAAACCTGTGCGTATACCCCTGAAAGGAGGGCCACAGGCGCGAAGTAATTCCATCTTCATCGTTTAAAGCTCACAAGCACCCCAACACTCTCCTGCGGAACTTGGAGGTTGCCGACGTCCACTCTTTGAGATTCTGGAAAGCGTTGCCAATTACACATGCTTTGCAAAGATATCAAGTTTAAAACTTGACAAATTTGCCTCGAACGAGAATTGTAATGTGTCACAGCAATTGTCCCTTTATTGCTGTGGCTATTCTTCATACCTATTTCAGCCTCAGCAAAGGGAAGGAAGCCCTTTATCGCTTCCCCATCGACCTGGCGTCTCTCTTCTGGGTCCATGGCATAACATAAACTGATTTGCTGCTGTTATAAACATCGAATAAATCCAATGTGGACAGGGGTTACTTAGGAAGTACACCGAAAACTTGCGTTGCACAGCTTCTTAGTAGTTGCTATTTTTAATGTGGTTATTCCCATCATGGCAGGATATTAATGTTGTGCATCGTAGTGTCTGCAAGATCACAGGCAATACAAGCCCAGGTTTCCTTTGGCGTTCCGTCCACCATGTAGGTTCACTGCAAAGCACGGAATATGGGACGACAACCCAAGTGAACAGTATATGTAATGCGACTTTCATCCCAAAGAAATCCGGAGGGCATGCCTGTAGAGGTCTTATGCGTCCTGCGTAGATGTGCACGCGAGTCCTTCCAAGTGCATTTACCCCAAACTCCAACAGGCAAACCTACGGTGTTTAGGATTTTGTTCGCAGGACTGTCCGTAAAGAAAGTCCCCTTCATGCCGTCGAGCTGTTGTTTGGGGTGCAGTTACTCCTGGTTTGCGTTGGTTTCGGGCTCCGGCTCCATCAACATGGACGGGAGCTTGATGTTTTGCATGCGGGCGGCCACCGCCAGTTCGTATACTAGTGCTTCAAGCCTCTTTTGTGTGTACTTCAGGGAATCGTATTTTCGACGAAGAGGAGAATTTCTGAGATCCAATAAAATCATTTGCTCGTGAACAGTTCCAACGAATTGACAGCAGTCGTGCACGGCCGTGGCATCATGTTCTGTGGCGCGAAGAACAGCGAACCTGCATTCCATTCACAGCAGCCTGCCACATATCCTCTCCATTACCTATTCCTTTTCATAGATATTCCCTTCCGTACCCTAACTAATTGGTGCCAAAAAGCACAAATATCGCATTAGCATCATTAAAGGATACTTACCGGTTAAGCTCCCCCGTACAGTCCATCAATCCGCCTAAAAACTCCTCCACGCGGAGTCCATTAAGACTCTTGAATGGGAGCAGCTTCCTGGTTTTAAGAAAGTGCAAAAAAATGCGGGCCTCCGCGTACTCCTCAAGGGCCGCAACCAACATTCCTGAGGGCCCACAAAAAGCCACACTCCACAAATTCTCCACATAGATGGCTAGAACGAAAGTCGCGCAGTCTCACAGCTTTCAAGCACTGAGTCGAAAGGTGATAAACAGGTGCATTTGCTTCCACGTGGGGCCAGTCCAAAACTGCCCAATGGAACTTTCTGCATCCCAGAAACAATTTGATATTAAATTCGTTGTAGGTGCTCATACTGGCCTGTGAGACGAAGCGTGGGGTGCTCCTCTGTAATGGGGAACAGATCTTTTTCGATGACACTAAAGCAGCTTTCAAGATGCGCATTAGCGGCGGCCTCGTCCTTACGGTGCAGAGCAAATATTGCCTGTTTGCTCAGTTTTAGCACATCTCTGAAAAAGGGCAACCACACACATTGCCTCTTCTAGTTGTGTTGTGCTCCCAAATGATGAGGCGCACAGCGCTGCGTGAAACAACGGTAGCCAATGCATACGCACGCTTGGAATGAAAACACAGTAGTTATGTAGCGGTGGATCACTGCCAAGTACTTGCCGCATGCGTACTGCGAAGGTTGGAATGAATAACGTTTCCCCTCGAATGCTGCTGGAAGCACAACTCCAGGCTACACTGCCGCGAAATTTAAGTCGTACGCTGCGCTGCTGCACGAGGTGTGTAGGGTATTCACATGCACTTTACCTGCTTTTCTTGATTATATCCTCCCTCTTCGCGTCCTCGCGTGTATACTCCTCGATGACTTTGTAAAAGTCGTCCTTGTCGAGGCGGTCACCAGGTATCAAGGCCGGGTTGGCTGCCATGATACAAGATCGGAATAAATGGAACGAACCAGTAAAAGCCCAGACTAACATACACAAATACCTGCAGATTACTATGCAATGGAAAAATGCTGCAGTTTGTGGGGTCTTAACAAGACATCTTGACGGGCACACCAGTGGGGCTGCCAACTAGCACGATTACCCGCGCACACAGTGTACCCTAGGGAATTTTCACTCTTAGCCTAACTCATTCTCGCATAAATGTTGTATTCAACATGCTATAAGGTCGCTCGATGACAGGGGCACCATGCAAGAGGCAACGATCCCTCCTTGGGGATAATCATCAGAAGCGACAACATGCCACTACTAAAATCTAAGGAAATACCATGTGTGGTGTTTCATTATAAATGTCACATTTGAAACGAGAGCACTCACTATTTTTGCATTCTTCCCCACAAGACCAGAAATTCAACCGGTAGAACTTTCAATGTGTGTTATAAGACGGCATTCGTGTCTCGTATAATAACGCATCATATGTGGGAATTATTCTTCGAGGATGTCCACCTCGCTAAGCCTTCAATGCTTCAGACAGTTTCTAAAGTGTGTTGGCTTGTGCATCAGTGAGGCGCATGTTGCTGGACCAAGAACTTGGTACCGTACAATACACCCCATGTGGCACTTTGTTCCTTCAGCCAAATTATATTCGAGACCGCAGTGGCTACTTCTTGTGATAAAGACGCCCACTAACTTTTTAAAGATATTTTTGAGGAACCTTTTATGTAGGTTTTTTTGAGTGCAACCGAGATGCCCAAGTAGACAAGAACTGGTACCGGACTGAACTCAATCGAATTGCTTCTGAAACAGTTCACCAAATCCCTAATGAAGTTCCGTTGCCTACATATTTGCAATGCTACTATTAAGACCAGCTATTTTGAGCTGTCTCGTATCGAATATTCCCATTCTTGTGCTAAGCGTCAAGCTGTTGTGCTAAGGATCAAGCTGCAACCATCCCATGAGGCAGCATGAGGCCAACAAAAGTTATGGTCAGAACACGACCATTGGAAATAGAAAAAGCAGCACTTGGTTGACATAGCAGTATAATAGCTAAAATAAAGGCGTTTCTTCGCTAGTGCTGAAGAGTATACTGTACAGGCGCTCCTGCTGTCTACCGGGTGTATGCACAATGCTTCATGACTTTACGCATACATGGTCTGGTTAGGATTATATACACGGTTTGGATCCACTGTGACCCGGCAATAAAGTGGTGTCAATATGAATGCTTCTGATGTACTGAAGCTTATATCATCAGCCGTGTGCTGCGTGCATCTTTTGGAAGCATTGTTCCGCGACAGCACCGTTCATGGGCTACGCGCTGGACCGAGCTCTGGCCCGCTCCACCTGGACTCATATGGCCGCCCAGTGCATCTCGCCGAGCCAGGCCGTATTTGGAATGTTTCACCATCCGCACAAGGCACTGGCGTCCTCAGCGCCTCGCTACCTGAGACGCCTTCCGTTACAATTCCGGGATCCACTGAACCTAATCTCCATTACGGAACATTGCAGCTCAAGGACGGCACGGTCCTAGACCGGTCTCCTACCGTTCCAGCTGCCTCAAGTGCTTCGTTTCAGCCAGGTATACAATGCGTGCGTCACAGCTCTGCTTCAGAAATGCAAGAAACCCTCAGCACAGGTGTCCCCTGCCACGGAGGCCGTCTCTCCGGGGCAGTTCGCGCCTGCATCCGTACCTCATGTATCGAGTGGCCAGGCGTTGCCTCCAGCTATGCCGCTTCTTCCAATTCCCTCCCTTCCAATGCAGCCCATGGCACTGGCTAGCCCCCCCATATGTAGGTGCCTATACTGCAAGCGACTGGCGTTACTTTGAATGACATACATTTGACTTCCAGTTGACCCATCTCTCGGAGTAACTTCTGCAGGAGGTCAATTGGGAGGCATGCTACGCGCCCTTCCGAGCTTGGGCATAAATCCATTTCAGCTTCCAAGCTTTAGCCTTCCAATGCTGAACTTGAATCTCCCTTGGGCATTAATGGTATGTCTGACTATTCTGTATCGCGACTTACAAGGGTCAAAAACGCTTTGCAGCAAACTGCGGTAAAGAAGGACATTCTCCTGCTGCTTTACAGTGCAAGTGAATGCCGAGCATCTTGACAGAAAAACCAAGCTCTTGATAGTCTCTCGTCCAATATACCGGTGCGACACGTATTTCAGTATGCCGAAGTAACCGATTGGATTTAACGTGTTATATACTTCATAGGATGATATCGACTGCCATCGTGACTGTGAGAAAGCAACAGCGAAGTTCATTAGTCCACAATAAGGCCGCCGACAGATTCGTTGCAGTGCCCGACAGGATGGAAAGTTAGAGACACTGATAACTGTGAAGCCCCAATGGACTATGCAGGGGCCTGTCCTCATTTGATGGTAAGCAGATACTACATATGCGGAACTCCGAAAACCTCTTAAGTATTGCATAAAGCTTGTGGGAGCTGCTGCTGCTGACCATAAACGCAGAATCGAGATTGGTAACCGACATCAGATTGAAACCCCTTCGCACTTCAATAGCGCTGTGCTCGACAGAGTGCAAGGTGCAGTGGCCCTGTTTGGGAGACAGATGCGATCAGTTAGGTGGAAGGGACTATACCCCGGAGTGTCCAGGTATGGTGGTGAACACAATCCGTTGGATCGGCCTTTTCAGTGCAAGTCTTTCAGTGAACTGGGTGTATACGGGGAAATGCGTGGCACCAAGCACGTATAAAGGGCATTGCGAAACTACACAAGTACGCAGAAAGACACGTGTGCAAAATGTTTTACGACAAAGGCACACCCGCTTCAGGACCTCTCAGGCTTCACGGAGGACCAAAAGGCCGATTTTTCCGTTGCATGTAAGAACCTCACTTACAGGACTACTTATGCAAATAAGCTGTCTGACGCTTCCCAAGGTCAAGCTGAATGGCCATGCCGCAACGAGTCTTGCGGTAGGCGGATAATGTATATGTTCAGCGCTGCAGCTTCTTATCTTTCATCAGAACGGGACTACACGCATACCTGCCCGGAATACTGGCGCTTCGACGAACCATCGGGGACCTGCCAGCCGCCAAAGGTACTGGTCAAACGTGCACAAGAGGATGCGGAGCATGCTGAAGAGCTCGCTCTGATGTGGCAGAGTTACACAGGAAGTTATCGAGACACCGGCGAGATTAGGCGGATGGCAGCTCCCGAGCGGTCAGTCTTGGCAGCCCGTTGGGGCCTGAAGTGGCCTTGCCTCGCCGAAGTCGATGAGAGTTCCTGTCAGTAAAGTGCACAAGAAGCTTCTGGTTTCAACTTTTATCACCATCTTGCAGGCTTGCGGGACTATTCTGGCGCTCCTTGCCCCAGAGGCTGGATAAACGTGATGAATTCAGGAGCATGCCAGGCACCGTCAGGTAAAACGGAGCAGCGTGGTAAATGAGCGTACCGTGTTGTACGCCTCCCTGTTGCTACCAGGTTATGATGCGGGACCGAACTGCCCTACATCCAGACATTTTGATTTTTTGTCTGATGAGGAAAAGAAGGGTACCTGTTTTTCATCATGATTCAAGTCATACATTGTGGATTCGAGGCCCGCTTGTGCCAGAACTTGAGCAAGCGTGCAAGCTCGCCTGGCCATGCCTTGGTATTTCTAGCTTCCTGAAAATTCTCGCAGAAATACTTCTTACTGTGAACTTTAGGTCAGGCTCCGCAAGACTGCTCCAAGTGTCCAAAGGGATGGGAGCCAACACGAAATCGTCAAGGTCAGCTCTCTCTAGGGTATATGGAAGCTGAACGTTCTTCGAGATGCTCGCTTCAGGGTGGTGCGAACCGGGCCTTAGTTATACAGGTACTACAATGAAAATAGTAATCTTTTTAAAAAAGTCCAGTTCAGCACACGGTCCACAGGCGTCTGCCGGGGGGCACAACACTGGGATGCCATGTCCCTTGCTCAGAAGGAAATGTTGAAGAGCGTCTGTGAGGTGGAGTGCCCGCCCGCAGAAACATGGGAACCGGCAGGAATTTCCTCAGTCGCAACATCGAGTAACTTGCTGGAGGGAACCGCCAGTACGTCCGAGGCCTTTGAGCTGCCTGTCTGTCCTCGCATCCTATTCTGTTTCAGCGGGCAGGTACCACACACTGGAGTAACACTTGGCTGACGTACAAGGCACAAGGAAAGGACGCACGGCGCCTCTTAGGATTGAAGAGATTTTTTTCCCGCCGACGCGTTTAAGCCCCAAGATTAGCAGGTGCATCATACAAGACGGACCCGTCGGAGGCGGTTGTAAGCAGAGCAGAGCCCTCGCCGCCTTAGAAGCTGCTGCCCAGTATGCCTCAAGTGCTCGGGAAAAGTATAAAATTCGCTCGTGCAATCTGAACTCTATCATGCCGTACTTTAACATAGCTTTTAAGTGCATTTAAGTTGCGTTAGATAAGGGAGTCGGATGCACTCATAGCAGAGTCTCCCCTTGACAGGCAGGTGGGCAACTCGTTTGCGCAGCTGTTATAGGGATTGTAACGCGTCGATCTCGTAAAAATGCTAAGGAACGGCTGCTGTACGTGGCGGGGCTTGCATTGGCTTGATGCTTCTTACCAGTTCTCAGAAGTGCTCTCTGTTGCTAGTTGGAATGCTCTCGCTCAAGGGATTGCTGAGCCGGATTCGCGCTCTGCACTGTAAGCCCAAAATGCTTATAGGAGGGGCTCGTCGGCGGTTTCTAGAAGGAACTGAAGCATGCCTTCAGGCAAAATGGGGGTATCTGCAAAGCCACAGTTACTAAAAAGGCGTACATAGTTCATGATGTGCTACATGTGCACAATGGCCTATTCATATTACGTAGCCTACATATGGCACATCCGACGGAGCTTCTACCACTTACTCTTGTCCTCTTCAGACTTTGTCAAGTAGCTCTTTGCCACGTAACGGAAGGGCAGCACGATGGATTCCTTCGAGTTTGGTCCCTATAGATAGAACATTTACATACTCACTAATCGTCTTCCTCACACACAGCCTAGATGTGCGTTTACGGAGGTGAGATGCTTCAGAAGGGGGTGCCTCACTGCAGAGATTTCGGGTTCATCTACACTCGGAATATCCGTCAGCGGAACCTTATCTGAAAACACCAAACAACCTGTAGGAAAGGACGACATTGTCATTAAATAAATCTCGTGACACCCCAACTGAAGTTTTCCGAAACTTGCCCTACTTTCAAGAACAATCTTGGAGACGAGGACTGCCGTGTTGGTGGTCATCTGGAGCGGCCCCAAGTGACGAGAGTGGCAAGGCCGCAGTTTTCGAACTTCTGCCGTTCTATCGTCGGATGGAACATTGCCTGTGAAAAACCCGACAAATTCACTTGTAAGTGGTCAGCACGGTCGCTACGGAGAGTTGCACGTTTGTGTAGAGCTAAGCGCAAAGGAGGCAGCATCCTTACCAAGGATGCCGCCAACGAGCACTGCGTCGAATCTCTCTGCATCTTCAATCTTCAGTTCTTCTTCTGCATCCATCTGTACGCAATACAGCACACTATAGCGTGTAGAACTGCGGGGGTTCGCCGCGTATGCGGGCCTCAGTGTTGGAGCCGGTAAACACCGTTGTGCGGCAACTGCTCAAAGGGGAAACGAGCCCGACATCCAGCTTGCAGTAATATGCGCACATCTAAGAGAAGTACACGGTCCCAGTCTAACTCTTCCAATGTACTCGCGGAGTCTGAGCAACCCACACAAAACGCCAGCATTTCGGGCATCAGTAAGTCTGCATATGCGTACAAGAAAGCTGCCTCTTTAAGCCGCGCCTTAGCTAGCACTGTGGTTTCAGATTTTTTGCGTACCGGTCACCACACGTCCTGGAAGCTGGCGTCTGAGATCTTCAATTTGCCTGAGGGGCAAAACGTCCAGGGTTCTTGGTAGTCAGCAGAAGCTAGACGGCTCTCTGAGGCATCCACTTGTAATTACTTCGCCTAAGGTAGATGAATCTGCTTACTGAGAAGGAATGTTCGTAAATATTGCTCTGTCTGCTCCTACAATTTCGCAGATGTGCTTGTATTCGAGCGTGCACCACCGCTGAGCGCATCACATCAGTCGGCGTACACTCGCTGCGGCTTTGAGTCTAGTATTTAAGGCTTAGCATCCATGCTTCTAGGGATGCAGCATGCGGCTAGTACGATATTGTATTGCCTTGACTGCTCCGACTGACCAGGAGCCTTGAACCCTCTCCCCACACCGTATCTACGGACTAGCCCAAGGCGTGAACGGTAAAAGGCCAACAAGCCTTGTACAGGTGTCTACCGAAAGAGATAAATAATACGTTAGAAATGTCAAAAACAATGCAGAAATAACATACTTCTATATCCTCCTCGACATTTTCAATAACGTATAGCATGGCGAAATATCGAGTGCTCTGCGGGATGTCCAAAGCGAGCAAACGAAATCCTGCTGCATGCAAAGGTAAGAAAGGCCTTGAAAAAGACTCTTACAAATTATTCGCTGCATAGCTGAAATTGAGCTGCATTTATGTCCTCATCCTTGTTATCATCAGGAACATTGGCTGGCTCTGTGCGGACGATCCATCCCGAGCCCCAGAACAAATGCTTCACTGCCTTACCACTAGCTCGCCCAGATAAAATCTCATGCATCAGCTATATTTAAAGCTAGCATTTGGAGATTGTGGTCTCCTCGAGGGGTCTGGTCTTCCATCCTAGCAAACTGAAGAGTTCCTTCCACATATGGGAACTGCTCCGACCCGGGCATGCGGCCACCCACTGCAGTACTGCAGCATCAATATTTACATGAATACAGCTGTCCGAGAGGGCATATGCTCTAAAGCTTTGGGCCCATCTTTCCATCATAGCTTATATGAGAAGGGAGGAAGGCTTATATCCACAGAGTCTATGAATAATGCGGCAGGACAAGTCATATTGTACAGTAAAATGATGAATGTGGCTGAAAATCCATATATCGCAACAAACCTCTCTCGAATGCACCTGTTACTTGAGCTGGCCCATCATCACCAGAAAAACTGTTTGGGTGGGAGCGAATTTCGGCAAGGGCAAACTGGGTGCAGTTACACTATTACTGTGGCGGGACAATCGATGCAGGCTGAAACACAATATGCACGATATACATTTCCATGAGCGCAGGCACGCCTTCGGGAATCTACCGCGATGTGGGTGCTTTCACCCAGCTTCTCAAAACCGCGATTCGATGCACCCTTTTTGTCGGGGCATCTTGGTATATTTGCCAGAAAAATACTTGCTACAAAATTAACAGCGTCTTTCGCAAAGCAACACCAGTATGCGCATGTAGGCACACGAAAGTTACACTGTCTGGATGAAAGTAGTTACAAGCATTTTGTTTGTCGTTGCTCTAATTGCATCGCTTGGACTCAGACAGAGTTCGGAGGTGCACCCACCCCAAATAAACAACCGCTACCACGTCGGTGCCTTCAGGAAACACAGTCTGATATTCTGGCAGCTATTCTTATGGCTGTGCTTCCGTGGTGCTGCTTTACCCTTAACGTACATGCATGGTGCGTGCAAGACGCATAAAGTTCTGCACAATGGTGTGTATGTGTGTGTGTGTGTGTGTGTGTGTGTGTGTGTGTGTGTGTGTGTGTGTGTGTGTGTGTGTGCCGCACACTGGCGCAACTTACCGGAAGTTCACGTTGCATCGCAAGTATCTCACCAAAGCATTCAGTACTTGCTGGAAACGCGCTTGCCTAGTTAAATGAGTGCACGATCGAGGAATTGGTTTGTCCTGCCATTCTCACAATATTGATTCTAAGGAAAATACATCTTTAAGCGTATAACTGCACCTTGCTTGCATTGTCTTGTATACCTTCCTGTGCTTGATGTTTACTGTAGCAGCAAAACAATGACATGGCATTAAGTGAACCGTTGTTATGTGGCGTGAAGCTTTAGGCTGTAAAACCGTGCCGTTATGGTAGGGAATGCCCGTATCCCAGCAAGGCACATACTCCGCGGTTGTGGCGCCCGGCAGGCCATTTCCTGCCCTATCTGGGAAATTGTGTTCAGTGGACTGCGCAGTGAATCAAAGTACAAGTACCGTTACCCTCTTCACAGTTGCTGTAGCACTCCTTGTCACTGTGTATACACTAGCTAGGCATTTTGCTGGGCGATTACTACTGGAAGCCCGTGAACCACACCTAGTAATACCAAAGTAGCCTGGGAATCGTGGTACTGGGATTTCGCGACATGTCTTGAAGCAGCGAGAAGCTTTAGTGTACCACTACGACTGGCGGACAATGCTATTCTATCCAGGGGCTTGCTTGGTGATGGGATTTGAAAGTGTAGGGGCTCGCTGACGAAATTACTTCAGCATACAGAATACTCAGGACGTTCACTCCTCCCAGCGAATATAGCTGCGGCTACATGGGAGAATTTTCTGTCTTAGTAACAAGTCAAACAGAAAGAAGTACGCTTTGTATTTTCACGCTTGCCTGTATTAATAGGCGTCCCACAGAATTCTGACTACGAGGATGCCTCTGCCGATCATCATCTTACCGAACAAAAGTATGCAGAGCACTTTTCTATGGCTGAGCACGGTTAGAGCTAGAGGACTTAGCAGTTGTATTCTCTCTTTGGAAATGAAACCCAGTTCACAGCATAAAGTTTCTCATTGGTTCGACTCACGAGAGAAATATCTACTGGTGAGAAGCAGAGGCTGGCGGGTCTAGACAACAGTAGTCGAAAATCCGTGCGTCCACATTTTGATTTTTAACCGTAAAATACTTGAGTGATGTTTTAGTATCCCGATTTGCGAAAGCGGTCGAGTTTAGTGAAGGAGGCTGCCCACTACCACCAAAGGACCCCTCGCCCCACCACCAGGGGACCTGTGTAGGTGTGAAGCGGGCAGGCACCGACCGATTCAGTGCTATTCCAAATAACTTCTATAGCTTCATTGGAGGGAACGCCGCGAATGTGCCGTAATCAGACGGCGCAGGATCATTACTGCTCTCGACCACCAGCATCGATTCCGTGAATTGCACGTCGAGAGTGCTTGTTGTTCTCCGGTTCAATCGGGGTTGTAATTGCATCCACAAGCAGCGTATCTACATAACGCCGCACGGCTCCGTTGGCGGGAGCACTCGCACATATGACTTGCCAGGGTCGGGCCACGCGGCCCGTGGCTTTGTGTCTTCGCGTCTTTTGGCTGACGGTTGCATCCGCCCTTCTTAGGGCCGATGCCTTTTCTACCCCTGCACACCGAACACTACGTTCTGGAGGCTCCTTGTGCACAACACCCTCCAGAGGAGGCATTTCACCACACACAAGTTCAGGGGGGTATCTGTCCAGCGCCCAGGCCACAACCCCCGGGCCGTCGCTCCTCTCACGGAACAGCAAAAGCTTCCCCATACAGTTACGGGCGGAAGCAGGTACGGGAGGGGAAAATGCAGGACCAATCTTATTGGTAAGCCTTTAGGCCGGCAACTCCCTAGCAACTGCACAGCTCCGCCGCTAGGCAATGCCTGCATCAATTTTTCTATGAAGGAACCATAATCCGCTGCATCGCATACAGGCTGAGCGTTCGGTGAACCGCGTCACGCTCATTGGGCGCGTTGGCCTTGACCCCGAAGTCCGCCATTTGCTGAGTGGAGACCGCATGGCCAGTTTTTCCCTGGCGACGTCCGAGCAGTGGAGGGATAAGGTCTGGAGCCTCCACTACCCTTTTGCCCTTACCTACGTCTTCAAATTATCTGCCTCTCGATCCCTTTCAGGTTGTGCAAATGAACCATAGTTTGGGCACCCCACGCCTCAGTTGCCGTGCAGTCCTTTGCTGCGCAGGCTACTGGAGAGGTGCGCAGCCGCACCGAGTGGCACCGGGTCGTTGTGTTTGACAAGGCGCTTGTGAATCTCGTTGAAGCCTTTGTGCAGTAAGGCAACTTGCCTGTACCACCCCCAGAAAACCATTCCCCACCATTTCTACCTGTAATGGGGTGATACACTCACTGCCCACACCGGTACCCGAATGCCAGTATGTTCATGCTCCGCAATACTGGCATTGACCCATACTTTCCAAAGGCGTCGTCAGTGAAATGCAACGCTTGCATTCTGCCAAAGAGCGCGTGCTTCTTGATTCCACTGTACATATGCAGCAAGGGCCGGCGACTGTACGTGGACGGATCCTTACAAACGCGGCGTTGGGTAGCGTCCGACGGACAGGAGCGCTATACCACCGAGGTGCTTCTTTCCAAGTACAAGGGAGAACTTGTGCTGCTGGAAAGCCCCGAAGACAAGCATGCAGGCGCCTCAACGCACAGGGCTAGCTCCCCAGATATTGCCCAGGGTGGCGGAATGGCCCGCATAGCTGGCTCTAGTCAGGCCTCACGCAGTAACGGAGGCTCCTCTGAGGACTTCGAGTCGCAACACGAATCCCCAGGTGCTACCGGAGCTCGGAATGCAGTTGCGCCGCGGGGCGAAGCGGGCACAGGCGTCCGCTTCAATGCCTCTTGGCGCTAGACTAGCCAGGTGCTAGGCAGCCCTCGTACTAGACGGGGCACTTTCTGCCCAGTTAGGTGCAAGTTGGAGCGGACATGGCCCTGGGCGCCATGCCACTCGTACAGCAAGACAAGGCTTCAATACACAAGCACTGGACAAGCTGTGTCCATTTCAAACGGTTTTTCCATGTATGAAGCGTAAGCAGAAACCGCCGTAAGCCGCGGTACCCAGCGCCTAGCTACTTCGCCACGCACACTGCGGTAGACAAGTTTAGCACACTCTGATGCGAAATTGCTGCTCTATACGTAGCCAGTGTGCATCTACTGAATTACACCTTAAGCGCTTCAGTACCGTGTGCCTGCGGCTGCCGGACACACTGCCGCATTGCCGCTTGCGAGAGCCGTTCTAGTTGCTTTTCCGCTACCTGTTCAGCCCAGGTCTTAAGGTGCTGTGGCGCAGCCACTCCTTCTTTCTGCGCCAACTCCTTCCACAGCTGCACTATAGCGCGGCTCGTGACATCTGCGCCGCCAGCGGTAGCTTCCGCCACCTTCTCACTGTACTCGAGGTCAGAAGCTCGCCTCTTCCACGCAGCTGCTAGGGCTGGCTCCCGCCGCTCCAGCAGCGCAAGATAAGTTTGCTGCAAAGGCCTCAGCCCCTCGGGCACGAAATCTGGTTCGTACACACATAAGATGACAAAAGTTATAACCTCAATAAGCGAACGATTGCCAGCGTCCAGCAAGGTGTGATGGGGAATTGAACTGGAAAGTTCGGCCCCTGAGGAGGATGGCGGCTTACGTAGGGCACTTTCTACTGAACGTAATCTGAAAATGCGCATAAATGCGCTCTGTACAACGAATGCTGGCACTAAGAACAACACCGCTGCCTGCATTCACATATGCGCAATCGAAGACGACGAAAAACCTTCACCGGTGCAGGAAACCATTTCATTTTGCTCAAAACACCTTTTCGCTCACGCCATGCCCGGCACCTTACGACTACATCCTCAACTCTAAGCCATATCGACGCGTTTCTACGCACAAGGCCTTCAACGCATTATCAAGTAGAACGCCTACTAAGACAGCGTCCTAATCCCTTCAATGACACTCTCAAACAAAACAAACTGGATAGCCCCGCCTCTCAAAACTGTAGCTGAGAACAACGACAGCTTACCGCTGGAAGCTGCATGCCGCTGTACAGGGCGAAGATAGTTGCAGCTCCTACGCTAGCTCCGCGCATTACAAGTGGCGATGACAAAGTAGATGACATGTGCGCTGAGGGAGTCCTTTTCTGGATTTTGGAGGACACCATCCATCCCGCCTGAGCGCATACAAACCGCATTTACTCAGCGAAACTCCACGAACAAAGCTCAGGTCCAAAGGGCTTTGCCCTTACGATCAACGCACTTTGACCTGCAGAGCACGATCTCAAGAACATAGTTCAGTACAGCTACATCCACACGTGCTGTGCTGACGCTCAAGCTGGGCTGTCAATTTTCAGGGAAGCCGGCATTGGGAAAGTACCGCCATTGTAGAAACAAGGACAAGCCAACAAAGCACCGCCGTAAGGCCAGAGGAATCTGGAAGCGCCAGACTCTCCAGCCAACCTGGCTGTTCAACCGCGAAACCTCTCCACCTGTCGGGATCTCCAGCCATCGCCCTGCATAGCACATACATGTATGAAGGGGCAACAAACCTCTTCAAGGCTAGAAACGCATGCACTGTAGCCTGGATCACACAAGATGCAGTGAAAAAGGTACCACATTTTTACCTTATTGCGGGCGTTGAGAGGGAGATAGCCACTCCCAACAAAAGCATTTGAAACAAAGATGTTGGTAGCACGCCGATGCCGTGCTTCTTTAGAAATTGCTTCGTTTCAATTCTCAGGCGCTGATACTCTTGTGTATTCTGCAAGACGCAAAACAGCAACGTGTGTAAGACCAGGCATCCACAAAAGGGTTATTTTAATGAATTTGTGGGAGGAGTCATAGAAGAAAGTTGGCTCTGGCCAGAGCCAACTTTCTTCTATGACTCCACACATATATCTGGAAATCAACAACCTTTGGCTTACCCCGGCCTCATGCGCCATTTTCATCTTTTCCTTCAATCGAGAAAACTGGGGATCTACGAGCTGCCGCTGACGCCTATCTCTCTCCTGCAGTGCAACAACAACCCTCTGTCTTTTTCTTGGGAAAACACACTAAGCCATTTGTAGAAACGCTAGCCCAGCAAACCGATCGAAATCGCATGAGCTTCCCAGACGACTCGAGCCCTAGCCTACCGAGTCAATTGCAATGGGAAGCGTCAGAAGCCGCAGCAAGCAGCCTGCTGCCGGTAGAGCCACGCACCTGCAGTGCTCCCCCACAAACAGTCCAGCAGCAATGAATGAATGACCGGATATTTACGGAGAGTACTTCAACTTCGCTTGCTCTCCGCTTCAGAAAAGCGGGAAGTGCACGAATGTGCATAGTAGGATGACTTAGCTAACGACCCACCAAGGCACACCAAGTCCGAGCTTCAGCGTGAGCAGCCAATCCACGAACCATTCAGAAGATGCCACAGCCCCATCACCGTCCTTCGCCTTTGCAGCAGTTGCCGTCTGTCATAGCACAAGCCAGTACACAAAGAGCGGTAACGATTTAGATCATTCGTGTGAAGGCACGCTTGTCTTTCTATTCAAGATAACACCTTTAGGCTAAGTTGAACCTACGATTTCCCGAATATGTTGAAGAAGCTCCTGGGCGTACGAAACGTCTGCAGGGTCCTCCGGACAGCTCGTGTTAGCGTCCACAGGCGCCGTGGTCGGTGCCTCTTGGACCTCTCGAGCTGCAGCTGGACTGCGGTTAGAAGGCACCGCGGTTGTATCCTGCCCCGAAATAACGGGGGACCGTTGCAAATTTGCAGCGATGGAATGAATGCTGTGGCGCCCCTGGAATAAGACTGTTGTTCCCAGAGATGGAACATAGTCTCTAGCACTCATATTGAGCTCTGTGGAAAGCCCACGAGTCTGGCGATACTGCAGGGAAGCAACCGAGCGGCCGAAAGCAGCATTCACTGGCCAACCGCTGGTGCGGCTGCAGGTAGGACGCGGCACCTCCTTGCGGAGTAGGGTATTTACAGAACTGCCTACGCGGGATGGGGAAGTGCTTTTTGAGGGCGACTGCATATATAGGCTCGCGAGCTCTTCTGTGACGGATCTTTTGGACTGGCGTGCGAGTGGCCCTGGAAGTCTACATAGAGATCTACCAGCCACAGGGGGCACCCCTGGAAGTACGAAGCAGCAGCCTACCATGCTGCCTCACTGCCCTATGCTGTGCATCAACTCCAAGCGGAGGCTGTTGTGCCTCTGTATGCAAGATGGCAACGGAGCCCAGTTGCTCACTGGGAACGCATGTAGGGCGCAGCTGGCTAAAGGTGCGTTCAGCGAAAGGCACGATGTAGATCTTCCTCTCCAGAAAGAGTGCAATCGATTTGTATTCGACGGGCTGGACGTGAAGTGGCGCAAATCACTTTAGCATGAAAGGTGAGGGAAGACAGTGAAGCGCGCCATACTGCATCCGCCTAAAGAAGGAGCACCAGAGGATATTTTATGCCCCAGTCGAAGCCGAGAATGCCATTTTACGGGTGTATTACACAGATGGCCGGAGTGGAGGCCCTAACCATATGCCAGCGCCCTACATATACTGAGGTGGCATGCACGGCGGGAACCCCAGCGTATTCTGACCCCCATTTTGAGTACAAAGGCCACATCTCTCAGCCCACCGCACACATGTGACAGTTTCAAATAGATTTTGAGCCATCTTCTCTTTAACTTTGGCCCTTGTGCATGCTGATTATTCCACCTGGTCGAGGTAGCAAGCAGTAGGCACGTCGCCATTTCTCCAGCTCTCCGCCTTCAGTGGGAATCGATCTAGTTGCTTCCCCTACTTTGGTGTCCTCTGCCGCAATGCTTCGCTTTGAGGCGAACCAATAATATTTCAGCTGCTGGGAACGCAGTTTAGCTTTTCGCGTCGCCGGTGAAGAGCGCAGTATCGCGCAGCCCGCCTAGTCGAACAGCCTACGCACAATGTGCGGATAGCCCTTGAAATGAAGGCCACTTCCAGCCACACACCATCTCACTCCGCCTGTACAATTTGAGGGTGTACTGGAGTCCTGAGGCGGATACCTCGACCCGCCTTGGGCAACCTACAAAAGTTCTGCCCTCATTGGTGAACAAGTGCATACACTAATCGGGATGCAGCTTCGGCACTCTTACTGCAGTGGCCCCTTCTGTGATACCTACTTGCAGGAGAGAAATACGGAGGCTGCGCCCAGGGAGGGGGACGCGGGCCATTTTTGTGTAGCAGACTTGGTCCTTCGCCTGTGAAGCATATGAGGATGCGCGTAGTGCTGCACGCCGGCGGCATCGCTGCATGCATTTTTGTTTGGATATGTTGGTCAGTGGTCAAAGCATCAACGAACCTTCTGTTCTTCAGTGTGCTCTTTGCTGACACTTCCGATGGTTTCGCCGGCAAACCCATGCATAAGAACGGTAAGCTACACCCATTGATGCCTCGAATACAGTGTCATGGGTTCTGTTTTGGATTTTGTGTATATGCATGGAAGCTGTTCGCTGGGAACCTGCTGCCTCGAGCATTTTGACCTGTTGCTGGAATGCACATGGCTCGCCGACATTTCGTGAGCTGTTCCCTTTTGCTAGATCGATGTGGTTGCATATTTTTGTGAGCGTTATATTTTCAGTGCAGCTACCGCTTACATATTACGGGCGTCTGCTAAAACTACTTTTTGAATGTGTGACCTGGCTGGGCCTTTTGTCTCACCTAGCGAGTATATGTACAGATCCTGGCTCCACGAAGACGGCTCCAGTAGGTTATATTGGCAACTACATTCAGACGAATAGCGGCAGTTGCAGTATACGTCCAACACAGCTGAAGAAAATGAGCAAACTTGTCTCACACACTGTTGTTGCAATGTATGTGCACCATCTGGGTCGTGCTGTAGTCCATCCCGCCGGAGGATTTTGCCGGAGAAACGAAGTACTGCCCAAAATGCAAAGACCGTTGGAAGCCTCCTCGTGCTCATCATTGCACTGTCTGCAACGAGTAAGTGGCGTTGTAACGCAGCAAAGCTACAAGGCTGCCTGATGCTGGTCATATGCTGCGTTCGTCATCCAATGTACCAAATGGTTGCCGGATTGAGTATTTCAGGTGCATCATCAAGATGGACCATCACTGCCCATGGGTGAACAACTGCATCGGCTCCATGAATCAGAAGTACTTCTTCCTCTTTCTTACCTATATGGGTGAGTGAAAGAAAAGGGAAGCGACCGAACGCCCGTTGTGCCAACTCATACAAACTGAAAGATTCTTGTGTAGTTCAAGCCGGACACTCAAACACGCAAGCATTGAGAACTATGTCAGCTAGTATCCAGATCACGCGTCATGATTATGGTCTGTTCGTCTGCATAGCTCTCTCTTGTCTTCTAAACATTGGCATCATATTTTCCGGAATAGCCAGGTTCTTGTTGGCCTCCCCTGAACGGAAAACGGTAGGTTACCGCAACAGTCTTCCCGGTAGCATTCCACCACTACCTATTGCCACATGTCTGGCTGTGGCCTGCCTGATGAGGTAGTACCCAGCGGCCGATTTTCCTGCGTGCAGTTGTTCATTGATCAGTGGACATCGGCGTATCCTGGATGGTTAGCGGCCTTATTACTTGGGGTCTGCCTACTCATTGATGTTGTCTTTCTTCTTGTAACTTTGGTACGCCCAATAAACACGCTATCTGCGTCAGTATCGAGCACTAATTTTACCGGCCGGTGTTCAATACGGCAGCGTCCCATTGGCTTTCTTGCGCTTTGCTTTTCCTCTTATTGACCCTGCGTATTTGGACTCAGGATTTTTTAGCTGAGCAGTGGGAGGCTCTAGAAACCAATGCCACCTTAGTGGAAACGTACAGAAACACTCACGGACAGAGGGTACACTAGATACACTGGAGCTGTACTTATCGTGTATTATTCCAAAGATAGCATAACCATGATGCCTGAACAAGCAAAAGCTGGTCCGTCGACTGTGGTTTTTGATACTCTGCAGACTACTCTGTGGGAGCATGCCGTAGCTGTTTTCGGTCGTGAGTGGTGGTTTTGGTGGCTGCCAGTTCCTCCGAGAATCACTCCGAATTGGACAGGTAAAGTTGCACCAAAAGAGGACTTCCAGGATGTGTTACTCAGCATACCGACGTGGGCACATAGTTACACATTGTTTTGAGTATTCCTCCTTGCAGATCCGGAATTCAAGGATGAGAAGGAGGACATACAGCTTACACATGACTGCACTCCTGTACCTGGCCATGAGCTGCAAGAATTGGCATCAGGCTTTTCAACTTCCCGAACTCCAGCAAACTACAAAGCAGATCTTCTGTTTCGCGATTGCACAAAATAAGCGGTATTGTGAAGTCTGATATTGCGCGGTCGAAGCGCGCCGTTGAACTTGTTAGTCTTGGTCAATTGTTCATTGTCCCTATTGGGCCAATGTGAAGCAGCACTCACTCGTAGGTGCTCAATTTGTTTATAGGTATGAACTAATACGCAGCCAGACTCGGAGGCGGATATTTTTAAATTATTATTATTATCAAGTTACTCCTAGATGCACGTATTCCTATGCCCCTTCCCCGAGTAGATCTGTCCGTAGATCAACCTTCCAAAGGTACCAACGTGAAACATTTTATCAGGTCTACGGTTTTTCAGTCAGTAGTCTACCCTATGATTAAAGTGGAGTCTTAGCCCCCGCTCTCCAAAAGAAAAACGCTGAGGTGTACATACAGGTGACCTGCCTGCAGAACTTGTTCACCTGCCATTCGGGATGAAAATGATATAGGTGCAGCATTTTCCCTTGCGTCATCGAGTTCTATGCACAAATCTCTAGATTTGGCAATGCTTCGAGTCATCGCAGTTTTCACAGGCGTAGTGGTCCCTGCCTGGGCAAGTGACTGGCTTTCCAGAGAAAACCAGCCACTCAAACTGCCAGTTTGGCCAGCCTCAGGTAGGTTACTTCGGGCCTCTTGTCTGCATCCTTTCTAAGTATTCTTTCAGTTGAAAAGGCGTTGCTCTCTGAGGAGCCTACTCCCGATGACTTCGCCGAAGAGCTCGCAAGCGGTGCACCTTCGCCGAATGCGTTGCCAGGATTCACCACACTTGAGAACTACCCTAATCCCATGATCAACACGAAGGCATGCGGGCGATGGGGGATGGACGTTTCGTATGTCTGCGACCCAGGTAATAGAGAATAAGAATTACGACAATGTATCCTTCCTCAACTGCAAACAGATCACGTGTTCTCAAGTAATACACTTGACAGGATCGAAGGTTAGTGTACACAATGCAATGAGTTCCATCCGAATACCGCTCATATTTCGCTCTGGATAGAACGTCTGGCCCACATCCGACACAATTCCTCCCACCGCTGCGCTGACGAATTTGTCTCTTACCCGTAAGGACTGTTGTACTGCTTCTTTCTTCAAAGCAGACAACTCCTTGACTTTTAGATTCGCTGTTGCTATCGTTCAAGAATTACCATACGGCGTAGATGCGAATACATTCGCTACCGAGCTTATAGGTACAGAGATCCTCGCTTTATTATTGTGGCTCTTGAAGGTAGAACCGTCTCCAGATCGATGGGGGCTCGGCCACAGAAAGTGCCATGACGGCCTCTTGCTACTCTATGTTGCGGCTGACGGTGATGTCTCTCTGAAGTGGTATGTTCACCAAGTAATCATGAATCTCTGGAGCATCCCAGCCTTTGCCTTTTAGGAAAAAAGGCAGGTCGAGCTTGTTCTCCATGTGCTATTGAAACCATTTATTGGCATGTACTACAGGCGTCGAACCCGAGATCAACTTCAAGGTGGGCGGCACACTGCCCATTGGGACGCGTAAACACTTTAAAGAACGCTGCCTCAGATATATACCGGGCTGTTACGGGAGTTCAGGAAAAACGGAGCAAAACTGTCCGCAGGGAGAGCACTTGAAGAAGATGTTTTTGCAGTTGGGCAGGTGCGCTGATTATCCATGTGTGATTTCAAATTAAATGTACAAGATTCTTTAGCACTTGACAGGAGAAATGTAGGTTTTCAATAAAACATGATACTGGGGCTACCTGATGATTTTTCCTGTAGCCTTCCACCTCGCCAGACTCCTCATCTCGCAGTCCTACTAACAATTGCGAGCCTTGTGGGTCTTGCATATCTTGCGTGTGCCGCTACTGTTATATCCGTAAGCGAGGTTTTCCGTGAACTCAACGTTCCTAGCTTATGGAGCCAATGCAGGACGAGATCGCAAAGTACCGTTGACGAGCCGGGCGATGATGAACCTGATTGGCGAGGGAATATATTTGACAAGTCTGGAGGGAACTATTGCGAGCCTTTTTTAAAAAATATGCTGCTCTGAACCCTTGCTTGTGTACATCCCGCACTGTACTACCCCATAGCTAATTCACAGCCCCATGGTATGCAAAATGATACTAAATGCTCACCTGATAAACGATGGTAGCATGCCTGCCTTATAATGCAAATGTTAAGTTAATCTAGCAAATCCTGCACAGTGCCAATGTGATTGGTTGTTTAGGACATGTCTTTAACATCTAGCCACTTTAGTTTGGCAAATACGGGATATCTGCTGTAAGGGCGTCGGCCACACCGCTGGGCGAGCCATCCTCAAATACAAAATAGAAGGTACAAAAAAATGGAGGCTAATGAGTTTTCCTTCTTCCGCTGAATGCACATAAGAATCATGACGTATGTAACCCTAAAATGCCATCAACATCATTAGTTCATTAAAACGCCGGGGAACAGATATGTGGGGGCCTTACTGAATGGTGTAAGTCACAGTAGCTCCGACTCTTCGGGTCGCGCAAGGCATTGCCTCTTCAAATATGTAGTCAATAGCACGCGTAATCTCCTTCAATTGCTGAACGGACAAGAAATCTTCAGTTTCAACTCCAGTTAGGCATTTATATCGTCCTCACCTGCCGCAGTCACATTGTAGGATGTAAATTTTTCCTTAGGCCAATGACTGCATGCCACTTACGTGCAAGAAAGGTCGAGGCTCCAGTCCTGACCGGCATCGAACGACTTTCGCGAATCTCACAGCTGGAAGCTCATGAGCCGCCCGCTACACAACCAGGCACAAAAAACAGAAGTTGTCACATTGGCGACTTGTCTAATAGGCAGGCTATTCAGGTTGTGTAGTCCATCGTTGGCATTGACAGGCATATACCCTTCAAAGCCATGGGAGCGATGACAGTGTTATCGTGGATAAATACCCGCAAATGTATTCAAGGTGATCCTCAGGCTAATCTTTTCATACCAAGGCTGCATATTCTTCGAAATCATTGTCTCCTACAGACACGAGATCTACTGCTGCTGCTTGTGGGGTACATTTGTTCTGGAAGTGCTGTCGAATGACCTCGAGAAACTTGGTCTTCTGCATTAACCCATAATTTATTCATTATGAATAACCTGATACATTGCGAGCGTTTCCTGAATAAGCGTAAAGTATTCGGTCTTACGTAAAGAAAGAGCGAAACTTTTGAGCAGCATACCTTAGCATTCATCCAGTAGGCGAAGTATGCAGTGGTTTCATGAATGCTTGGCTCCTCTCCTACAGGGCAAGAGCGTATAATGGGAATTCGCTCATCATTCAGCAGCTGAATGACTTCGGGAAATAGGGATTTCATTGTTGAAAGCCAACGAACACTTCTTGCGTTTGTTACAATGACAACGGTTTCGCTCCATTTTTTGGCCTTTTTCAATGTGCTCAAGATGCAGGGTATTAGCTCGTTAGCTGTAAGCCGATCCAGCTCTTGTTTTATAGCCTGTGAAATGTCGCATCGTAACGTAGCTTCAAATGTGCACAACTTTTATTTAGGCCATTTCACGCCTCGTAGGCACTAGCTGGTACAAACCTGAGGGGGCTCGAAGTGTTTATATTGTTGATGCAGGGCCAAAGGCTTGTACTTATGTAAAATGGGCTGTATTAGCCAACCTTGTATACTTCCTCTGTCGATGCGTGCTGATGCTTTAGGTTGGCGAACGACGACCGGATCCATTCAGTTGGAATGAGGGTGTCGTCAAGGTCGAATATGAAAATGGCTGAGTGCCTACAATGATGCGAGCGCTCAAAAAACTGTGTGGAAGTAGGAGTATTGGTCTCAGAAGCCTCTGAAATTCCATCCGACGAAGAAACCAAATAATTCTGCAGTGCCGAATCCTCGTCAGCGCTGCCCGAGGAACAGAATTCAGGGGTTGTTTCGCCGTCAGCAAGATCACAGTTATCAAACTTATTTGCCAAGGCGTCGACGGACTTTGTTGATTGTGAAGATCCCATTGTAAAGGCTCGAAATGAAACCCTGCCGGGTTGCCTGTCTCGCATGAGGCAATGCCCTGCACAGGGGCGGCGAGCGTGCACCCTGCAGGAAGCGGATCAGAATTAATTTCGACGCTCTTCCATTTGCATATTGTAGAATCACTTCTGTGCCCGGACTTTATTATGGCAAGGCCCTTAGGCTCAGCAGTTGTCCATGTGTGGCGAAAATTGAGGGACAGGTCCGGAACGAACCACCAACGATTCAAGAGGGAACGTCGGCAAGAAAGTAGTCATATTTTACAAACAAACAGTCAACGCCAGTAAATTTCATTTCGTTATGGGAAACCAGGTCGTTCCCAGCGGTGGCAATGCTGAAAATGCGTGGGCAAGCCACTACTATGAGGTATGTCCTTTGGCTCCTTGGCCAAAAAAGACCCCGCCATCCTTCTTAGTTTCAGCTAGTGTACATTGGCCCGAATTGACTCGATTTTGGGCTGAAACTACCCACGAATGCAAATAGAGACCGAAGGACTTATTATTACAGTTTAAGCGACCGTAGCGCTGGCTTCCTTCTCCAAAATGGATTACGTACTGTGGCCAGAAGGGCAGCCGTGCAAACCAGCGCCATGTGAATGAACCGACGACAATGAATTTGTTGTATATATAAACCTATCTTTAGAACCAAATAATCACCATCCTACAACTTAAGGAAACTACGAAATAACTGGTCCGAAGGAATTGAATTTGTTGGAAATGTAAAGTTAACGTCAGAGCCAGACAGTCAACTTGATAGACTTTCAGCGAACTGCATAATGCGCTGCATCTCTTCCCCCACCTGTGGAAAAGATAGCTTTGCAAACCTTTTCCAGAGGAAACGATGCTAGCATGGGGGCGATGCTCAGCAACTTCAAGGGGCAAAGTTTCTCTTTTCCAGTGTGTTGGGCTCCTCTCTCCACAACATGTACCCAAGAGTCAAAAGCATCAAGTGATTCCTGGAGAACACTCAATTCTCCATCGTCATAAACGCCAGAAGAGTTGAACCCCTACCATCAGTGGCTTTTTCTGGGCCTTATCTACATATTAATGGGAGCTCTCTGGTTCAGACTATTGTTTTACAACGTCATGAGCAGCTTAGTGGTCAGTAGATTAGTTGGTTTAGGCACTTCCAGCTTACTCGTCCACTGATCTCCCACAGCCGGCAGTGCCTCATGAAAGTGGTTATATCGAGTGCATCATGTAGAGAAGATCACAATTGACTCTGGTAGCCCAAGTAAATCTGAGCTTCAGATTTGCTGAGGCAGGAAAGGCATTAGAAAGCTGTCATGTTCGGATCAATTTTGTGAAATGCAGAAGGTGTTGGACAAAAATTGGCTATCGTTTTTGCGCCACTGAATATGCACGATCAGGTTTAATGGCCCGTAGGCCTTTAGTGCTTAGTATTTGCGCTTGTCCTCAAACTGCATGGCAGTCTCATGTCCACATCTTAGACGTATAGTCGCATAAGAAAGCTAAGAGAGATGGCTTGTTTAGCCGGTCTCATACTGCCTTTGTACGCAGGGTGCAAGATAATTGGGTGCTTTTAGCTTGTCTGCACCAGGGGCATTAAGTTATGTGACTGAGTTTTGCACATTGTACCCTTGAAAAGTATGATGGTTCCGGCCCTTGGACAACGCTTTTTGGCCGAGGCAGACGAGACGTCTCTTGTATCGCCAAGAAACCGTATTCAACCTTTTATGCACTGTTTATAGTATTAGTTGGAAAGTTATCATTGGTGAACACTCTAAGCGAAAGAAGCAGCTTGTCACGGGACTACTAGTAAACTAAGATGATAAACTCAGCGTCATAGTAAGTTTTGAAAACTCGAAAATACTTATTGAAAAGTGTTTTGAGGATTGAAAGCTTATTGGAATTCGATATTATACACTGCCAGGTTATTCCTCGTCCAATGACGAACAGCTTGTAAAGGAAAGAAATCGTACACTACTGAACTCGGCCACCACAAAATAGCGTATTGAACTTGATTTGGAAGCCACAACTCCTTACCAAGTTTTTTTCAAGTAGTACTTTATGAACACAGGAACTGAGGAATTTACAGGTCAGAATGCTCCTCATGGTGGTGTACTGGAGGCTCTTTGAGGGCTCTCTAGCTGAAACAAAGCAAATGATAATCTTTTTAAAATGCAACGCAGTGCAACTGCACCCAAGTGACACCAAGGGTGTGGTGGACATGTTGGGCTACTTCGCGGGACGCAGTAGCGGGTCTGACAATTGTTAGTCTAGCATAATCGGTAGAACCCATTATTAATGCCCCCATTGTCATATTCAACCAAATTCATATTCTTTAAATAAGAAGAGCGCCGTCGAAAACCAAAAACTCGGTGCAAACGCGCACTGCGTGTTACGTCCTCGACAAGTGACCGCCTAGGATTTCAGCGGTACGACGTCGGAGAGAGTGAGCTCTGCATTGCTACAATAGAAAGCCTATTTTATCAGTAATTCGGCAATGTCTTTGTGCTTATGCGAGAGACACATTGAAGTATGAAGGTGCTTGGGAGGTGGGATGAGCACCACCCAATCACATCACCCACGGTGAGCTCACCAGGATCGCTACAGGTAACCCCACGCCACCATGGTGTCGTCAGCATTAGCTTCCGTCCAGAGATGTGCCAAAGCATAAAAGCAGCATATTTTGCGCTGAAAATTTTGTCAGAGTTGGCTGAATATTTGGTTCGTGTGTTTAACATTAACAACGTGTTCTTTGTATTGTCGTTTGCCGTGTCAGGTACAGCTTGGTTCTCTGAGGAAACCAGGCATCATATTGAACTACTTAGCAAAACCGGGTTTTATTTATTATCCTGCGCCTCTGGGAATATTTCCTGATTTACGTAGTCCAGTGTCAGGGACTGTGCGAATTCGTTTCAACCATAGGAACTCATGCAAATACGTTGAAGATGGAAGGAGAGACTTGTGATAGCAGTGCTTGTGGCAGCCCAGTTCCTTCATTCGCCGCAGAACTACCGGTTGCCTATGTTTCTGCGGAAGCAGATTGTGGAGATAATCTGGCGACTGCGTCGACCGTGGATTTACCAATGTACACAAAGCTGCCTGAACCGCTGCAGGGAGCTCCATCTTCAGTCCATACAAAGCCAGAACCACCATCTCAGCATGCAGCGCAGCTCGACTCTAGTGTTCTGGGCACTGCCTATCCTTGGGAGCTATACGCCGAATATGCAAAACAGCTAGCAACTTGGAGCTCCCGGACGGACACGAAAACCAATCAAGAAGAGGAGCTGCTCACGCTGTGCGACAGCAAGCGTGAACTTGTGCGGGAGTGGCTCAAGAGACCAGCTCGCCGTCAAGTCCTTTCTACTGACATTGAAAACACATGTCATGTGGAAGGTCAAAATGAGTACAATATATGGTACGGGCGGCATCTCACGGATCGCTATAACCACCCAAGCCACCTCGACCGTGAGGCTGCCTTATACCGTTGTGATCCAGAACTCGACGCTGGGTACACAGCAGCTGATCTCCACCCAGGCAGCTCCGAAGGTTACATTTGTGCCTTTTTTGCGAAGGGCTGCTGCACAAGAGGTAGTGAATGCCGTTATAAACACCGAATTCCCACTCTCGAAGACGAGTACACGCTGGAGTGGAGCCGTGATATATTTGGAAGGGAGCGACACAAGGATCACCGAGATGACATGGGAGGGGCAGGGAGTTTTAACCATGAGTGTAAAACACTTTTCGTAGGAGGCCTGCAGGTGGACCCACTGGAAGAAGACGGCATACAAAGCCTCGAGCGGTTTCTGTGGGAAGCATTTGGAGTTTGGGGGGATTTAAAAGAGGTCCGGGTGATACCAAAGAAGCTCATTGGATTTGTGACATATGCTTACAGGGTTCAAGCAGAGTTCGCAAAAGTTGCCATGGCTGACCAGAACTTTGGAAAGTATGGAACTCTGCTAAGCGTCAAATGGGCACATCAAGACGGAAATGCTAAAAGGAAGAATGAGAGCGAAGAAAAGGGCAAAAGGCAAAAGTCGGCAAAAGTAGGCGGGTTACTACAAGGCCAAACGACAGGCCAAGGCAAAGAGGAAACGGTTCGCAAAGCTCTTGAAAGCTACTGTTCTGCATGGAAGGCATATTGGGCAGCAGTGTGTGCAGGGGGAAACCCGGCAGATGATACACTAGCAAATCAGCAGGGCCCTCTTTCTTTGTCGTCGATGGGATTTCCACAATTGTTCTCTAACCACATGCTAGAGGGGCATCATAATCTACCTGGCTTTGGAAGCAGTACCAGCCAGTGGCACACCGAAGAAAAAAGCATCGGGGATGAGGAATCCCAGCGGCTGTTAAGTGTCTTGAATCGTGTTGAAGGTCTTTCGAGCTCTGATTTCCTAAGAGCTGGTGTTATAGGTCCCTGTGAATGATAAGGGCACAAATGTCAGGTTGCCGGTTTGCTGCTAGCCTTGTGGCTGCTCAGAATAAAATTTTTAGGTGTCATCCTATTTTCGAAGTTAATAAAACGCATTTCACTAACAGCTTTATATATTTTTTATACAGTTGCCATGCTAACCCATAAAGTCAGCTCGGACCTAATCTGTAGACATTCGGGTGGTCAATAGCCCCTAGGGCTAGTGAGTCTCTCATCAAGCCGGAGACTGTCAGCACAAAGACTCTCTGATTTTCGGGCCGTCACAAATAGAGTCAATCATCCAGTACACTGGCAGTGGGGGCCTGTGCATCAACAGCGTGATGAGCGACCACCTCGGATGAGAACGCACAACATCTTCAGAGATTTGGGAGGTCAGAATTATGCAGCAGTCGTTGTGTAAGCCAGTTGCTGTAGACCCCATCAAGCAGCAAGGTATTCTATGGTGCCCTTCCTTCCTGCATTCGGGAGAATGTGATCATTCCGGTTGGCTCCTGCACACCTCAATGGGCCAAGAGTGTGAGTGCGCTGACGCTCAGCAGATCGGTTCGTACGGCATCTGAAACACATAGTCGGGTATTTTGAAGGGGTTCTGTTCTTTCCAGAGCAGCGTAAAGTCATTGTTTTGCAGCGTGGACAAATGTTGAGCAGCTGGTACTCTGCGTAGCTTGTGTGCGAGACGCACAGAGTTGCGAGGAGCCCCCAAGTCGCACACTAAAAGTCGAGGTCCCTACGCATATCTTGTTGTTAAAAGTGACTTCCAAACGACAATAGAGCCTGGGAATACTAGAAGCTGTTTAAAGCAGGTAGTCCTCATCGTTCAAACCCTGCACGAATCGCTTCGCCCACAAGCGCCCGCACGGGGGAAGCCATGGCAGCCGATGACTCGTGCAGATCTAGGCGAACTTGCAGGGTGCACCATACTCGTTTACCCTCGAAAATCTCAATTCAGATTTTGTTATCAGCAGCACTTTAACGTCATAAACGCCTGCTGGACACCTTTTTTATTTGAGTGTGCTCCACGCTGCGATTATTCCTGTACCCCGTCGCTACCTGCAGACACACTAGTCCCTTTGGCTTGCTGGACTATTGCGTACTTCTACCGAAATATTATTTTGTTTATATTTCCAAAGGGCTGGCAGTTCCCAGTCCTCTCTAGGCGCGCGCTGATGATCTTTTTTGTGCTGCTCAACTTGGTGCTGTTGAACACCACAGATCATGTTCCCATTCTGACCTAGAACATATCTTTGCGCCAAACGTGATACTGGGGCATCTCTCATCAGGAAGAACCACGTGTTATTTGCACTGAGACCACCCCAAGGTATCAAATATAGTGAAGTTGATGACCACAGCACGCATTTTTTCCCGAGACAGTAAAGTGTTCACCTCCGAAGGTCAGACCCGGACGGATACTACTTGAAATTGAAATCAACACAACAGTGTTTTCTTGAGCTTTCACTGAACGGTTGTGAACAGATTTGGCTTATCGTGTCGCTCTAAAGAGGCGGAGTAAATGAGGACCAGGTGCTTTTAGGCCACGCGGTTAACTCGGAATGCGGAGCTTCGTCCTAGCAGGAGGCCTCCTGCTTTTAGCCTTTCCCTGTACTGTGCAACCGGCAACCTCAAGCGTTTCTCAGATCACTGCACCGGGTAGCGAGGCCCATAAGAAAGGCGACTCAAGCGCTGGAGGCCTAGAGGTAATTTGTATGCCTTTAATGCCCTTCCACTCATTGTAGCTAGTTGTACTCCGGCAAAGCGAGCAGTATAGATAGGTAGCCATCATATAATCGATATTTCTGCGTTGTGATGCAGGAGATAGACATAGGGTCGGCACAAGGAGACGGTAAAAGTGTTCTCCAAAGCGCTGCGTATGTTGGGCTCATGTCTCCTGGTCCCCCGGACTTCTCCATGGCTTAATAAACTTTCCTATGTAACTTTGAAAAGATTTCTGTGCCACTCAGAATGGTACGGGGACTGATGTGTTGCTGGAAGCGTATTATGACCTTGCAGAATCCCTCAGTGTCGCGATGAGGTTCAGGGAACAAAGTGGTGACGACGGAACTCCAGAAAGAGGCCCCAGTGTAAATCAGTGGATTAAGGACTCTTTGACTGGTGATTTTTTCCCAGCTGTAGTGTGGCATTACCCTTTCTGTGCTGAACATGATACGTGGAGGTCTTAAATAAGCAATCACCTGGAAGATGGATGCAACACGAGGCAGCTATTCGAATACAGCTCGCCACTGAAACCCTTTCGAATAAAGCTGAGGGAACAGCTTAATAACTGAGGCTAATCGGCTCTGCGTGTGTGTGCATAGATAGTACCACTCAAAAAAAGGCAGCTATAGAACAGTCACAACCAAGAGGTGTGTCGGAAGTCGAATTGCCTACGAACCAGGGGCCATTCGTTCTGATTGGAGGCAGTGAAGTGGATGGAGTCTCGCCTGAAAAGGTCAACTCAGTAGGAGCTCAATATTAACATGAAAAATCTCCGGCAATATTGGGCAAGGCCCCGGTTCCAGAGTCGTGTTTGCCGTTCACACGACGTCAGTAGCCGTCTCTGGTGCTGCATGATCAGGCAGCGCCCGGTCATCTATTTGTACGCAGAGTAAGCACCCCCGTTCGTCAGTAGCTCACGACTCACAACACTTATTAAAAGAGCCAAATTTGGTGTCTCGTCGCCGGCGGCGCGAAAGCGAGTCAAGCAGAAGCAAGAGCTCGAAGGAGCCCCTCTGGACCAGTACAGACGAGGAAGAGTCGGAGAGCTGGACCGGCCAGCGAGTGCGAATCAGGGAAACAGAGTCTGCACCTCGCAGGCATAAGAGCAGCAACAGTAAATCTTCGAAAAAGAAAGAACAACTTCAGGTATTGCGAACAGTGCAGCTCCTTAACATTCTCCTAAAGGAGCAAAACAGCCATGTGCCCGCAGATTCCGGCTCGAGGGAAAGGGCCATCGATCCAGCAAAGTTAGCCGTATCTTACGAAAACGCGTTGAACAAGGTCAGCCAGAAGAGAACGGGAGCACAAGTGAGTGGCCACGTAGAAGTATAAATCCATTCCCTTGCCCATCGCGTTGCGCCATCCCACCAGTACGTTTATTGGCTCTCAGGACTATACAAAAGCATCCAACAGCGTCCCCGAATGACCGCATACAGATGTTGACATGCACGATATTCGGAGTGTGTCCAGTAACCAGGCAGGTTGAGACGCGAAAGGGCGTTTTTTATCGGTGGCTGCACATACATCAGGTGGAAGGCACCGATGATAGTAAAGGCGAAGAGGGACTCTCATGGGCTGCGGCGTTGATCCTGGCAATTCCTCCATCTATTCTTGCAATCCTGTTGGCGCATCACATTTCAAAACGCCACGCAGAGCAAAGGTGGCCAAAAGACGGGAGTGAAGAGGCTTTGGGTAAAGGGCGATACTCAACCATTGCACGCGATGCAGACGTGGATTCCGACGCTGATTCTTCCTTTGATGACGAGTTCATGAGGCCAGAGGGAGAAGCCGAATCTTTCGCCGAATACAGACTTGATCGTCCAATCTTTTCTAGAAGACCTAATCGCTTCCCGAATGGCAGATTTCCCTCGAGAAGGGGAACATGGGTTCCGAAGTATGAAAACCGGCAACCAGGTCTTTACCGTAGACGACGCGATACACTATCCTACAGACCCACCTTTGGAGAAGCATTTGACGAGGCATACATTGACCCACCCTTTGGAAGTTACGCTGACAGGTATGCAGCAGCCAAACCTTTAGCTCACGAGTTCACGGAGCCGGAAGAGCTGGATGGCCATTCCTGGGCTGCGGTCTTAGATGGAAATCGCCAGAGCGCCCAAGAGTTCAGCATGCACGGAGGGCTCTAAGACTCTCTGTGATTCCAGCGAATCAAACGAATCAAACTTTAATGTTTTGAAAGAAACAAATGGCGATTTTTTGTCGGTGAAACAGCGCGGACAAGGATCACAGTAAAGTTGAAGCCTCGCTGAGTACCCACCTGAATACGCGCTCAATTAAAAAGCACGATGAGAACAGCCATATGCCATAATTACTGGCTTTATCGCGCTTTGCACCCTCCCATTCAAAGTGCTGTACTTCTCAAATAGTGTTGCTCAATCTCTCAGCCATACAGCCGTTGTGCACACAGTTAAAATGGTAGTGTTCGGTATCTACCCCTCGTCTATTAGTGTGCTCTCATCTGTAGGTCTTGTACAAACTATAGGCGGTCCTAGAATGAGGGCGAAGGCCACTTGGCTCAAGATATAGACCACGCAAACAGGGTTACTCGACGTTAACCACTATAGATGTGGCCAACTGGCTCACTTTCAGGGAGTGGCATTCATTGCAAGATAGTACCAACTTGTAGGGGTCGTCGGTTGCTGTTGAAGTACAGTACTGCTCATGCAAGGATTATCAAAGCACTAGCTAAGTTGCAGCTTCCGTGACTGTGCTTGCTGGGTACTCCTGTTTTGCACGGCTGGCCAAAGCTGGCGTGCTTGCTAGCGGTCTTTGGTGTAGTCCCCACCTAACTGCGCTTGAAGTCCTCTGTTGACAGGAAGCACCAGCGCTGCTTGCCACATGGTGCTTCACGCTCGATGGGGCTTTCCCAGCTAGGAAATTTAGCTCAATGCCATTAACAAATGTGCCAAGGCCATCCTTTTACAGGCATGTTACTCCCTCACAGGCCTGGAATGGCAAAATGCCTTGAATGATATCGGCGTTCTATCCTGTGAGCAGTGCCGACTAGATGCTCATTGCAGCAGGTGCTAAAGTCGAGGCTATTGATGTATGCCTGCCAGGGTGAACCTGTTCAGACGGAGTGCATAAGATACCCGAAGATCTAAGCCTTACAACACGCACCGAACAATGGTAGGCTCTGGAGGCAACGGAAACTGTCAACCTTGCTGGTGCGTCACGGACATTTGCATATAGAGAAGCTACTAGCACAGACACTCTCTAAATGGACTACAATTTAAGGAAAACAGGCAATATTGAAAAAATTATCATCAAAGTCATTGGGGAACTGATCGCCGCCCTAATTGCAAGTATATCTTTGCAAACTGCGGAAAACAAGCCAGGTGCCTTCTTCCGGTGAGTATCAGTGAGTGCCTCATTTAGACGCGGAAACAGTCCCATTATGCATGCGCTACAGAGAGCTTCTTAAGTAGCATAAAACATGGGCCAAGCATATCAATAAGTGCAGCAGGCACTGGTTACGTCCATAGCCAGACAGCAAACGGAGCCTTACCTCTGCCCTCAAAGCATCGAAGGTAGCTTTAGCATGGATATTGTCCTCTCAATGAGCTCCTCTGCAGGAATTCAATTTGACGGGCACGGGGGGCAACTCCATGCTAAGTTATGACGTCTCCGCGGGCCTTCTTTTCCATGCAGACACAGTTCCTCTACATAATCGTAAAATTGCATAAAAGGAGTACTTCTATTTATCATTTGTGCTGTATTCTCCCCTTCCCCCCAAGTAATGCGCTTACCGGCCTCTGGAGACAACAGATGGGACCCAGATAGCAGCACACGCAAGCTCAACTCGACGGAAGGCCAGACAATATGTAAGCAGGCATCAGGATTTAGATGGGACCTCCAACGGCTACAATATATGGGCGTCCAAGGCATGCAGTCAACTACATGAATCTTCCTTGGATACTAACCTGTGTACCGGCAATTGAGTTCTGCTTCGAAGAACCTCCATACGTACAGCCACTTCTTGAATGACCATATTACATACTAACATATCGCCCCCAAATCTTACATGAATAGAAGGTCCTCTGTAGCGGGCAGGCTACACTTGAGCATTCTCTAGTACACCAGGTATATTTAACTAAAAATTGTGCAGAATTGATAAGTTGGCTTGTCTATTGGTATACCTGAATTACTTTAGAGTACTGGTAGCTTGATAAAGCAAGGGGTTCTATGTGCATCTGGTTGTGAATGCTCGGACTGTTTAAAGGGTGTCGTTGCACGCGCGCTAGCCGCCCTTATCTCCTCATGCTAAAAACTAAGAGGGATACGGGCTACGCACGACACGATTTGTTTTGGAAAGTACTAACTAGCTTTCTAGTAAGCTTGTATCGAGTCGGGAACACAGTGCCTCCTTGGAGGGGCCAACGACGCTTGCCAGTAGGCAGCATTTCATGCTTCGATGCAGCTATTTCCCACTCATCTACTAGCTGAGAATGTCAGGATTCCCTACAACACTTGACAGGGTTCAATAAAGCTACCTAGTACTCCAAAGAACTTCTGTTTTTGCAACAGTCTGGCGAAAGACCTCTGATGATTCAAGAAGACGGGTAGCACAGCGCCTCTTAGGGCAGCAGGTGCTGGCAAGCAGGTTGCTGTCCACGCAGGAGCTCCACAGACGATAAAAAGGCGCAATTGGCTATCTGTCAAAGTGTTTAAACCCGTTGATGCGGCGGATACCATGACAAGGAAGCGTAGTTGGCGGCTTACAAATCCTCCGATACTCGCATTGCCCAATTATTGGCTATATTTCTTCTGAATAAACAATGCTAACGATAAACCGGTTGGTACCATCTCCCCCAACAGGCTAGGGGTCTCCAAAATACCAAAGTGACGCTTGTTCTTCTCGTCGCTTCACCTCAACCGAGTAGCGGTATCCATTGAAGGGAAAGTATGTGGTGTGACGGGGGGATAAAACCACGTTTGAGCTCAATACAAGTCCATTTTAGGCCTTGCCGCTGCTGTGATGCTCCTCAGAAAGTTGCTCAATCATTCATAATTAATGTGGTACACAGGTTTCCCAGGTGTACCATTACAGACAGGAATGCGAAATTCGTTACTGCATTCTGGCATACCTTTAGGACCGGCCTTTGCATTAACCATATTATGACCACTACGAACCACCGATATACCTTAGCAGACAAAGTGCACCAACTGCATTTTTCTTCAGTATCTGCGGCTCTATGCTCACAGAAAAACTCAATTGGTTGGCTTGAATGTTTCCTGCGGTGAGTGGGTTTATAATGCCATCGTACTTTAGTCTACTTGTTGCTCTTCAGCATCCCTGACCTACACTGAGAAGCGACTCTCCGATCCAAGGCTGGACCGGGCGGTCCGCAATTGGCAGCCACCCTTAGCTGCGGATAAATTCAGACAGCAGCTCGCTAGTTCACTCGAATGCATGCACGAGACAAGCAGGGGATCATGATGAGCGACGGTCGTTTTTGTACATTGAGCCCGGAGATTTGGCTCCAGGAGATCCACAGACCCAATGAGGCGCGCCAGAAGATATGAGACAAACAGTTTTCCCGCAAGGTCGCAAGGAACATTTGTGATTCTCTCAAGAAGCAATGTTCTCTCGTACACTATCAATTTCTCGAAACACTGGAGGTGACACAGCAATTTTAATATTGACCTCTTAAATACGTGTTTTAAAAATCTCGAATTTTTCCCAGACTCTGCCGTAAAGGCAAGTGACCCATATGTAAGCGCAGGATGCACAGAGATCGGTGGTAGTGCTGGATATGACTGTTGAGCATCGAGGACACTAGACAGGGGCTTCTAGCGAAATGCGTTGGGAAATGCCGACCTCAGGTGGTTGACCAAGGAGGATCACGGTTTTCTTTCCTACGGGAGAATTTTCGGCCCTGCTTGCTTAGCAACGACAGCTGCCAGGGGGCGATATTCTTTGCATTCCATAGTAATATCCCCTCCCCAGCGCATGCTCTGCTTAAAATAGGTATCTTCATCAATGAATATTGCTTGAAGCGTTCCTCGCTATCACATTTTTAGGATTTCGCTTTACTCAGATTTATGCGCAGGCAGCGTCGCATAAGTGTGCCCTTTAATTTTTGATTATAGCTTTTATTTTGTCGACTGTGCTGCATGCACCGGCTGCACTGGCATGCGTACTTAGCTGTATGAGGCGCGCAGGCAACGCTGAAGTAGTGCGGATTTTGTTTTCCATTACTCATTGAATGTGCCTTTTGCATCCTTGTAGAAGACGGCTAAAGCATTTCAGTGCTCCGACAACAGCGAGCCATCGCGCTGCCGCTTTCGCGTTAGCTTGGTTCTCGTTCGTTGTTGGCCAGTGCATGTGTCTTTCTTCTCGTCGAGTTCTCTGTAGCGGCTAATGAACGCATTTGTTTTTCCCATTCATACTGTTTCTCGCGTTTTTGTGCACCTGGGAAGTGACAATAGGGTGGACTCTCTTCCGCTATCCTGTATGCAGTCGGTCTCGAAGCACGGGTACGGAAAGCGTGCGCGAGTATTTTGAAATGAGCGGGGGAGATGTAAGGAGCTGAAGTTACATTTTGACACTGTAACTGAAAGTATTGGGCAGGGGAACGAGGAATTCATGCTGATTTGCACTCAATAGCTTCTTCTTCAGCCGATCCTGGCTGTGGAGTGCAGTGCGCATACTACAGAGAATAAACATGGAGCGCTACGGGTATCCTAAGATTTTCCTTCCTTCCCTAAAGCCAGAATACTTGTGGAGCGAGGGCAGTGTGGGGTAGGCTTTTTGAAGGAGCATTAAACATGTTTCTCAAAATTGAGCGCAATCTTGAGAGTGAGGGTAGCTGTGTAAGCACTTTAGAGGGAACACCTCAACCCATGACGAGTGCTACACAGAAATTTCTGCATCGGTGAAGCGAATAGATCTAGATAGCAGAGTATATAAGTGTTGCGTGATGAAACACCACGCATTTATCCAAGGCACATAGACACTGTGGTGCGCTAGAATTAAATGCAGACCTGACGTCATGGTGGCACCCCAAGAGTTACAAAAAATACAACAACCTGCTGCAAATGCAGTTTCAATGCAAGCGAATCGCAAAAAAAATGTTCCAAAGCTTTTTCAACGCGTGTATATCAGTCCCCCATATTCACGACGGAGGCTTTGACGGCAAGCCTCGCAATCAGTCGAATAAAGAGAAAAAAGAAAGGATACAGGCATCGTATGTCTTTCTTTATCGATAAGAAAAGCGATTTATCATACTGTTTTCATTGGGGTTGGGCGACGGTGAGGGAATAGAAGCTTTATCCTACAAGCATTCCCTGGATGCATCGTAGCCTTCCCACATGCACACTCGCATGCACCGACTATGGTGCTATAAAACTAAAGTTGTGGGCTCTAAAAAGCCATGTTCATCCAGAGTATACACTTTGCAGTGCGCCTAAACGGATTGTTAGCAGAGGGCCATGGCCCAGCGAATCAACCAGGGGACTTTGTGTTTGAAAGCATACCGGGCACCTCCTACGAAGAGCTTCTTGGGGGATACCAGCCAATAAGAGAGCAACCACCCCTTAAAAAAGAATATGCATCTTTGTGTTTTGGTTGCAGGTGACTCGTTTTGTTTGACTTGGAACATACAGAGTGTGGTTCAGTCGCCGACGCTTCCTTGCCATAGGGTGTTTTGGGCGAGTCGCCATTCCGCGCCACCAGGTCCGACTATTGTACTTCTATAGGGGCTCCTTTTTTCCATAATAACATGTGTGGAGTTACTGCCATATTACTCTCACCTCTGGAGCAGAGTGCCCTAAGGCAGCTGTGCCTGTCTCGCTCGAAGCTCATCCGGCATCGCGGCCCAGATTGGAATGGCATTGAAGTAATAAATTATGGAGGCAACCGCATCCATGCCTTAGCCCATGAGCGCTTGTCGATTGTTGATCCAACTTCCGGAAAGCAGCCTCTGAATGACCCGGACCGTGTTGTCGTATGTACTGCCAACGGCGAGATCTACAACCATATGCAGCTGCGGAAGCAGCTTGATCCTCGCGAAGCACAGAAGCTTGAGACCCTATCTGATTGTCAGGTGATTCCATCACTATTTAAGCAGTTTGGGAGATGTTTTGTGTCTATGTTGGATGGCGACTTCGCGATCGTAGTCGTTGACAGACGCAACGGAGATTTCCTTGTCGCGCGTGACCCAATTGGTATATCGCCCCTTTATGTTGGCCATGCGGCAAATGGATCTATCTGGTTTTCATCTGAGGTCAAGTCGTTGCAGCAGGACTGCGTCAGAGTACGGGAGTTTCCGCCTGGACACTCATTTTTTTTTAAGGCATCCAAGTCTTCAGGCATAATGGAACGGTACTTTCAACCAGCGTGGATGCAACCAGATGCATGTATCCCACAGACTTCGTGCGACCTAAGCTTACTCCGCGCAGAGCTTGAGAAGGCTGTTAGCAAGCGCATGATGTGCGATGTGCCATTTGGCATCTTGCTGTATGGCGGCATCGATTCGGCTATCATTGCATCAATCGTCTGTAGGCTCTACAACGACAGATTCAAGAATGAACAGAACGATCATTTTTGGACCCCCAAGATCCACTCTTTTGCCATTGGCGTGAAGGGGTGTATGGATCTAGAGTGCTCACGGATGGTGGCGAAGCACGTTGGCTCCACCCACCACGAGTTCACTTTTGAATTGCAGGAGGCTATCGATGCCCTCTCAGACCTCATTTACATGATCGAGTCGTACGATGTCTTAACCGTGCGTGCTGCTTTGTTGAACTACTTCTTATACCGCCTCATCAAGAGTATCGGAGTAAAAATGGTGATCACGGGTGAGGGGGCTGCAGATCTGTTCGGCTGCGCTGGAGATATGCAAGAAGAACGCGATCCCGTGGTACTACATAGGGCGATCGTGCGCAGAATGGCCGACATGCACTTCACGGATTCACTCAGGGCTAACAAAGCATCCATGTGCTGGGGTGTTGAGGCCCGCGTGCCGTATCTCGATGTAAACTTTGTTGAATATGCAATGTCCATCAATCCCGGAGAGAAGTTGTGTGGTCAAGGGCGCCTTCCCAAGCAGCTCCTCAGAGATGCTTACAAGGATGAGCTTCCGCAGGCCATCATTGATAGGATCCGTGTGGACAACCAGTTTGGCGTGTCTTACCAGTGGACTGACGCCCTGAAGAAGCACGCGGAGGACAAGGTGACCGACTTGATGCTGAGCAATGCTGACATTTTGTTTCCATATAACCCTCCCAAGTCAAAAGAGGCCTATCTGTACAGAAGCATTTTCAGTGGGCACTTCCCCGATCAAAGCGTAGCAAAGATTGTCCCAGGAGGGCATGGCGACTCGAAGGACGGCCTTATCAGCCCTGCCACGAAGGTCCTTAATGGCTTATGAGTCGAAAAAGTGAGCATGGATGATTATCGAACGCCGAGTACAGAAGTGTAATATTATTTCCCCATACAAGCACCGTTCGAGTATTTTTGGTGTATTTACGAGGGTTTAAGTGCACGAGTATTTTTCAAGCCTAATTTGTGATCATGGAGTGCTCTCCTTCGACGGCGTGCATTAAATGGGCAGCTGTCTTTTTAAACCTACGGAGCAGACAGCTAGGCCCGGTCTGGTCTTACGGCTCACTGTGCACTTTTACACACGTACAACGGCTCTGGTGGCAAGCGTCGTGACTCCACCCCGCCTGTGTAGCTACATATCCTCCAACAAATAAGTGCTTGTTGTGCCACTGCTTTGTTAGAGTTAAGGCGACAGAGTGGGTACTACAGGAAGCGTTCATACAGTGGGTCTCTGCAGTATTATTCTTTGCTGCTGCAAGTGCTTGTCAAGTACCAATTTTCCCTAGCGATTTTGGTAGTGCAAGTAACAAAATATTATATAAAGTTAAAGGGATAAAAGCAGCTACACACTCTGCAGCGTTGGGAATCGATAACAGAGTCCCTGAAAATATTCAAGGTTCGGGCAGCTTCTTGAGGTGACGACATTTGGACATATGCGTAGCCCAATGATTTGCTAGTTTCCTCGTCCCGCACTACGCGAATCGACTGTACTGTTCCAACACGCGAAACAAGCTTGTACAGCATGGCCTCCGTAGTTGAGAACGTCAAGTTATCGAACAGCAGCGTATCGCTGCCGCTTAAGTAAGCGGCTTGGGCTGTGAGTGAGTACACAAGCAAATGCACATGTTTCGATCTTGCATTTAGTTTGGCGTTACTGGCGTAGCCTACTGCTCCTGTGTTACTGCTCATTATCGTATATGATACAGGAATATGGTAGACTCACGGCAGAGGACACTGCTTTTAACCCACATAATGGTTCTCCTGCCACACAATTGGAGCTTGGCACAAGTTGCAATTGCTTCTTTTGCTGCCCTTGCAGATGCGAATTGTACAATCGCGTAGCCGGCAGACATCGAATCGCTGCCCTTGGGTATGGTGACGCGTAGAGTCTTCACCACTCCTTGTAAGGCACTGTGCAGCTGGCTTTCCGTCACCCGCCGGTCAAGATTCCCCACATGAAGTACAGCATCCTCTTCATCTGAACACAGGTGCATTTTTTTAAAACCGCCCTTGTTCGGTGATTGCCAATACCGACTTTTTTAGTTGCCCCTTGTCAGCTCAATTGAAGCGACATGATCCGACAGTCAACCTCACTCATGCTATTCCTTTACTCAGCCGAGCGCTTTGGTGAGTTTACCTTCAACTTGAATTGCCACGCTTATTGACCCTGAAGCAGGTTCTGCTTCCAGACTTTTGGAATCCCTGGGGACATGACCCACAAGAGCAACCGATTCGCCATGTATACACATAAATTTTATGCAGCCAATGTTGTTGCCCTCATCGTGGCACTGGGGCACACAAGATGGAGTATGTCCACAATATCATGCTCTTAAAACAATGTGCCGTTACACAAACTATTCATGTGGAGCACTGAAAATACTTCTCAGTGAATCAAGCTGCTCATCTGGGCCCAAAAATGAACCATTCACAATGTCAGCATAATATGCCACTACAGAACATACTGCAGTTGTTGGGTGTGGGTGGCGGCGTGCGAAACAGACAGACCACCATAAAGATTGGCCCACCTGGATGTACTGAGAGAGTTTAGCATGCCACTAAAATTCCTTGTATGATGCATAAGGAAGCATTTGACTCCACGCTTTCGGGGGAGGGGCGATGCCTTCCACGACACGCCAGCTACCGTGTTTGCAAAAAGTAGCGCAAATGGCGCTCTCAGGGAGTTGCAGCACTCTTCTGTGCAAATCCTTGGTGAGGGCTTGTAATGGTGGATCTTGAAGTGGCTTTTCCTCCCAGAAGCCTCACCTATAGAGGCGAGGTTAATCTCCACTGTAACGTAGGGCAACGTAACGTCACAAATGCTCGCAGTTGAAATAAGGTGAAGGATCAACCAAACCTAACTATGAGGAGATCCAGATATTCCAAACACCCTGCACACTATTGCCCCCTAAATCCAGCAGGCAGAATACGGTGGAGCTACTAGCGTTCGTCAAAGGATTGGATAAAAGAGAAAATGCTTCACAAAATGTTTAAGCCAGTCAGCAAGCATTGATAAAGCCAGATATGGCTCAGTACAAAAGTGTGCCAGGACTCAGGAGCCAACAAAGGGCAACTCTCCTCACGCACTGTCGTCTCGCCCTGAACATAGCCTACCCAACTCAAAAGATCCGCTAGGATAATACCTCGATCTGCCACTCAACTATTTGTATTTAAAATTCATAATTATCATCTGAGAAATTATATTCATACAGGACTTGGTTTCAAGCGTCGTTGCACCTTAACGACCGTTTCGCCTCACGTGGCATCTGTGTTCGGCAGACCAGCAGTAGAGGGGTGTTACTCTGCAATCCAGGGCATTTACCGCATTCCCCTTAAATGATGCTACGTTTTCTAAGACTTTGCTGGCCGACACATTCAAATTGCACCAGAGAGCTCGTCAAAACCTTCAGACACCTTGTATACTTGTCTCGAAGCCCTGCAAGAACTGCAAGTGCCAAGCTAGGCGTCTCCGCTGCAGTGTATGGGCCGTTTCGTTCCACGTCTTTCATTAGAGAGAGCTGCATGTATGGGGGTGTTAGTGTCGAGGAGGAAGTCGCTTCTGCTTTACCTCCCGCAGCATTTACTACAAAGCTTTCCTAACGACTCCTTACACGCTGCTGTTGCGAAGTAATTAACCGAGCATGTCGTGCACAAACATGGAGAAAGAAAGCATGAGATGTTTGTTAAGTGCCGCTAGTCAGGCTCTAGAGTCCCGTGGTGTCATTGGGTCACTGCGCGCCCGGCTACAGGCTGAACTCTTCAGTGCTCTGGAAGAGAAGGTAGGTACCAGAACAATGAGTATCTCACAATCTTTAGATCAGGCAATATGTAGAGTTAATACTGAAAAGCCACTTTTGCAACTGTGTTTGCGCCCGCATCCATGCCAACTGCAGTCGCCAGCGAGCGTTGTGGTACCACCAGAAGCACGCCTCATCAACGAGCTAATATGCGAATACCTAAGTTTCAGCCACTATAACCATACCCTCTCTGTCTTCATGTCTGAGGCTGAAATGCGAGGGAGTGACCGCCTTACAAGAGCTGCAATGTGCTCTATGCTAGGAATTGCAACTCCTCGAAGCGATAAAATCATGTGAGTCAGGCACGCAACGCCACCATGTAGAAGATAAGCCCTTCACTCCATAGTACACCGTCCTAGGAGACAATTTGGTCTGGGGCTACTTTGTGCGCTTATTTGCAGCCCGCTATTGTACTTTTTAACAGCGCCGGATAGTGTTGACCATCAGAGGCGTATGTCTTTCGAAGATTAGAGCTTCAGCCAATATATTCTCCGAGTTGCATCGATACATTAATACCCGATGGACGGTAAGGTAGCCGTGCTTTTACATGCGGCGAAACCACTGAAAGCGGGCTATCCTACTGCTTCTGCCCTAGCGGGTTGCTGGAGAAGAGGGACGATCGCTTGCAGACAGATCAGCTCTTTCCATTTGTTTCACAGTCCGGTGAAACAGGGTTCGCTTTCAAGACCGTATACCGAAGGCTAGATATATCAAGAGGTAGTTCCTAATGGGTCCAATACGTATGACGGTCGGTGGTGAGGAGTTTGCAATTTCACCTCCGATGCGCCAAAAACTAAGGAATGATTACCGAAACATGCAAAACCCAAGGAAACTGATTTTAACAAAAGAAACATTCGTTTTCAAATTCAAGATGCAGTATGCATGTATGCATGCTATAACAGTCTGCATGTACACTAGACTACCCACTCATAGGGTTGACAATATTCAATGAGGCAATTGTTTAATAGTTGACCTAGAAGTGATTCAATGCCGGTTTACACTTTGTTCCTGTTCATAGCGTGCAATTGGGCTACCAGCCTTGCACATAATGTCCGAAACACGAATAATCGCCCACCATTTGCTTTCGTGCCACCAGTACAGGAACATATTGATCATAATTTCATCCCACAGAAATTGTACACTAGAACTGCTCCAGAAGCTTCAGAAGCTTCAGAAGTGCAGGAAAAACTAATGCAGGAGGTTCAACAAGCGAAAGAAGATATTGAGGAGACACTTGAAAGCACACCCCATGTGGAACAACCGGATAAGGAAAAGGAGGAAAAAGCGCGCTCTAAGGGCAACTTTCTCACGGATATTATTGAAAAAGCATCAGCAATATTTTCTGTGCTTAATTTTTGGTACATATTCGGTGCGTTTCTGTTGTTCAACTACAAATCACAATGTGAACTTGATATGCCCTGTAATCAGAGAAACTATACCGAAAGTCGACAAGCCAAGATGTGCAACCCGCGTTCGGTGCGTTTCTGTTGTTCAACTACAAATCACTGTAAATTTGATATGCCCTGTAATCAGAAAAACAATACCGCAAGGCGACAAGCCAAGATGTGCAACCCCCGAGCGAAAATGATCAAGGTGTTCGAGAATCGACACAATTTCAAAACGAAGTGCTCCACGATATCCAGCAAGTATGGCAAGATCTTTGTCCGCTTGTGCTGCAGAATCACCTGCAATGGGTGCTGATGCTGCAGAAAACCGAGAGTTCACCTCTCACAGTTAGCGAGATCCACGAGCTCGAAAAGGTTTGTTGCTTTCTAAACCATTGGCCAGGACCACCGTAGCCAAATGTGCCTTTACTTTCAGGCGATGACGCCTGTAAGGAATGAAATAATAATAGTGTTGAGGTCTGCCAGTCGATTTATGATTATGCTAGCAATTACCGCGGGACTGCGTCCGTGATTATTCGGTCCAATGCCCGGAAGGCTTCGTCCAGCAAGCAACGGATTGCGTTGCCTCTGATGGTTACAAGGGGCCTTGCGACAAGCACCAGCCTGAGCTGTATCTGCTCAGCGACTCGGCAAAAGCATCCTGGTCCTGGGCGTGCAAGGCCAAATATCCTTGTATGCCCGACAACTGCCCATCGGGAACTGACTATTCGCAGCCATGCCCACTCGGATGGCATGCAGGAAACAATGCAGAATGCACTACCGCTGATTCTGCGCTGCAGTGCGATGAAAAAATCACAGCTTCTGCCGACAGCACAGCTAAAGCTAAATGGGAAAAAACGTGTGGAGTTCGCTGGCCATGCAAGAAGACAAAGTGCGTGAAGGATTACGACGCGAAGTGCCCGGCTTTGTGGTCTGAAGCCGAATCTGGGGTGTGCAGAGCGCCCAATACATATCAAGGGCCGTGTCCTGCAACGGTGGATCTAGCAGCTTACCAAGGGAAAGCTCACATGAAGAGGATGTTTGAGAAGCGGTGTGGAGTGTCGTGGATTTGTAGAAACAGCACGCTTGAAAGGGAACGGGATTTCTCAGTGCCTTGCCCTCTGGGATGGGAGCTGCTCGAAGACGGTTCATGCAGAGCTCCTCCTTCGTACACATTCACAGAAAACTGCCCCAAAATCGTTTCCTTCGTCGGCCGCAGACCGGATGATCGGCAAGCTTACGCAACTCTCTGTAATGTGGACTTCCCATTTCGCGGTAAGCAATCCAACGCCCTGTTGCTGCCGCGACTGCGCAATTTACGCGCTTGCAAAAGATAGGGGCTCGTGCGAACTCGATTTTTCGTTCGTGTGCCCGCTGGGCTGGGTGGACTCGGGAAATGGCCAGTGGTGTCAAGCGCCATCAAGTTACACAGGGAACTGTAAGCAGCTTTCCTGCACCGTGTTCTACCTTAGAAACCACACATTAGGTCGTAGGCTCTCGGCGAATGACATTTCTGAATATGTCCGATAAGCAAAAGCAACTAAAAATGTCGGAGTGCTCCATCGAGTGGCCATGTAAGCGCGTGCCAATCGAAATGCATTAAAAGTCCTTTTTATCGCGCTTTCAGGTGTTGGAGAGAGCAACGAAATCGCCATGGTAGGGAATTATTGAGCCTCTTTATTTGCGCTGTTCAAAATTCTTGGACCAGCAAATAGCACTGTACCGCAAACCCCTTCTGGCAGAAGTGCTGCCCGTAGAGCAGAAGAACGGACCTCTGGACGACTCTGGCAGCGTTCACGTACAACTTGGGGATTCTGACATTCCACAATCCGGTTGACGGTACGCTGTGTGTTACAGTGAGGCAGTTTTGATTAGGCTGCTTGCCACTAAAGACTATCTTGGTTGTCAGCTCTTCCACCCTCTCTACCTGCCTGCTGCAATTAGACGCATGGTGGCAATGATGATGCCAACGCACTCATCACTCCCAAGATCTACAAGATGTGCCAAAAAAATATCGATACACAGCGTCTAATGTGGGTAGCGTGGGAGCCGAAAGCAGCAACGCACATGGAGAGAATGCACCCGCAAGTATTCTTACTTACGGTTAAGGGTTCATAGAGAAATTCTGAACGCTACAACGCTCTTTCTCCAAGCAACTCAATGAAAGCCGCAGGCTCGATTTTCCGGCATCGCCGCGGTTGTGTCAATTTGGCACGTTAGCTGTTTGGGTGAGCCGAAGAGATTCGTTCCCGCGGAGGCACAGCAAAATAATTGCGTGTGCATACCCAAAGAGCTCTGAAGCAGCCGAGCTTACACTAGAGCTGCTGGTGGCCATATAGAGCGAATAAAACCCTCGACCACTGCTATCACCCCCTTTTCCTTGCTCAAAAGTTCACGTCCAGTTTGGCAGCGAGAAAACACGGCGACACCACCTTAGGGTCTTTTATTTCGTTTTCAGTGCTGCCTGGCATTTCCTCTCTCCTCTCGCATCCAGTCAACAAAGTTGTCGATGACCAGCGGCCATGCGCCATCGTCCTCGTACTCCTGCAAAGCCCGATCTATGTTGTCTTCGGCTGTTGCCTCGATCCCTGCTGGTGCTTGGGAAGTCAGAGCGAATTCCAGGACCATTAGCCACGCGTCCTTCGTGACGCTAGACAAGTTGGAAATGCATTCAATGTACTGCAAAAAGTGGCTGAACAAACACCAATTCAGGGGTTCAATGAGGAGCCTCCAGTACGCGATGGCCAGTTCCGTCGGAAGCTGTTTCTGCATTGGTTCCAAAGAATATGTAAACGCGTAGCTATAAACTTTTCTCAAGAGCCCAAGATCGTCGAAGAGTGCCTTGCGAAGGGTCTGTACGCTGTCCTTCAGTGCCGTGAGCGTGTCCAAGCCCAGGGATTTAAGCCCCCGAAAAAAGTCGTCTCTTGTAATGACCCCTTGAGTCCGGCACCCGCAATGGAATGCGAACACTAAGAAAAACACATCGTCTAGGCCAACATCCAAGTGGTCAGAAAGCCGCTCCAGTCCTCCTTCCTTTATTGCCTTCAGCGATGGACTTCCTGTTGGGTCAGCGACTGCGTATGCATCAAAAAACTCGGCGATTTTCTTCTCATCGACTCTTGAAGGCCCCTCCACACGCCCGACCTCCGTGCCATGCCCTAGAACAATTCGCCTCCTTTCGGCCGATAAGCTGTAGAAACTGTCGATGGTTCTTTCAAGGTTAAAGTTGTTTTGCCGCAGCAACTCAGTGGCTGCCTTTTTGGTGCAACCCGTGATATCTTGAAGCTGCTGAATTGCACAACTGTGACGCTGGTTTGAGGGCAGCATCGGGCAGTGCTCCGCAGATGCAGAAGAGTAGCGGAGTCGGTGTCTGACTGCGGGACAACTGAGAGAAACGCCACCTTCGCTGGAGAGACACTGCACCAAAACTAGTGGCCGTGCTTTTGGACTGCTCAAAATGAAGCAGCACACAGGCCAGCATGCACAGATGGCCGTAATAACACGACTAGGGCCGATTGACCCACTGCAACAGTGAGATTTGCCCGTCAAAAGCCGGGGCGTCCCTCATGCACGAAAACCAAGGAACCGCATTGCTAGCTTATTCCGTAGGATTTTCTAGGATACACTGCCGCAAGCTATGGCTAAAATGCGCCGAGTCTGAAAACAAACTGCCCGATATATAATCCGTAATTGCACCTCTCACGGAACACATTCGGCATTACCGGTGGACACGGACACCCTCAATTAGAATGTGTAGGGCAGCTGTGCGAAATGACATAGCAGTATCACTTCTCACCTAGAGACTTTATTAGTAAATAACAAACTGTTGTAGAGGCACCATTCTGCGTGACCTGTTGCTTCCGCGGCGGGTGCGCGCCTTTTGGGCCTGTAGGCTATTGCATGCATAGGTACCAGCGAATTGCATAGTTCCAATGAATTATAGACAAGTAATGGGGTGTTTTTGTACAAAACGTGTGCCTGATTCGTTGATTTGCTGCCCTTCTGCAGAGGTGCATAATTTTTGTGAGCTGCCCTTGAATTTCCTGGCCCCCCACAAGTTGCGAGCCATCATCGACGGGACTCAAACAAAGTGCTTGCTATCTCTATTATGACCTGAGCCTCTTTGAGGAAGATTTAGACCTCATTACAGGATTCTGGAGGGCGCATCTGCCATGTGTCTCGATGAGGCATGCCAAGGTAGCCGACGCTCAGTCTTCCTCAGAGCGCTATGACAGACAACTTCGTATTTGGGGGGATGGGGGGCAATTGCGTTTACGGAATGCCAACATTTTGATCCTGGGATCTGGCACAACGGCGACAGAGGCACTGCGCAACCTGGTTCTGCCTGGTATTGGGCAGTTCGTGGTGGTTGACGACTCCAGGGTTGTGCTTTCGGACGTGAATGAAAACTTCTTTTTGTCTCCCGAGGACATTGGCGACTTGAGGTGCCGCGCCATCGCCAAGCGGGCGGTTGAACTGAATCCTGCAGTACGCGGAGAAGCTTGGGGTCTCAGCGCCTACGAATACTTGCTGCATCATGCCCGGTTGAAGGCGTGCGCCTCCAGCGAGAGTTTCCCTCTACCGCCAGTGTTTTCTTTTCCTGATGGATCAAATGGACTTGAGATGGCGCGCCCCCCTCCGATTTGTGCATTTGATGTGGTGGTTTCCTCCCTGATGTCGGCAGAAGCTGAAGAAGAGCTCTTGCGGATCTGCAGTCAGGAAAGCCCCGCGTCTCTGCCTTTCGCTGAGGAGTGCACAACTGAGCTCTCTCTGAGTGCCGCCCCTCCAGACGTCCGTGAGGGGAGAGGGCATGCGCGTCGCCAGGTGCCAGTGGTTTTTATTGGCTCTCTGGGGTTTTTCGGTTGGGTCAGACTGTGGGCAGGAGAGTACTGCCTGGTGGACACGAAGCCAGAGAGCTCCCCTGTGGACCTTCGCATTGCAAATCCATTCGCACAGCTCCTGGAGTTTGCCTCATCGTTCGACCTGGACAGCATGGCAGACAGTGAGCACTGTCACGTGCCGTTCATCGTCATTTTGATCAAGGCAAGTAGCTCCCCTCCGCTAGCAACTCCCATCAGCTTAAATCCGCGTTTACCCGCCCGTATGGGGCCACGACGGGTGAGTGTCAGTCGAAGATTGAATGGCCGAAAGCAGATTGTTCGCGGGTTCCTTTATCGCTGTTGCTTTATGGGATGGCCAGGCTGTCTGTTCACTCCGAGGGCTAACACCTAGGGAGGCGGCTACTGCTGCTGCTGAAGGGACCCTTGATAAAGTATTCACCTTTCCCGTGGAGAGCGATGTGCGCCAAAAAATAAAAGACACTGTTCTCCGGATGCAAAGGTCTCACGATGAGGCAAACTTTGAGGAAGCCTTGGCAAACGTCTATCGCGCCGTAGGACCCGTGCGCCCCAGTGAAGAAGTTGTACAGGTGGGCTTTGGAACAGTCAGTCTTCTTGAGCCACAGCATCACAAAAGAAAAGGTTTCATAGCTTCTGAGCATTACCATCCCGCAGTCTAGGCGGTACAGGAGAGATGCCCAGGGCAGGCCCCTGCGGTTATTGTTTGGCGAATCCTCTTCAGATAATGATGACAGCCTCGAGTCTTCCAGCTCCATCCAACACCTTCTGGGGGCTCTGCAGGGCACTCCACAAGTTTTTCATGTCGGAGAAAGCGCTGCCTGTCCGCCGCTTGACAATGGACATGACGGCGGACACCTCCAGCTACGTGGCACTCCAGAGGGTTTACGCACAGAAGGCGCTGGAAGACGAACAGAAAATGCGAAAACTCGTAGACGAAGAACTCCGCCAACACACTGATGGAGCTACGCCACCCCCTGCCCCCTCGGTAGAGGAGCTTCAATGCTTTTTAAAAAATGCGGCAAACATTAAAGTTATCAGGTAACGTCCCAAGCATCCAGTTGTCTACGCAAATCCGCAAAGTACCGCATGTGTCAAGTACGCATCATGACACCTGTCTCACTACACAATGCCTATGGCGTGCTCAAGGCCAGTATCGTGGACAGCAGCGTCCGCTGAACAGAGATGGTCTATGCGTGCGTAACTGCGCGGGTTGCTTTAGGTACCCAAGAGCGAGCGAACATACATTTGGCTCGGCCTCTCAGAAGTTGCTGGCAGCAGCTGCACAGAACTTGAGCCAAAGCATGCAAGAGCCCTGCGCAGGTGCCGATGCTGACGAGAGTGGGCAGCACCACATCCCGTGGTTTATTGCAGTTTTGGCCTGCAAGGCTGCCGCCGACAAGAGAGGCAGGTTCCCAGGAACGCTGCCGGAAGTGACCTATCCTACAGGGGAGCCTGAGAGAAAGCCTAATGATGCAACTAAAACTGCGTGCACACCAGCTCCCAACCAGCTGCTCGGGTACGACGCGGATCTGGCAAGCGACATCGCCGCTGTGACGGAGGAGGTAAAAGCTATTGAAAAGATACTGGGGTCTAAGTTGACCGTAGCCAAGGAAATCATTGAGCAGGTCGTGCGCTACCGCGGCTCAGAGTTTCCGACAACAGCGGCGCTGATCGGCGCAGTCGCAGCGCAGGAAACTATCAAACTGGTATGCAGGCAATTCGAGCCACTCAACAACACATTCTTGTGGAACGGTACAGAGAGACGCGGGGTGACGTTGGAGATATGACCCGCACAACTTCAACTAAATTTCGACTGCGCCCCAGGGCACCTTTTCTACCACTATGCAGCTTAAGAGGGACTGCGCCAGTTATTCCTGCAGAACGACACGCACACAACACACCCCACCACAGCTCGAAACCGCAGGCTGCGTAGCCTAGTACAAACATCCAGTACAGGGGCACAGCCCACTATACATTAAACACAATATTCAGTGAACGTGCCCAAAGTTGAGGTACAGTCACAGAAACCGATAGCACCTCAGGCAAGGGACGCTGCGCGTTGTTGTTGCACAGACTCAAAAAGGGCTTAGTCACTGCATGGTCAGTACTTCCGCTGCAATACCCATGCACAAACACGGGTAGAGCGAAAGCGGCATACGATGGCCTCACCAAGCAGCCGGCTTTGCGTGCACACAAATATCCAAATGTTGCAAAACACAAACACTAGCCATCTAAAACGAACAAAAAAGGCAACTGGAGCACCACCAGATGCCCGCCCGCTAAAAATCTCATGGAGCCTAATCAGATTATAGCGATACTCAGCAAAGCCTCGTCGCCGCAGCGCCGGACTATGTCCGCCCATCGCATGATGGCTCATCCACAGGCTTATCTTCGAATGCGTTGGCCTGCCAACAGCATCTCACGTTCAAGCACAGAAGAGGCACGCAATTTAACCACGCAATAAAATCTTGTTCATCAGACACCTACGGCATCATAGACTCTAGTTCCTTAGTCATCAGATCAGCGCCAACAAAAGATATTACAACACAAAAACAGAATACACACGCCTGCGCCACTCAGACACAAAGAGACTCGTGTTAATCAGACGCCTACGGCATCATAGACTCTAGTTCCTCAGTCATCAGATCAGCGCCAACAAAAGATATTACAACACAAAAACAGAATACACATGCCTGCGCTACTCAGACACAGCCAAGAGAGTCTTGCTAATCAGACGCCTACGGCATCATAGACTCTAGTTCCTCAGTCATCAAAATCGCAAGGCTGACATGGGACGAACTTTTTTGGCCACTCATCCGCATGTACCTTCATTTTCCCCGAAATCACAAAAGGCAACCGCCTTGCGCAAGTGATCAGGGCACCACATTCTTTAATGCACTCGAAGCGGCAACCACCAGAAGAGCACACCTTACCGAGAAAGATGGAGAGAAGAGTGGTCTTCGCAGGCATGCCCCAAACCTGCTAATTGTCGTGTAATTAAAAAAAGGAAGCAAAGTGGAGACGCAAAGCTGTGAAGTGCTGACACTGCACAGCATGAAGGGGAATGGAGCGAGAGGCTTCTCCCCACAGTGGTGCCTGCTTGCGGGACGAGGGCCTCAGCCCCGTAGGGTCTGTGGGTGCCTCGACGTACGGCTGTGCACTAAAAGATAGAGCAGCTGGATTTTCGCTGGTATGCAGTAATATTTCCTGAGCGACGGACGCAGACTGGAAGTCAAGTGTGGATAACGGCAACATCATTTTGCTAGGGTCCCTGCACTTCAAGCCCAGTGCACATGAGTTTCTATTGCTATTAACAGGGTTACTGGGACTTCGATGCGTCGGTCATCTCTTAGCTCCATTGAGCTTTTGCTTTTATGACATGCAGCGTAACTCTAGCCATTCTGCGTGCTTGGTCTCTTTGAGCGCCGGGTGGCCAGCCCTTGTTGGGCGCTCTCTTCGGTTGTTGAATCGGGCATTAGTGCTTCGACAGTCGGATATCTCCTCGAGTACTTCGGGGAGGCTGTTGTGCGCCTGCTCCTAGGGAGCAGGGCGCTGCTTTCTGCGGCGCGTGTCTCTCCCTGGTGATGGTCCTCAGCTGCTTGTATCTTCTTCCGCGTAGACTCCCGTCGGCATCCCAGAGCCCCTAGACCGAAATGACGGGAGGACACACAACTTCCCTGCTTCGGTGGCAACACCATTTGCCGCAGTTGCGCGAAGTCCTCCGCAAGGCGGAGTTCGTGTCTCTGGACCTCGAGCTGACAGGTCTCCTCCATTCCACGCGTGCAGCAGGGGTTCAGAGAGGCTCGTTTCATCCACTAAGCCCTGTTTCTGGTCGCACTTGCGACTTTGCGTGTAGGACGATTGAAAATGCACTGCTTTGCTTGTCACGCAGGCCTGCACGCGCGGGCTGAGAAGTTCCTGGGCGTTGACCGCTGCTACGCTGCCCACGCAGCGGGTGCTCGCAGCTTTATGCCGGTGCAGTTGGGTCTCTGTGCAGCGCGGCGTTCAGGTTCGTCTCAGGCGCGTGGGGAAGGGGGGATTTCAATTCTAAGGACTCCAGAAACTCCCCGTGCCACAGCGTGGGAGGAACCGAATATGGCAACGTCCACAGAGAAAAAGCTGTAGGGCGAGCTCAACCCCATACTTAAACCCCCCACATGGCCTATTTTGCTGTTATTATCTGCTGTGTACTTTTCAGAAGCGGATGCGAGCCGGTGGGTCCTCACACCCGCGAGCATTTACATCTTTCCACGAGAGACTCGTGTCTTTCAGGTGCGTCGGTCTACCTACCCGAGGCCTCCCTCAAATCGCCAAAAGTGGCGGCGAATCCCTAAAAAGGGGAAAATAGACAGAAGCAAACATGATTGTATAGACCCAGCGAGAAAAATTCGAAAGTTTCATGGCAATGCAGTCCAATGAAGCCATGCTTGTGTTCATGCCTAACACCATGCTGCCTCCGTCTGGTGGTACCCTGACGGCTCAGGCAACGACCTCCACTTTGACTTTCCTGCGGCAAAACGCTTTCGATTTCAACGAATGGATTTCGCGAGGCGTTCCCTACACGAGGAGACAGGCACGTGGATCCGCCGCCCCTTGTTTCCCTTCCCTCTCCTGTGGGCCTCCTCCCTCCTTCTGAGAAGCTTTCCCGGCTACCAGAGGCAGATAGAAGAAGCCTCTGTGTTCATTCTGCGCCTTGGTATGCAGTATTCTCTGGGTGAGGCGGTCGGGGTCTCTGTAGCCTTTTGAGAGAGCTGAGGGCGCAGAAGCCCTGAAGACCCTTTTCTGCTTCCAGGGCAGTTAGGTACACCTGCTGTGTACATATGGTACGCGTTTATACGGCAGGAGGAGGAAGAGGAAAGCAGCACCTTACGGCGCCGAATTGAGGAGCTACGCGGTATGCTGGCCAGAGCATCGCCTGAAGCTCCGAGTAAGTGGCGGCACTGCCTCTCTGCTGCCTCAGCCTGCTGCGATTCCTGATCTGCTGCATGTAGCTGAAGTCCTCATGAGAGCACCTGCTTGGTCTCGTATGTCTACGATGCCGTGCGCTGTGGTGCTGCGGCAACTGCAGCTGCTCCCAGACCTCCTGTGGGGGAGCCCGGAGCGGCGGCTTTATTTGATGCCATGACGGAGGAGGACCGACAGTTGGCCGCCTCTGTGAGGGAATCGATCAGCACGTGGCTTAGCAAGGGCCCTCAGGAGCCGCTGGAGCTGCCAGTTGACAGCCCACTGCAACGCTTGTTGCTCCACTCCCTCGTCGCCGCGGAATTCCCCCAACTCTTCAGTAGCTCAAGCACCCGCGGACAGGACCGCGTCTTTGTCGTGTACACGTGAGCCGGGACTCTTACAGCAAACACCGACTGCAGGGGCTCGATAGACTGCAATGCCGCCCACGCAGCTCGTGGTAACAAAAGTGTACAGACGAATCCGGGTTTATCGCATGCGGCTGCCGGCAATGCGTATGTTGCTACTTTTGCGGCAGGACGGAGAGCCAAGTGTTTGAAGAGCAGCTGAGGCGGTTGCAGGGGGAACTGAAGGCCGTTGAGGCCGCTAGGGGGGCCCGCGAGCTCCTGGAGGCCATTTCGCTGGAGCGGCTTCTTGTAGTCGGCCACTGCTGCTTTTACGACTTTTTGCACCTTTATCAAAGCTTCATAGGGTGCGTCTTTTGCGGAACATCGACAGCTGCGGACTTTTTTCCTAGTGCACAATCAACTAGGCTAACTTTACCCCATTGCGTAGCGCGAATTCCTCTACTGGCGTCCTTAGGACAGGGATATCTCAGGTGACTGCTTCCGGATACGTAGCGCAGGAGAGTTGGGGTGACGGTGCAGGGATCTGCCTGATGGTGTCGGGGACTTTAAGAAGAAATGGAGTCAGCTCTTCCCAAGCTCGTTCGATACTAAGCTGCTGGCGGAAACCCATGAAGCTCTTGCGCCTTTGGGCATACCGCCCACCCTCAAGGGTGCGCTCTTATGAGAGTCTGATGCTTTGGCTCTGCCTCGGGCCGCCTCCCCCAGACTTGGGCCCTCCACTCTGGGCGTCAGATCTGCGTCATACGGCTGTCTCTGCAGGCCTGTGCGACTTGATGGTTGGCGCCTCAGTGGCCAGCCAGGCGGAGGGCTGCCTTGTGCCAACGCCTCGATTCGAGGTGGAGCCGTTGGATGGAACAATCTGGAGGTAAACACCATCGTAGCGACCCATACGTGTAGACGGTCTAAAGGAATTGCCCGCCACTGCGCAGGAAGGACCGTAGGAGGGACTGTCTGTCTGCAAGTCAACAAGGTTTTCTACTGGGGTGCACTACCGGTTTCAGGCTGGACTCTTCCTTTGCCTCCGTGGTAGTCAACAGCAGCTCCTCTCCTCCGCTCGCCGCAGCAACTGCATCAGCCGCCCTCCGTGGCCGCGTTTTTGAGGGGCCCGAGGGTCGACGGTCTGCTGCCGAGGACTTGCGCGGGAGGGGAGAGCTGGCGGAGACTGACGTGGAGAAGGACCCCGTCAGCGACTTGGCTCACGATGCCGGGTACGATAGTATGATGACGAGCATGGTCTTCCTCATGCAAATCTGCAGGGTTCTGCAGCACAGGGGGTTGTCCTGGGAAGACCTTCACTTCAGGTGGGCAATATTTTGAGGCACAGCAGAAGGAAAACAAGGCACGCTTAGCTAAGGGTGTTTTGGGGATCGGCACTTGCTGGACTCAGATCGTTGTCTGAAAATTTTACGTCTTCACAGTTTACTGGATTCTGAAAACGGCCTTGGCCTCTGTATCCGAGACAGCCAGGTTTCTTTTGGATCAAAACGCTTGCAGACCCCGCCGATTCGCTGTTGCACCTCTGTGCGGCTACCTGCAGGCCAGCTGTGGGCCTTACGCAGGGAGCGCGGTCACCCAGGAGCCCCGTTGCAGCGCAGGACATACTCGCGCAATTCGTGAACCGTGTCCGGTGCGTCATCCCCGTGCGTGGTAGCCCCTAGCGATGTCGCAAGAAGGCGCTAAGGGGTTCGTCTTCGCCCTGCGCTGCAGTAGCCAAACAAACTGTGTTGCAGCCTAGCTACACGAGCACTCTCCCGGACTGAGAAGTATCAGAGGTCTGGGGATCGGAGTGTGCCGGTTGGTTCACGGGGCGCTCTTGTTCAGGCTCGTACGGACGCAGCCGCCGTCAATAAATCTAGGGGGCAGCGAGGAGCAGCAGTACCACCAACAATCGCGGTTACTGGTAATGCGCAACTTTCCTTCGAGTTGGCAGAAGTGGAACATCATGAAACTCTGGTCTCCGGTTTGGGTTGACGTACAGCCGGTAGACAGCACCACATGTTGGCTTGTCACCCGCACTGAGGCAGACGCACGCAGCCTCCGCACAATCTACGAAATGATGCCGTCTAAGCCATTCGAGTCAGTTGACTCTTTGACCTTTTTCAAGGCCTCCTGGTGCCACTCCCTGTCCTCTGCGACCCCCGAGTCTCAGGGGGTGGCGTTTCGAGCGGCAATGTAGCATTAAAGGATAGGGCATGTCCTGCTGCAGATAATTGTTTCTCAACAACGGTGTTCCTACAGCTCTTTTTGCATGCCTGCGTGCGAATGCTGGCTGCTGCCTTTACAGGCTGATGACCTACGAGGACTACCGGCTGGCGCAAGGCCAACCTGGGATGAGCCCCGCTGAGGAGCCGAAGGCTTCCTGAGGGTTCACTCCGGGTGCGTAGCTGCTGGCTGCACTGTGTGACAGGCGGTCTCTGCATTGTCGACCCTTTAAAGGGAGAGCAGTGTAGCTGTCTGTTCATGGGGCATTTTGGATGCGGAAAGGGTGGCCCCATACTGAGAAGTGGCAAACACCAAACTCTTTTTCTACCCTTTCGATTGGATGGCACTGTCCGAATGGCTCCGGCTCTTCAAGCTAAGCGTACAGCAGTGCTGAACAGCGACTAAGCCTTGCCGACTAGGGCAGCCCCCACATTGAGGAGATCTGAGCTCTTCATCGGCTTCTGGCTGACAGGCTGTTAGTGCCTGCGCAATGCAACGGCTGGTGTTCGTCTGCAGCAGCGATACTTGGGTGTCATGCGCCACTGTCTTGAGTAGTGAGGAGCCTTTCGTATAATGACACGCAGCCCTGTGAAGTCTGACTCCCGCGGATGCAGGAGAGGACGCCAGTGGGGCTGGTGTATGGGCATGAATGGGAGAGATAGAATGATGAGCATGGGACATAATTCCATTGGTGAGCACGATAGTGTGCATACGATGGCGAAGGCAGGGCTCTAACGGCAAAGCAGGGCTTTAAGAAAACTGAGGTAATGCAGAAAGCGAAGGCTGTAGACTCCCACGTGAAATGTCTCTGACCATCCAGGGATTGTTGAGCGCCAGAGGCATCCCATGCTGCGGCTGTGCTGGGTAGAAACTAAGGGGAGAGGGGAAACAATTCAGGCCCTCGTGTATCGTTGTGGGAAGGGTGCGTCGACAGTAAGTCCCCTCGGCCTTTGGAGGAGCTCCGAAAAACGCTGCAGGTCTGGCGGGCAGCATCATCTGGGGTCCCTGTGGCTGTTGATGCATAGGTGACGTACGTGGCACAATAAGAGGACGCGACGGGGCGGGGGCAGAGGGCATTCTTACCTGGGCGCCGGAGCGAGGCGTTGTCGAGCTCCCTTCTCTCCTCACGAGCACTGCAGGTCTCAGCTGGGTGTCGAAACAGGCGTCTGGGCCCTGGCGAACCTGCTGGAGATTAGTGCCATGTGCGGACTTATCGGCTTCTCTGCACCCCTTGAACAAATCACCCAAGCGTATGCGTCTCCCTCCAAAGAGCTTTGGCGGTTGCTGCTGACCATGGCGCGTCCCCGTGGACTGCATTGTCATCTGTGTGGGAATCCCTTGCGATGGAAAAACCCTGGGGGTGCTTGGCTGCTGCTGTATGCTGCTCCTTCCGTTGGCGCTCCAAGACGCCATGGGAGTGGAGCCCGAGACCTGGCGAAGCGGAGGCGGCTGCCCAGCGACCTGCTGCCTGAGAGAGGCGTAGTCCCTCGCTGGCGTCACGAATCTCGGGGTTGAGGGGTACAGGCCCATTTGGGGCAGACCAGCGGGGCTCACGTAGCCATCTGCGGCTTGCATTGTGTGCAGGCTGCCCTGGGAGTAGCGGCCGTTAGTCGAGTTTAATCCAATGGCACTAGGCCTAGGACTGCAGTCTCGATTTGGAGTCGTGGAGGGCCACCCCATTTTCGGGTTAGCAGGCTGCTGACTGTACGGCATCTGATGAGGGGCCACGTGAAGATCCTGCTGCACCTGGCACTGTGGCGGCTTCGCTGGGTAGAGCGGATAGTGCCCCATTTGCGTGTGCCCCTGTAACTGAGAGCTGTTCCAAGGATGTGGATCCTGCAGGGGCCTCCCGTCGGTTTGCATGTCTTTCTTGTCTTCTACACCTGGAGATTGTTTATGCCGGTGGACTGGAGTCCTAGAGCTGTACCTGTCCTCTGGACTTAGGCGGCCAGCACCTTCCTGGCGGCCGCATAGGAGTACTGGTTGCTGCACGTCGGGGCATCCGTAGAGCGTAGCTGGCTGTTTGAATCTGCCCCGAATCTGTGATGCCGGCTCCGGGCACTGCCGGCTGTGGTTCACGGATTCCTCCAGCAGCTGCTCAATATTCGCAAGCCGGGCCTTTCTTGCTGTCGGTGTTAGAAGACTTCTACCTGGGGTTGAAGGTTCCTGCGCATACTCACCCTCGGAGATCCAATCTCCGCTGGTATCTCGTTCCGTAGACACCAGGCCCTGCAGCTGCAGCCGTGGCACTCTGGCATTGTGCTTTCGTACGCCATTAGATGGGTAGTGGCCACGGTTTTCTTCAGATAGACCCTCTGATCGATTCCTGGTGTGCCTGGTAAGTCCTCGGGCGGACCTTCGTCCAGGGCCGGCCCGCACACTCACGGTAGAGTCTGAGCCTAACAATGAACCACTGCACCCTCGTGGGGTTTCCCTCTGAGGCTTGGGACACACTCGGAGGCCCACGGCCTTTTTGCCTGTGCAGGTACACCATGTGGTGCCCTCCCTTTCCTGCCGTTTTAAACACGAGACAGTGTGGCCTTCCTCATAAACGTGCTTCCCAACGGAATCCTCAGCGCATACAAGAGACCGCCTGGAGTTTCCATGGATGCTTCTGGTGCTACGGCAGCGCATAGCGAGAGAGCCGGCCTCAGCTGCTTCAGTCCGGGCCGTCCCTGCCTCATAGCAAGCGTTATAGTGCACGGCGTCCTTCTCCTTCTGTGTTTGATCTGTTTCACGAGGGGTGCGAGGTGTCCCTCTTCGAGATGACGAGATGAACCCATTGCGACTCAGCCTCTGCGAACGCGCAGAAGCAGGTGGATGCTGAAGGAGCGCTGAATGACGTCGTGCTTCCTTGAGGTTCGATGCAGGCGGCTGTGACACATCATGGCCCCCGTGGGACGCAGAATTTCCGCGAGAAAAGGCCTCTTTATTTCCCTCACGTAGCGGCTTGTTCTTTGAGGCAAGCGTGGATGCACTTCCCCTTAGTTTGGCGTGCGTGTTGCGCTGTTGGATACCCTGGGGTTCGCTCATAGGGGGAGGTGGCGTAACTTCTGGCAGAGGGACCCTGTAACCGTTCTTTTGCCCGTCTGTAGTCTTGCGGAAATCCAGGGTAACCTGCTCTGTCTCGATCTCTTCAGGGCGCCTGGGCCCTGTCTTGGTTGCATCGGAGCCACCCTGACTGAATTTGCTGTTGGTAATTTTGGAGGCAGACAGCTCACGAGTCCCTACCGGGGCTACCTCTGGTGCTGGAGGCCTCGCAATGCCTGCGAGCTCGTAGAGGTTGTCCCGTTTGACAAGGCTGCGCCACGCTGCATTGATTAGACCTGTCTTTAGTCCACTCCTAACGTCCTCCAGTTTGTGCAGCTGGAATAGCATGCTGCTGAGACATTTCAGCTCGTCATCTCCAGGGTCACCGCAAAAGGGCCTTAGGTAAATACCGTTTTCAAGCTGCGCGGCAAACGACACGGGGCTGTTGTCCAGCAGGACGCAGCGGCGCAGGTCTCTGTTGGCCGCTACATACGCCAAGTCTTTCACATAGTAATGCATGTCTCCAGCAAACGGCCACAGGGACTCCTCGGCCCCTGCAGCGCCTGTAGCTGCTTCCTTACAGGGGTTGTGGGTGCGAGGCGCTCGGCAGCAGTGGTGCCTGTATAGGCGGTGATCGAACAGCCTTTCCTCTTCCTCCAGAGTGTCAAGGATCGGGTTAGCATATTCAGGGAGAGCTGCGGTAAAGGCGATGACCTCGAACTTTCCACTATCCCTGAGCTCCCTCAGAAGCCTCTTAACAAACGGCCGGTGGTAGACGTACAGGATGGCCTGTGGCGCGTTAGGGTCAAAACTCTCTGCCGCTGCAGCCGCTTCCTCTAATGAGACTGCAGGCAAAGGAGTTGCTGAGTACGCTTTTGAGGCTCCCTCTCCTGGTGTAGGCTCGGAGAAGGCAAAAGTCCTGTCCGCCGGAACCTTCAGCAAAGGTATTGGGGTGACGTACACGATCGTTTCGTCCACATCAACGAACAGAGTCAGCTTTGAGCAAGAGCCTGCCGGCAACTCTCCTGGCTCTCCCAAATCGTATCTGTGTATCAGCATAAACAATTGGAGAAATTGACGCAAGCCCCTTTAGCACAGGAGGGAGTAATGCTGTATGCTATGCCCCTGCAAGCGTGTAAACTAGCAAGAAAGCAGAGAGACTGTGTGGTGCCGATAGTGTGTTTTTAGCAGTGCCCACGTAAAGACTCCTGTATGCTTTAAAAGCAAGGAAGAGGGCAGCTTTTAGTGAGGGCTTGCCTGCCATCTTTGAGGTATTGCTTGACCTCAGCTACAGAAAGAAGGCCCTCGACAAACTCCTCGGGGAGGCACGAGAGGTCGATGGACTCCTCAGTGGCACTGGATGCAGGTTCCATGTCTTGCTTCGCGAGGGGAATACTGTCGAAGCCTGTCTCGCGGGGGGAAGGACATTCCACGAGAGACACAAGATGATCCACTAGGGGAGCCAGACCAGCCCCCGTCGACCTAGTCTGAGGATGCGCCCCAAAGTCCGCTAGCTGCTTCAGAGAAATCTGGAAAGCCATGCCTTTGTGTTAGGTGGTGTTCAAGAGGAAGCAGCAAGCGGCTTTTAGGGCAGATTGACGTGCACAGAAAACCTGAGTAAGCAGCCTGGCTTTGCTTGTCGAGATCTGAGAGTTTGAATAGCCTTAGGGGCTATGAGGCGCTGTATATCCCCGTGATTCCGAGGAATGCAGCTAAAGCTGGAATGCTGCTGGCTGGTGGGTTGCAGAGAACAGGTGTTTCCTCTGTCGTGACCTCTGTGGTTAGATGTGCCCAGCCACATCTGATAGTTGAACGGATATCTGCAGAAGAGATGTGAGCAGATGGTGTCTCCCTATTAAGTGAATAGACCTAAGGGACACAAGCTGGGTGCTAGTGCTTGAGAGCAAGGCGCAAGGTGAGGCGATTACGAATCGAGGCGGACGGGAACGGTCGGGGCTGTAGGACTTGAAGGCAATATTGAAATGAAACAGCAACCAACTAGGCCAAAACGGCTTTCAGAGGCAGCCATATACAATAAAAGTCAAATGAATCAGGAATTTACCCCTCAGAACGATTGTATTTATCAATACAGGTCCAAGAATCACTCGGCCGAGACGTCCCTGCTCGCTTACCTAGCTAGCTGACGGAATGGCTCATTCGTGATAAGTCCAGTGGACAAAAACATGAGAGTAAAAATATTGGATGCAGTTTAATGAGGTTCCCTTTAGTGCTAAGTCTGGTGTCAGCACAGAGAAGCCCGCGATTGTGCGCACACTCGTGGTTCATTCCGGGCAGCACCGAACGTGACCGCCCTGGTTACGGCCGACTCGCCATTCCTTGCGCCCGGACCCCGTTTTAAAAATAAGAGGCAACCTGCTAATTAGTATTTTTATAAATCGGTTGGTCCTGTCTAATTAGCGGAAGTGGGCAGGGCTACACTTATGTGTCTTACATATACCTTTTGTGGATCCGTGCAGCCGTCAGCAGCTCTGAAGTAGCAGCTGGTTTGCACACTGTCGCTTCCTTACCATTTTCTGAGCAACCAGCTATAATCTCAGAATAAAGTTTGAGGTTCTGTCAAGGACCATTTCTCCGATTGAAAATAGCGTCAGGGCTGCTGCTGTGCGCAACGTAGCTCTGTCTTCACCTAAGATGTTGATGTCGGCTTTAGGCACACGCTGCACTTATATGTATACCCCCACACTAGTCTGCACTTAAACGCGATTTCCTTTCTTGTTTACTAGATAGCCTGTGTGCTCGTATGCTGTGCTAATTGCTTAGCAGGACTACGTGAACGGTAAAGATCCGTACAAACAAGCACGTACGCATGTATATCTATTCGTATGTAAACTGTTTGGATATGCGCCAATTCGCTCTGTGAAACATAAAAAGAATGACAGAATCCCAGAGTATCCATCCCATTTGTTCTTCCTCCTCGATGTATGAGGATCTTTAGAGCTGAGTGCTGCAACCTCAAAGTCTATGTTCCCCGCAGGGAGACACTAAGCTCCAGACTCGATTCAAACTTTGTTCAAAACTATTGATCGTTTCTAATTTACAATGATCCAATTTTCTGTGCTCGTAGCCTTCCGAGTCCCCTACATTAGGAGGGTGTAATGGCTAGGGCTGGCGTAGCTGCATCCTCTTTGCAAACTAGAATTCACAGCTGGTTTCACGCAACATCTGATGCAGATGGGCATAGCACTGCCTCTTCTTCTCTTGAGCTAGTAGTAATGTTTGATACATACGATGTACAAGCACACAAATCGACATCAGTCACTCTATTCAAGTACTTATATTAATATGACTAGCGCGGTGGAATGTTTTCATGGATAATTTAGCCCAATGAATCATCCCTTCCGAATTCAAAACCTGCCAATGCTGTCCAGCTACGTGCATTCGAAAAATTCACCCCGGATGTTACTATACTGGCAAGCAGAAACGCGAAATCAGTGGAAATTTGGATAGCAGAAACGGCAGGGACAAAACCAGCACGACCGCGCCCACGCCGTAATTGGCTGTCGTCGGAGGGCTGAAGTTTTAACCTTCTGCTAATAGACAACACAAGAAAATTTAAAAATGCAAAGGAAAAGAATATGTACACCAGATTGGCAGAATTTTAGCTTCTCATAAAGCAATGTCTGCGTGCCATCGCAACCGGTGCATGCAGCATAGTCAACTTCATACGCCAGAATCGACATAAGGAAGGATGCAGAGACAACCTAGCTATGGGTGTCCACTCATTCGCTTGTCTCTTAAAGGCACCTGAACAAAACATTTCAAAGGTTTATAGACCAATATCCATAGATGAAGGCGGATTTTTCTGGCAGAACATGCGCTGGGGAAGAGCACTTTAACAAGGAATAAAAAAATACCGTCACTGGCGACTAGCACTGTCTCTTCAAAAGAGCCAGCAGGCCTCCTGTAAGCAACAAAGCCCCAAATCCCTCTTTCCTTACGCATAAAGGCAAGCGCTGGCCTATCCCACTTCACTAGAAACTCTCGTCTAGTGTGTCATTGGCGTTCTACCGTCCTTGGGTTCAATACCTTCGCGTCTTCCTGTAGATCGTCTACTTCCATTCGGCTGACCCGATTACGCGGCAAAGACCGCGGGTTATTCGGGAAGTCTTGGATTTTGTTAGAAAAAACCGAACTACTGGGTTTGTGGCACCAATTTGTAGTGAAATCGACAGACTAAAATTCCCCGGTGCGCTGGAGAAAGACAAATGGTAGCTGGCACCTTGTCGCAAACTTCTTTGCCTGCTCAACATCTAGTGCACCTGTAAGAGCCTGCTTATCTCCCAGATTCAAATCTCAAATCCCGGAACGCATGGCCGATTACGGCTTGCAATAATTTCGTGCTTGATCTACGCATACATCTGCGTTCACGAGCCAACTGTACTCTAAATTCCTCCGCCACTAAAAATGGCTGCTAATTGCGGACCACCAGGTCTAGGATTGAATCGGAGAGGGGCTCCTCAATGTAGGTCAGGGATGCGGGATACCAACGGGTGGGCGAGTGCGCTGCTGTATAACTCTTCGAAAGAAAGCAATATCAAGCCAAGAAATTAGATTCAGTAAAGGCAGTGCTGCAGATTTTGAAGGTGGTTGGTGCGCTGTGTTTGCCTGTATGCCTCAGGATGGTTGGCAGGGGTCATACCATGGCCAACGTTTAGGCAGATCACAGAGGAATATCAAAACGTGCGAACAAAATTCGGATTCCCATGCACAATCAAACCCAAAATGCCAGAAATAAATAGAGACCAGTTGAGCGACTTCCTGAGCTGTGACAGAGCTGCAGCAAAGGAGGAAAGACCATAATTGCTGAGTCCGTCGGAAACAACAGGAATAGTATTCTGACCCTTTACCTCCGATACCCTAACAATACAGTCCATAGCTGGCTTGGTTTGCAACTTTCCAGAAACCTGAAAGCTTTTTGTACAAGGCTTGTGTAGGAGAAGCATATGCGGGGTCATCTGCTGACCGTCTGAGCATAACAGGGGCAACTCCTGTGCCGGGGAAGCCTCCCCAGCCACCAGAAGGACCGATATAGTTTTTCCACCCTAGTTTGAATTCCACTGACACTTGAAAGAGCTTGACTGTGTGCCTATATCAACTGGCAATCAAAAGAGTCGAAATGTGCCAGCAACCGAATTCCCGATTTGTTTGAAGCACAGCAGGTCATTCTCAACTTGCGGGTGCCTGACGTTTTTGCCACTTAATTTTAGGAATACTAGAGAATGAATGAGTAAGAAAGCACAAGTCACACTAAAGTTCTGAGCGAATCTGGGATTATCGTTAAGAAGAGTGGTTGCGCTGTACAACGGTGAACCGTGAGCCCGTCACGAGAGCGCGTAGATGACAAAGCTGGTGATGCCGTCAGTAGGATTCTTTGTAGAGTCGTACTGCACGAGGCTGCCAAGCCAAAAAACAACTCTGGATTAAATAAAACTCTACATTCTTTTCGTTAAGTATGTCAAAGACTGAGGGTGGGCATGGACAGCAGAAGGGCACCTAGATGAATGTCTCATTTCCCACATTCTACCACACCACATAGAGTTCTTTCTGCACTGGATACCCTTGCTCGGTTTCAATGAAGTGGTGCCGAAATCCTGCGGCAATTTTGTGCCTGTATCCTGACTAAAGAGTATAGCACCCACACCTACGTCACTAGCATCTGTTGTCAAACAAAACTGACGCTCATAATAGGGCAGCTCGAGTTCGGAAGGACTTGTGGGGCGGCCGATAAGCGCCCTTGCTGCGGCATAGGCCTTCTTTGTCCATATCACAGACCGTGGCTTTCTTCGCAGCTAGTCCTTATTCAGCTCATTAGTGAACTCTTCATTGGTACTTGCCCAAGCCTCCTCTTCATCAGCTGGCCCCATTAACACACCAGTCGCAGAGCCAATAAGACGAAAAATACATGCTGAGAGCAGTCGTCTCTTACTGCGCTGCTGAGTCTCCCTTTTCAACACTCTGCCTCACCTTGCTAATGCCCCGACTTCACCCCCGCTCAACACAGATGAAGAGAGCATTTCGACGAAAGCAGAGCTGCCTCTTCCTAGCGCCTCTACGCTACCAAACTCCACCGCGCTCAGCTGTGGCCGGATGAGCGTCCTCCATCGAGTCAATCAGGGCATACACACGGGTACGTCATGTCATGGTGTGCGGATTCAACATAAAAACCATGGACCATGCTGATAAAACCGAGTTCCAGTGTGGTGGCAGCTTAGCTGCCGCAGCCTTGCTAACCCTCGAGTTCCGTCGCCCGTTAGTAAAAAAGAGTCTTAGGGACTGCCTTGAAGAGTAAATGTGTAGCTTGCGCTTCCGGGCCGTCTCTTTGCGTAACAGATTTTACGTCGCGTCCAGTATC